TTATTCTATTGTTGCGTTTATATTTATATTTATTTTATTTCTATCTTTATTAGCGCATAGCTTACATGTATAGAGTATCTCTGTAAATTTAAATATATTAGTTTCGAATAAAAATAATTGGACATAAAACCTCCTTCAGAAAAAAAAATGAATTTGTCTGTTAAAAACCATTCTAATAATAATGCTTAAGGCAGGGTACTATTTACCATAATTCGCAAACATACGAAAGCTACCAAGGGAACACTATGTAGCATCGTACAAAGACATTTTTTTTTTAAAAAAAGGTATATACAAGATAAACTTAATTTGAGAAATCTAGAGCTTTATAATTTTATAAAAGACTGAAAATTTCAGGACATTACAAAAAGCATGTCATTAAAAAACAATAAATATTACGATAATAGTGAACGCATTTAGTGAAAAGCTTGTTTCATAGTATATTATTCCCAAAAGCTTGGTCTTTTTTAAGTTAAACTTCACATAATAAATAAATAAGAATACGCGTGGAGAAAGCCGGTTAACAACTATCATTTAAAGTATCTTTCACCAAATATTTTGAGAAATTGAAGGTTAGCAATAGCGCCTGAGTATATCTAAGCGGTATATACTCGTATATTTTCTTCCCCAAGTGTAGCATGAACCGTAAGAGACATATAAAGACTTTCAGACGTAATTTACGTCATACTATGTCATATTGCCATACAGCCATACATAAAATCATTCATTTCGAGAAAATAGTATGTTATTTCATAAATCAGCTTTGTAAAGATAATGCAAAGGGGGAATTAAAACTATTCTTTTTGTGATTAACAATTATTCTGGACTTTAGTCCAATTGAGAATATCTGAAGTTTCTTTTTACGTAAAGGTATATTAAATATATTGTCAGCTTAAATCGCTGAAAGGGCAAGAAAATGATTTGGAGTAGGAGGAATCTTTTACATTGGATATATATAGCTGTCTTTATTATAAGCATACTCGATCGATATATATTTAAAAAAAATGCGGTGGCTATTATATATATATATATATATATTAATCACCTTGTCAGACAAAAATTACATAAACTGTACTATATTGTGCATAAAGTTATTAATTTTTGACGGAAAATAAAAGAGCTATACAGGTGTTTGGTTTAAACTCATTCCTTGAGGGTTGTCGTAAAATCCTCTTGGTTTTGATGCTTCTATACCAAGATTATTTTAATACTGTATATATTTAATCCATAGTTCACTAAAAGTAAAATATCTCCCTCGTTAATAACACCATGAATAATGAATGGTGATTCTGATGGTAATTTTGGAAATTTTCTATAATACTTCGCAAAATCACCATCATAGTAACCACTTTTTCCCATAGTGTACCTATGTATTAATAGTATTTTATAATACACTATATGCTGTTTAACGCACCTCGCTTTACACCTTTGTAAATAAGGTACCATTAAATACTACACGTGTATAATTGGACTGAAATCAGACCAATACGTATGTCTGTTAGTTTGACCAGAGATATAGTTAACAAAAAAAATATACTATTCAAAGTTGATTTTCTATACCTTTTAACAGCATGTTGTTTTTCTACAACTTGATTTGTTTATTGGTAGCTGGGATTATAATACATACATAACATGTATGCAAATTAATGGCTCGAGTGTTACGGTATTACTGAGTCAAGTACACCTTAAAATGAAGCTTTGACAATTCCTGGAGGGATAACATGTGTATCCTTGCTCTTGATAATATAGGTAGTTACCACAAGACTATAGACAGCAACTGTTAGTGTGACAAAGGCAATGATAGTATAAGGGTCGTCAGAAAATATTTCCAGGAGTGCAATCATCAAGGTATGTTATCAGTATATTTGGAACAATGGCTCAAGATTCGTTATAGTCAAAGAGTTCAAAAAGAAAGTAGTAAGGCGATAATGTTCGACTTAAATATTTGTGACAGCTAATTATAATAATGAGGTAGGCCTATATAATTTCTTGTTAGCACCCTGTTCAGGATATTTTTGAATTTTTAGAAGCAAACGTTGAAAATTATATTTCAATTATGGTCACATTAATATACATATATACTTCTACTTACTAATGTCTATAATTAGAGACAGTATCATTGACTGGACATACATAAGTATAGTATATAACCAAGGCATTAACGTTAATTAGACATATAAGATATTACTCAGATTGTTCGCCTTGTAACTTCCTGGAGAAGATATATCCGTAGAAAAGTGCCTCTAGCAGTATAATTAATTTATCCACTAAAAGTAGTATACACAGGTACGTTGTAGCGGCGTTTTGTGCTATATTATCTCTCGAGATATGTCGCAGATTTATTTACTTTTTAGGGACGAGACCTTTTTCAATGAATTATCAACGTGCACCAAAAGTAGAGTATTTGTATTATCTCCTGTATCTTAATTTCAATAAACCACTGCTTTGGTTTTTGGGAAACAATAAATTTCGATAGCTATCAAAATAATAATAATAATAAAGTCAACTCTGGTTTATAGAGTAGTTCAAAAACTACCTATAGTAACGTTCTTTTTTTTTTAATAATCTTGATGTTTGGTATCAATTACTAGGAAATAAAAATATGCCCAGGTTGTGTTTTATAGAAAAGTAAACCACTTTACTAATCTTTATAAGTAATAAGCATATGTGTTCAATAAACATATATTTATGTAGAGCTTCTATACAAATTCCTTAATAGGATATATTATATATTATTAGACAAATGGCATTTCATCATAAACGTTTTAATTCACTTTAACTGGAATTTATTTCCTCAAACAGGACAGGGATAAAAAAATTTCAAATAAATACCTTGTATTATGCAAGAGAATTTTACACCCTTTATTTCTCGTAGATCCCAATATCTTAAAACGTTATATACATGTAATTTAAATAACGTAGTGTAGTTAAACTACATCTCTTGGATAATATTCATAATTATTCCTAGTAACAGTCCGAGAAGTATCAGTATTAGTGCGTATTTTTTTTTATTTAGCCGAATTATTGATAAATGGATGTAAAGCAAACGTTACTTATATATAAGTCTGTGCGATATTGTGAATTGACATATTATTCATTGCTTAGGTGTTACCAAATATGTTTCGTTTAATAAATATTTGGTACGACATATAATATCCGAGATTCACTCGGCTACGTGTAACATATTTGGATGAATCAGAGCGTCGATAAGAAACATGTTTTTTTTTCTGTAAGAGTTTGAAGGGTGAATAACCGCAATTGCATAACCAATTTCATTACACAGAATAGGTATCTACACCATTTGCTACAAATATATACTATTTTAGTGCACAAAATTTATACTCTAAATTGCACGTTGAAACGTGTTGTAAAAAGTATATCTAATAAATTTGAGATACCAAATGTATCCCACAATATATAGAACCTAGCTGTTTACTAGAATATATATGTTTCACCAGGTATTATTGTCATCTGAAGAATAGAACCCTATAATTTACCGAAAACTACTGGAGAAAGAGGTACCATATGAGAAAAAAGTATATAAACAGCTATTCAAAACGCACAAAGTACAGCCACACCCACACCCACATCTATCCTTTCCTTTCCTTCTTAAACCATGAAGCTCCTATGGTCACTTACGCTAGTTTCATCCTTAATGATGGTTGCTACGCTGGCTGCAACAATTCCCATCGGAGAGAAACGAGAGTCATCCAATATTGTCCCAGGAAAAGATTATGATCGTATTGTGATTGTGTTATTTGAGAACCAGAATTACGCAGACGTGTCCAAAGATCCTTACTTCTCAACATTGGCTGCTAAGCACAAGGGTAAATCACAGAGATTTTTTTTTTGCTCTTAAAGAATCGATGTTCAAGATACTAATTAACTCTCTATGACAAAAAGGTGTTACGCTGACCAATTATAAGGCCATAACTCATCCTTCTCAGCCAAACTACGTAGGAATTTTACAACTTTGACATATTGTGTTTAACGATGGCTTTTATTTATATATAGATTGGTATGATCAGTGGATCAACCAAAGGTACTACTCTTGACTTAAACTCAGATATCGACCGTGATTCTGTTGTTGATCTCTTGGAGACCAAGGGCGTTTCGTGGAAATCATATCAAGAAGGATATCCCGGTAAAGTATTACTAGCTGTATGTAGTTTTCAAGAATTAAGTACTTACTTCAGATGCGCTATAGGTAACTGCGACGCAAGCGCAGTCTCGGGGACCTATCACCGCAAGCACAATCCTTTCATCTCAATCAACAACATCCGTAACAATACTACGCGCTGTGCTAAGATTGTACCCGGAACTCAGTTGGACATCGATATTGCAAATAATGACGTCCCTCAATTTGTGTTCTATACACCAGATGTAAGACACATACATCCACCCAAAAGAATACCTATATACTAACTATACAATATCACAACTTTAAAAAATATTATATTTAGATTAACAACGATGGTCATGGTAAGAAACACATACAATTCAGTCAAAGTACTTATATTAATACTTGTTTGTAGACACCACCCTTGAGTACTCATCTAACTGGATCAAGGGATGGCTTGAGCCACGCTTCGAGAAGCCAGCATTTAATACCAACACGTTATTTGTCTTGACCTGGGATGAACAAAAGACTTATGTCTCGCTTGAGAACCATGTTTACACTGTACTGCTTGGATCTGCTGTCAAGAGAGCTTCACTTACAGATGGTGCACCATATAGCCATTACTCGGTTTTGAGAAGTGTCGAAGACAACGTAAGTTGTTTATACAGCTAATATCTTTTCTCTTATACTATTATCTTCAAATTTATAGTGGAGCTTGGGTACATTGGCCCTAAAAGACGATAATGCGATCCCTCTTGTTGTTAAGGACCAAGCAGGTACCGTCTAAGCAAGCCGTCATAATAATTACTTTATTTTTTATTTACATTTTTTTCAATATAATATATATATATATATATATTTAGAAAATGGCGCATCTGAAAAGATCAAGAATGTTGTGTTGTTGGTGTTGGAGAATCGTAGCTTTGATCGAATGATGGGGTGGTTTAAATACAACAAAGATATCGATGGTTTAACTGGGGCAGAGTTTAACTATGTTGACCCATCCGACCCTTCGAGCCAAAAAATATATGCTACCCGTAATGGCCTTCTCAAAGACCCATTGGATCCTGCCCATGGTTACCAGGATGTTACCTACCAGATCAGTGGTGATCCAACCTTGGCATCGGATGCAAGTATGAAGGAAGCCACAATGGGTGGATTTGTACAGAACTTCGTCAAGACATTTGAGCAGATTAAGGATAACGCTACAGCTATCCATCAGATTATGGATGGGTTTGAGCCATCCAAAATCCCAATTACTTACGAATTGGCATCTAACTACACTATCATGAACCGCTATTTCTCATCCTTCCCTGGATCTACCATGCCAAATCGCCTGTACGTTCATTCAGGAACTTCTAATGGCGAAGCTAACACTGATGGAACTCATTATATTAAAGGATATTCGCAAAAGACCATTTACAATAATTTAGATGGTAGGTGTTTGTTTTTCTTTTGTTTATCGGTTGAATTATGTTTTAACAAATGTATTTATTGGTCTTAATAGATGCTGGCATTGAGTGGAAAAATTATTACGAAGAAGTACCATCTCTCATAGTTTTCACCAAATTGAGAGCCAAGTTGAACCGTTTCAAGAATTGGTCAACCTTCAAATCCGATGCTGCTTCCGGAAACTTACCTCCAGTGTCTTTCCTTGACCCTGCTTACTTTGGAATTGCCAACTGCATCGTGGAAGATGATAACCACCCCCCAGCTGATGTAGCCCAAGGAGAACGTCTTCTTAAAGATGTTTACGAGACCCTCCGTGCTTCTCCTCAGTGGAATGAGACTCTCTTTATCGTTACTTATGATGAGGTATATATATTATTAGCAGGGTCACATCATTTTGTTACGTTTTGTTTATTGACATGATTATGTTAGCACGGTGGATACCATGATCACGTCCCTACTCCTCTCAAAGGTAGGATGTCATATTATGATTATTAATGCTGTTACTCATTTAATATCTAATTGTAGCCCCTAATCCCGATGGTGTCAATGTCACCGATTTTAACTTCAACAGACTTGTTTGTATCACAATACAGAAGTTAAAATTGTCACTAATTGTTTATAATTATAGGGTGTTCGCGTTCCTACTCTATTAATCTCGCCTTGGGTCGAAAAGGGTGGCGTTATTGGTAAGGCTGATGGTCCATATCCTGATTCCGAATACGAGCATTCATCAATTCCTGCTACTATTAAAAAGGTAATGATTCAATCCATTCCAATGTCAAAAGCAATATTCTAATAAAAGCTTAATTTAAAATGAGTAGATTTTTAATTTGCCTAATTTCCTCACTAAACGTGATGCCTGGGCAGGCACTTTTGAAGGTGCTATTACTGAAAACAAGTTGCGCACTGATTGCCCTGCCACACTCTCACCCCCTCCTACCCCAGTCACTACCGCTATTCCTACAAAACTCGGTATGTACAGCTCGATATTCAAGTATTTTGATTACCAAAATTAATCTTCTTCAATTCTTTTCTCTAGATACTATACTCTGCAATGGTATCAAAGCACTCATTCAAGGCTAATATGCTTATAAAAATTAACTCCCAAAAAAACCTTAATAAACCTTTGACAAAATTTAACAAATCCACAAAGTTCCAATAAACCAAAATAATAATAACCAATAGTTTGAGTTCACCAATGTCGTGTATTCAGTACAGAAAATATCGAGTGAGAAAACAAACGAAAATATAACATTAAGGTTGGCGCTAATGCCGAGACCTTTAACGGTAACGGGTGAGGGAAAGAGTGTTGCGTCTCTTCCAGTTGGCAGTGCGACCGGAACCCTTGGTCTTGGTGAAGCGGTGGCCCTTGCCCTTACCGCGACTCTTCTTGCCGATGGCAGTGAGACCACGAGCCTCACGACGCTTGTGAACGGCGTTGACGATCCAGTTGATACGGGGATCACGACGGATGGCCTTGTGGGAGGGGTCGACAAGGATGACCTCAAAGTACTTGTAGGTGGCATCCTGGTTGATCCAGTAAGAGTTCAAGACACGGAGGTTGGCGCACTTGCGACCAACACGCTCCTCAGCGGTGGAGCGGAGGGAACGCTGGTACTTGAGCTGGTTAACACCCTCGTTGACGGGCTTACCGAAGGTGGCACCCTTGTGGACGGGTCTCTTACGACCACCACGACGGACGCGGATACGGTAGATAACAAAGCCCTGCTTGGCCTTGTAACCGAGACGACGAGCCTTGTCGGGGCGGGAAGGACGGGATGCACGATGGATGACGTTCATTTGTCTGAACTCCCAGCATCTGACACGGAGCAAGAAACGGAAGACATCCGACTGCTTCTTCTTGTAGAGCTCCTCGATATACTTGTAGGCTATATTCGTTGTATAAATTAGATTGTGTTCGGGAAGAAATCGGTAATTGTTGATCACACTTACCACCCATGACTAACTAAACCCTGAAAATAAGAAATAAAGAAAGAAAAACATAATAGGGTCAGTCTATTGAAATGACAATAATAGGGCTGCTGATTGGTTTAATGAAGGATCATTGTCAAGTATAATCTTTATCATTTGATAATAAATTTGCAGAATGGACTGGTTGGTTAAGTTATGAATATTAGATCAGCCACATCCATCCATATGTTTAATCAATCAATCAATCAACCAACCAAACCATCCATCCATCCATCCATACTCTTTTACGATCCTTCTTTAACGGCAGCTCTTTTTTACCTTTGGAGGATATGTATGGTAAAAGAGGGCGAAATCATGGTAGCAGGCTTTGGCGTGAGATGTGTCTCTCATTCGACGTCACATTGATTAAGAGGAGTTTTAATGAAGAACAAAGAGGTGTTGAAACACAGCACAAATGTTGCATTGATTGTTTTACGTTTTTCTTATAACATTAAGTTTGGTAGCTTGTTAATAGAAAGTATAAAACAAGTACCAAAAAAATATTACAAAGAAAAAGCACACTATTTAAGTAAAGATCCTTTCATGGTTCTTGGATCTTCTCCTAAAACGGGAGGTTTATAACTGCATTATGCGGGTTGGTTCTTTGGTGTGACCGGTTTTAGTGAGGTTGAAGATGGGAAACGTGGCCATGGTCAAGGGAATGATTTTTGGATAAGTTGGTCATGCGTCATTCTTGTTCAGCCCATTGACATGGAAAACGATTCCTGCCAGACATCGCTCACAAGCTTTAATTTCGACGTTCCAACAACAGACAAAGACAATGAGGGAGTGCTGTCAAAGTTATTGGGGAAAGTAAAGACAGCGGTTGCAGGGCAGCCAGTATCGTACACTCAAGCACATTCACTATATTCTGAGCAAGCTTCTGCTAGTGATCTTCACAGTAGCAGTTCGACAATTTCTTTAGCGTCAACCCGCCTTAATAAAACCGATCCTGAGCTTTGGACAGCAGCTACTACTAACAGGCTTGCTTCAACTACAGTAACTTCCTCTCGATCAAGCCTACAGCGTCATATTTACGTGACATCCCCTACGCCACCAGCCTCATCTAAAGATTCAGTGGTAGTAAACTTTTCAACCCCTGGAACAGCCAACTATATAAGCAGACAAGACTCAATAAACACCGCATCTTCTCGATTGCCACAAGATGACCGTTCCACAACTATTACGTTTGGCGATGACTATCTCGGATCTCCTCTCAGCAAATCCCGCTCTGTGGATAGTGACACGCAGTCGATCATAACGACATTTTCGGTCTCCACTTCCAACTCGCTTGGACGTATCTTAGCCCGACTCAGGGGACAGAAAAGCGACAAGGAGTTCTGGATGCCAGACGAGCAATGCAAAGAGTGTTACAAGTGCCGTAAACCATTTACTCTTCTTCGTCGCAGACACCACTGTCGTACTTGTGGTGAGTCTTAAAATAGATCGATTATGTTTCACGATTTTTTTTTTAAATTTCATTGTTTGTCTGGTGGTCTATCATGTATTAATTCAAGCCTTGTTTATCTCGACTAGGCCAGATTTTTTGTGCAAAATGCGCATCGCATGTAGTACCAGGGAAAATGTATAAGCAAAAGGGTCAAGTACGGCAATGTAACTTCTGTTATTCTGAGGATCAACAAGGGGAAACCCAGGCATATATGTCTAGTTCTGCATTGCCGTGTATCACCGAGACTTACACACCTGTTATACCATCACAAAAACCTCCAGTCGAAGCCCCTCAAATGCAGATACCTACAAATGCTCTCAAACAACCACAGAGTCTTTATGGAAATGCAGATGCTACCACAGTAGCACTCGAGATTCCATCGCGGGAGTCACCTGTAGATCCCAAGGCTTCGTTGAGTCCTCTGATAACTTTATCAACCCCACGCCAATCATTCACGGAGGCGGAGACTATTGGTGATGGAGGGTTGAAACGTTTACTGGATGCCGGAACATCCTTGCTGAAATCTCGCCCAAGATCTAACACGTCTGCATCCGCACCCCTCGAGCCTATAATAGGATCGCCCATGTTGCAACACTTGGACCGTGGAGGTGGCACAGTAATGGCCGAGAGTGAGTTAAGTGCATGTGGTGCTATCGACAACCTGTCGCCGCACGACCAAGATTGTCAGGGTTATGATCTATGGGGTAGATCAGCCCATTTTACCCCGAGAGTGCCTTTAAGGGCGCACAGCAGTGGAGATGTAATCGTACGAGTCTCGGGTGACAGTGACGATGAAGTTGGGGATGGCCGGTTACGAGATAAACGAACGGAAGAATTACGAGGCATGTTGCCTCATAGTCCTTTAAGGCGTCAGAGTATGAATCACCAACGTCGCAACTCAAGATTGAGAAATATTCACATAAATACCACAAACCTGCCCAAAACCGATGCTCATCAAGCCGAAGTATGGTCGCCTAACCCTTTTCTGCTGACCGATGATACCTCTTCTCCAAAACGAACGCAAATACGTCACAAACGCACATCGGCTCCACCAAACGTTGAACTCAGTTATGGCGCACTATCCCACGCGCGAAATTTGCTCAAAAAACTTATGGAAGAAAATAGCCTTGACGATCTATCCGAAAAGACTAAGAGTATCTGGGAAGACACAATAATGTCTTTATTGCTTAAAGTCGCCGACAATGTGCGTCCTGATGTGCGTGCTGGAGATGATATGGATGTTCGTCACTACGTTAAAATTAAGAAAATTCCAGGTGGAATACCTAGTGATAGCTTCTATGTAAAAGGTGTAGTCTGTTCAAAGAATGTCGCTCACAAGCGTATGGTACGACCAATATCTCATCCAAAAATATTGATATTGTTGTTTTCGCTGGATTATTCTCGAGTCGAAATGGAAAATCAACTATTATCTATTTTACCAGTAATTACTCAAGAAAGAGAACACCTAAGCAAACTAGTTGGGCGTATTGTTGCTCTCAAACCTTCCTTACTTTTAGTAAAGTCAACAGTTTCTCGTATTGCACTCGAGTTTCTGCTCGAAGCAGGGATTCCAGTAATTCACAACGTAAAGCATAGTGTTATCGAGGCAGTGGCAAGATGTACGCAAGCTAGTGTTGTACCATCAGTTGACAAACTCCAGACAGGACTTTCTTTTGGAAACTGTGGGTCGTTTGAAATACGGACAATGATGCACGAATGGATTCCAAACCGGCGAAAGACATATCTTATATTTGATAACTGCGACCCTGAGCTTGGTGGTACTATTGTATTGCGAGGAGCAACTGATAAGACTCTGGGTGTCATCAAGCGACTAATTGACTTTATGGTGTTTGTGATCAACAACCTTAAACTGGAGACATCTGTGCTGCGAGATTTTTTTGCTAAGAATAAGGGGGTTGATCAAACTATACAATCACGTCCCAAATCTATAAAAGCAATTCCTGCTTTAAACATGATGAGTGACGAGGAATTAGCTACTCAAGATAATAAAGAAGAAGACGAGGAGCATGTAGAGTCCCTGGATGAGCTACTCGATGTTTATCGAAATACAATTCTATCAGCCTCCCCGTTTGTCACGTTCCCTCCACCATATCTACTCCTACGCTTGAAGGAAACCGAGGATCGTCTTTCTGTAGCAATGACATCAAGACGCCAGAGCAACGCATCGCCCACCAGAAATCCTCTCGAACGACAAACGACAAACGAAAAGCCTACAGAGCATGCAAAAACTGTGGTAAACGCAGAGCTAGAACATTTGGTTGCCAAGCATAATCAGCTTTCCAGGGCGTGGGATGCGTATATAGGCGAAAACCCGGACTACATTAGTCCGTTTTACCATCAGAATATTGTAGTGCTTTATTCGAATGTGTGTACAATTACAACAGTGCCATGTCAGGAACCAGAAATACGCATATTTGAATATTATCGCTATCCATCCGACGTTTCGCTTGGCATGTATCTTTCGGATCTATTTATGGATGCTAAAAATCCTTGCGCATCATTCATGTGCGATCATCCTACCTCTCAGCACTTCAGGTCCTATGCTCATGGCGAGGCCCGCATAAATGTAATGATTGAGCCATTTCCATGTCCACTTCCTGGTATGGCCGAGACAGTACTCATGTGGAGTTATTGTAAGCTTTGTGAAAGACCAACACCTGTGGTCCCAATGTCTGATAATACGTGGAACTACTCTTTCGGAAAGTTTCTTGAACTATTTTTGTATCAAACTGGTGTCTTCTGTCGAGCTGACATTTGCCCACATGACATGGCTCGTCACCATGTGCGATATTTTGGATCTAAAGATTTAGCTATTCAGTTTCAATATAATCCCATTGATTTGTTGGAAGTTACTGTCCCGCCAATGAAACTATTTATGCTTAGTCAAGTTCAGATTGACCTTAAAGAGGCTGAACTAAAGACTCTGCGTGGAAAGATTAACAAATTTTATCAATCCATCGCTGAGCGAAATAAGGCATTCCCATTCGATTTAGTTGATCCCCGAAATTTGGAGGCATGCAAAACTGAATTACAAGAAATGTCGCACATATGCGTTGGAGAAAAAAAGCAAGTACTCCAAATATTGCAAAACGTGTATGCTACAACCGAAGCAAGTGATACACTTACAATGAATTGGGTGCGACGTATATTATACCAACAGATCAATCAGTGGGATCTAGAGTACGCAGAACTGGTGCGTTATTATTTGCAGCCTGAGAGAGAGTTGCGGAAGATAACTACCGGCCATCTGCGAAAAATGTTCCCCACAGATATGTCCGAAGCAGCCATTACACACATGGACGATGAGCGTACTAAGCGAGCAACTGAAGTAACAGATCTTCCATTGTTAGGGATTGGATTAGAAGAAGAAGAAGAACCTGGAATTGGTCAAGGAGCTCGAAAAGCTGGAAAAGCGTCTTTTGATTGGGACTACCGGCCATTGATACTTCCTAGTATTGCAGGCTCTCCCACGAATATAGAAACAAATAACAGTAGTCCATCATCCGAGGAAATTTCAAAAAAAGAGGAACCAACATCCCAACTCACAAACTCCAGGAAATCTTTATTGCGACCTGAAATCCGACGCCAACTTTCAATGGAATTGATGCGAGAATTACATTCCAAGTTCAAAAAGGATAGCGTATCATTAAATAATGAGATTTCTTTGTTTTCTGGAAACTATATACTGTCCAAGAGACATGTTCATTCCGCTGCACCGTTTCCACCATCACGTATTCCAGTCCCCCACCTCACCGCTCAAAGAACTGCATCTCCTCTTTATGAGCCATATATGCCACCCCATCAACGTGTCAAGCAGATAAACAAAAAACCAACAGTTAAGAAAGCTAAGAGAGTTAATAATACATCAGTGTATAAACGACACGGTGTTCATGATGCTCCCCCAGCTACTGATTCAAAGTCCTTAATGGGAGTACAATATCGACCTATGCCAGACTTTCAGGCTCCCAAGCTTTCTCATATGACATCAGTGCAGCCAAACGATATCCGTCGAGCGGCATCTCCACGAGATCGTAATTTCCGTTCACGTTTGCCTCGCAAGAAAACTTATATTCAAGTATACACCCGTGCAAATGATCTCGTGAAAGAGAATATGGAGGACGAATTTTTGGTAGGCGATGACCCGATGGACGAGGATTGTAGCGAGCGCCGCGAATATGATGGATTTGGGAATACAATAATGCGAGATGCTCCAGTAGATTACTTTTCTCCCTTGGCACCTTACATGAGTAGTGTAATCGATTCACCAGATGGAGCAGCACTAGGCCATGGTGCGACACTGACAGCGACAGAAAATTCCTCATCTGTATCTAATAATGCTAGCAATAACAATGTTACAGAACCTACTGAGGACGATTTTGATAGATCTGATTCAGTGTATACATTACCTTCAGCCATAGATTTACTTAATCCACCCTCAACTGGAACATTGACTACAAGCGTATCAACATCAGAGCGACTACAAGAAGAAAAGGCAGAAATGTCATCTGGCACATCTCTAACACGAAACATAGAGAATCTCGAAGAATATCGCCACTCTCCTCCTGAAAAAAATTTGTTTATGAAAACAATTACTAGTTTCTTGACCGATGGTGGTGTTGCTAGTCTTCTACCTCTTGAACCCCCATTGTAAGTATTTACTCCAAAAGATCATGTTATTAACGATAATATATTTCATCGGCCTAGACAACCAACAGAGCATATATTTCCAGATTCATTTGTCGTAGTTCGGGAAGATGAGCCGAGCACAATTATAGCATACACTCTAAGTTGTGATGACTACTTAACAAAGATGCAAGAAATGAACGATGTTGGTGTTTATGATGGATCAGATAGCATGCCACTGGTTCCATTGGCAGTGCCTACAAACTACCCGTTACATGACTACCCGCATGATAGTGGAACAACAACTTCTTCAAATCCATCTCATATAGATATCCAAGAAACACTTTTGCGAGAATCTGGAACACACATGCGTTACAGTAAGAGTCCGAGCTCCTAGTTAATATTACGCAGTTTTAAATGATAATACTTTATTTAATTATCTATTTAGACTTTTCAGACGGAACTTCCAAATTCTTCTGTAAAATATTCTTTTCTGAGCAATTTGATGCTTTGCGAAGAAATTGCGGATGCGACGAAAGCTTTATTTTGTCTTTGGCTAGTTGCCTCAAATGGGACTCTTCTGGTGGTAAATCTGGTTCAGCTTTCTTGAAAACCAAGGGTAAATATAGAAAACTATATATATATATATATATATATATGACAATGTTATATTCTACATTATAAACTCTTTTTTTTTGCTTCACAGATGACCGCTTACTTATGAAACAGATGTCGCGGTACGAACTAGACGCATTTTTGTTGTTTGCGCCTGCGTATTTTCAGTATATGGCAGAAGCATCATTTAGTGAGGTAACTTGTTTTTTTTCCGGATACTATATGGTACTAAGCTAAAGAGATTGTCATTGCTCGATGTAAATAGCTACCTACAGTATTAGCAAAGATCTTTGGGTTTTACAGTATTGGATACAAAAATTCTGCGACTGGTAAATCAATGCGCATGGATCTTCTTGTTATGGAAAATCTGTTCTATCAACGCAACGTAAAAAAGGCAAGCATTAGCTCAGTTACATGACCTTGCATTGAGCAAACAGTGCTAATGTTTTGGTGTAATGGGTAGATCTTTGACTTGAAAGGTTCAATGCGTAATCGCCATGTACAGTCTACAGGAAAACAAGATGAAGTGTTGTTGGATGAAAATCTGGTTGAATGTAAGTCTTTTAAGCCAATAATATATATATAATACCTCTATATTGTTCCTCATTTTTTGTTTAGTGATATATCAATCACCCCTTTTTATTCGCGCATATTCCAAAGAAATTCTTCGAAGTTCACTCCACAACGACACCTTGTTTTTGTCAGGTCGTAATGTAATGGACTACTCACTTTTAGTTGGTATTGATGAAGAGCGCCAAGAACTTGTAGTAGGAATAGTGGGTAGGTACATTATACTGAAGGCATAATAACAATGCCAGTAATTCAAATAATAATTTGTCTCTTTTAAAACCAAGATTTCATACGAACCTTTACATGGGACAAGAAACTTGAGAGCTGGGTGAAAGAATCTGGGTTTCTTGGTGGAGGTGGAAAAGAGCCAACCATCGTATCACCAAAGCAGTATCGTATTCGGTTCCGAGAGGCGATGGAAAGATACTTCTTTATGGTTCCAGACTTGTGGGCTCTCGCACGCCAAAGTCGCCATCCGTATTCTAGTCTTCATCATCATTCGGCCCCATCAGTAGATGATTGATATACATATACATACTTTTAGGAAAAAACCATAGTTCACATATTATACATATAGACACCCTACATTTAATATCTTTGCATAATAAAATATACATATATTTTCATATAATATGTTTAGTAGGGTCTTAACTACATATGGCTTTGAATGAAAGAAAAACCTAGGACGCGGACTTCCATTTTGCAAAGGTTAGGCTGTAATAAAGTGATACTTCCTCATAAAAAGTAGAGTGCTTTAATATTAAAAGCAAAAACAAAAGAAAATAAAAAAGGATTATATGTGGAATGTACTTATACGAAAAAATCTTTACAGACTGACTAGAGTTGATTTTTTTATTGCTTCTTATCTTCCTTTACATCTCAAACCAATATCACATTAATAAATACCTATTATCATAAATGTAAGAATAAGAAAAAAAAAGTACCTCACCATGAGTCGACAAAAACTTTATACTAAAGAATTATTGTTCTCTAAAAAGGCAGCATTTTCCAGGAGAGATCAAAAACGTCTCGGACATCATTTATTCAATTATTAGACAGATCAACAAAAGATGGGAAGGAACTAGAATGACTGGCTCAAAGCCTAGGTTAGAGATACCAAAGAAACTAAGCGTTTGTAGTCAAGCTGCCTTCTGTTTGAGTGTGAGGCAAAATCAATTTGAGAAGTATGAATATCATCGAGATGGTTTGGAACATACCGGCGTAAAAGTTTGTAGAGAGACAGCCATCAGCTATCTTCGCATAAATAGTTTTGGGTTTTATATCTCAGTGGAAGGTCCATAGCTAGTACGGTAGTCTAAGACTAGGGTAAGTTGGTATGGTCAGGGGAGTTCAACTTTATGATAAAGGACATTGAATTTAGCCTATCTATAATCCGTACGCCTGGAAAAGGTCTAGTAATGATGTGAGGGTGCTTATAGGTTGAATAATATGAAACTTTCGCAACTCTTGGAACTCTTAAAGTCTCTGTTTCTCACAATGTTTATGTTGACCGTTTACCCAAGGACTTTAATTTCTGGTATCAGAAATTAAACAAGAAACATAATATCATACCCAATTTCCAAGAATACAACGTCAACTGATATATTAGCTCGTATAAGACACGATAGAAGAGTTGTTGGAAAGTAAAGCGATTTGACTACTGGTTTTCCTAATGCCCTGATCTAAATCCAATTGAATACTCATAATGAGAAATAAGTGGTGATGTGCGGAAGAATATAGAAACCAAATTGGCAAAAATAGAGGATAAATAAGTAATAAGGAAAATCTTAAGACCTGCATTCCTAAAGAGTGAGAACAAATGGACCCGGAATTTGTTGCAAGTATGCTTGACAGAATTAAGACTGTGATTGGTGCTCGTGGTGGAAACACCAGATACTGATCTCTGTTTTTATTTTCTATACCATATACCACACTTTATTGTAATATAAAATTCTAAATCTTTACAGTAAACAGTTCAAGAGATATCTTTTAAAGAATATGATACATGTATATTTCAGGGTGCTAAAGATGCTATAATTTTGGGAAGGCATTTTTTTTCTCTGATTATGCAATCCTGTATTATATTTGAATTCATAAAAAAATAGGCTTGATCAGTCTGATCCAAATGTTCTGTAAGTCATATATTGAGGTTTACCTCCTTTAAATATATACATATAATTGAGTTTTTATTTTAAAAAAATCGGAAGGGGCTCTAGGTTGACTGTAATGAATCTTATATGATTTTTTTAGATGAACCAAGTGTAGAACAAATCAAGGCACTTTGATACAGAATGACTTGAATTAGATCATCAACAGATAGCCATCGCATGATGTTGCAGCCAGTTCTAGTAGGTGGTTAGCTCACTTCTAGAATTCCCTAAAGGAGAGTAAATAGAGAATAGAAAATACATATATACTTCTATGATTTTAATAATAAAAGATCCAAAAAAAAAGGCATATATAATATTATTTTCTAACCTTGGAGATATTTGATTACCTACTTGTGCCTTCTCCCCCTTTTCGCTCGATATAATAAAGAGAGAGGAAGAGAAAGAGGAAGAGAAAGAGGAAGAGAAAGAGGAAGAGAAAGAGAAAGAGAAAGAGAAAGCGAAAGAAAGAGAGAGAAAATAAGGCCCCTTCTAACTAAAGTCTGTAATATTAGTTTCAAACAAGATAATCTTGGCCAAAAGACGAACACTAACACACTGAAAAACGAGGGGGCTCTGAACCTTTTATAATACATTCAAGGGATCCCCCATAGACAAGGAAATAAATACTTCTTTGAAAGCCAAATATAGTCAATATACATACTCACCATATGTATGTCCTCTTATAATCTGAGCGAGTTCATATATACTGTGTCTATAAATATGCTGCAAGTGTGCTAGGATAACAACCCTGCAGAGCCCTTGATTCTTCTCCTTTCGTCTCTGGGCCTATAATTTTCTTTTCTTTGTCCCTTGCCAGATTATTACTTCTCCCTCTTTATATTTCTTTATATTTCTTTTTACCACCTACCTCATTACAAAGGATGGGATTAGGAATGGAAAAGTGCTGCTGTTTTATTCCATTACGATCAGGTACACTGATCATCTCAATCTGGTTCTTTGTAAGGAACGATCGTCATGAGCACACTAAGCTATAAGGCACTTTATAAAGAGCTAACACGGGTAGTATCTCCTAGATCGTATATTCGTTTGACATTATTGCTTGCTTCACGCGTGTCAATGGTATGAAAGTCAAAAAGAAAGCGGGAACAAGGTTCTCAATGCTTGACTATAGACGGACCTCCAAAACATTTTTTTTTTAAAAAAAACAATAAACTTAATTCTAATCTTGCGTTCTTGTGTAGCCTTTGCCCTTTATGCTGCTCAATCTGCCTGGCTGTGGCTTGATATATACCTAATACTGAGCTTTTTTGCCGTACTAAGTGGTCTGATAGGTGTCTTTGGACTTTGTTTAGTAAGTATTCCCGAAGCTCTGAGAACGTTTATGATAGTCTTACTATTTTTGATAGATTTCAAATATACGATTTGTAGAAGGGCTGAGTAAAGTCGTGTGGGTGACTTGCTTGCTTTCATTTTTGAAGAGCATGGTCTCGATTATCCTCATCCTGACCCACCGAGATACAATTATCCGAACTTGTCTGAGATCAGGGATCATCAGTTATTCAAACCCAATGGAGCTGCTTCAGCCAGCAAATATTACAGAAAGTTCATTTTATTCGCCTGTTCAGTATCCACGAACTCTTAATGCACATGCAGAAAGCCTGAATGAATGTCGGACTGGTATTGGACATTTAATTAATCTTTTCATAGTCCTTGTAGTGCTATTCAGTTTTCTTCAGGTAATAAGTTCAACGGCTAAAAGCAAAGGCTTCGTTGTACGATAAAGTACTTATTATATCTGACTTTCTTCTTACTTGTACATGAATATGCATTAGATCTATTTTGGATTTGTAGTTCGTGCTTATGCAGGGCGTCTTACTAAAGGTGCTCGACACCATAGATTACATGATCAGCAAATCAAAGATTTCGAGGATTCCAGAAACCATATGTCGACCTTATATTAAAACCCATTAAACCCAATAGAGAACACAATATCTCATTTGTCTATAGCGTAAATAAATGAATAGCATATATAAAAGCATTTGAGTATTTCAAAACAATAAATAATTTAGATGGTCGCTGCCAATATAGCTAGCATGTAGCAGTATTTATAAGATACACTTTAAGTGGACAACTTAAATTCATTCACCTGTATACGAGAAAAAAAAGGTAGATGTTGTACAAAAAGAAAAATAATCACTTTATAAAGGGTAGTATCATCACTGTAATGATGTATAGAGATAGAAATATAATAACAGTGACCCAGAGCCTTGGGAAAGAATGATTTGTTTATTATACCGTTTTTAATACAAGTTGATCTGTTCCCAAAGTGGCCTTGTGCTGATTTATAACAACGGTTGCAGAAATACAGAAATTAGCGTGTATAAATAAAACATCATAAACATAAACTCGCATATTTAAGGTGTTGATAGAGTAATATCTTAAAGGACACAAATACTTTGAACGGATCATTTGAAAATAGTATAGATATACGAAAATATATATTCGATATACTATGATGAAGCTGTTAGTAAAGCTTATACTCAAGAGATATCAATGTAGAGAGTCCCAGGACTTAAAACTCCAGGCGAACACGCTGGTTTATCTCGAGCAGCTTTCTATAAGCCAATCCTAATTAGGTTTTTATAAATACAATTGAGTTTCTCGTGAGCAAATTTTTAAGACAATATATGTCAGGTTTTAACCCATTAGTTTTACTTAGCAAATACGATTTATGGGATTTTAGATTCTTCTAAATTTTATTCTATCAAATATTCTAGATATAGTAGATATACAGTTCTTTGAGGTGCTTATATTCTTCTTATACTTGGTCCACCAAATGCATAATGCTTTATATCGAAGTTCTATAAATCAAAATAGTAAAGAAAAGCAAGTACGCAAAGAAGTACTGGGTTATAGGCCATATCGTAAAATACTAGTTATAACTTTGCTATAATATATATATGTGCTACATTTTATCTTTTTTTTTTATCTAAAGAAAAATATCTATTATTTAAGGACTACACTATTTATGAGTATACACATATTGATCAATTGGCTCTTTTCAGCAAATGATCTAAACGTGTTTTGTTTTGATATTACTACGCCGGACTCCTACTTTTGAGAAACCAGAGAATATATTCTCCATAACCCGCTAAACCTATTGAAAGCTCTGGTTAGCACACAAGTAATTTTGAATAACAGACTGTACAACGTACAAAAGACTCATCTGTTATCTTTACTTAAATTACTTTATATTGCCCATACCGCTGATGTAGATTTAAAGACCTGTTATAATTCAAATATTTTACATCATACTATTCAACATTATAAAAGCAGTTTTTGTTGGTCACGTAAAATGCTGTTTTTTTTTGTAGTTGGTATACACTGTATACCTCTTCCTCTTTTAACAGTATATATACAGTTTTTTTTTTTGGAAAAATATATGTCTATATTTTATCAATACTAAATTCGATAACTATTAAGCGTGTTGATCTTTGTGACCTTTAACGATTCAGACCGTCGTAAGAAATAAAACAGAGGAGAAAATACTTTGTATTTTTTAAAAAAAAACATTCAGTTATTAATTTTTTATGGTAAAGCCTTCTTTAAGTTCAAATAGAAAATGTAGATGATCTCTATGGTGTATTTGTCCCTTTATCCAATTTTGAAGCTTAATAAGCAGTTCAAAATGAAATGTTCATTCAATAGTTTTTATTTACATATCAGTCTCAAGGCACCAAACTGGGCTTAAGGTGCTTTACATTTGGTAAGATCAGAATAGGATTAAAAAAGCTGCTAACCTTTTGGAATTGACAGCAAATTCTTTCCTGTAATGGCTTAAATAAAATCCTACATCCGCAAGAGAGCCAAAATACGTTATTTCCAATAAAAGTAAAGGGTCAAAAAGTAAGTTTTACGCAAAACATCCTCAATATTCCCCTCTGGAATCGCCCTTTTTCCTATAGGGCAATATTATTTTTATACATAATAAAAAAACATACTCTTAAAGCTAACAAAGAGACTACAAAGAGTATTTATTGAAAAAAAATATTGATACTATTCTAGTCGCTTGTAAATCTAAATATATTGTTATTCTTGAAACCAAAAGAAAAAAGAAAAACATAGACCTTTTCTAGAGAAGATTTAAGTTTTAGTTTATTTAATTGCTATTCTATTATAAAACTAGTTGGTATTTTGTCTCATACTAGCTTATATACATGATAAAGCGGTATTCCTGAGATTATATAAATACCTACCTGAAATAATGAGTATTAGTTATCAATATTAAAAGAAAAAATTGTAATTTTGGATCAGCAGTATAGGAGATATTTTATTTTTATTTTAGATAATGCCAGTGTCTTGAACGTATATATCACACCACCTTGTCTAAGACATCTAAACTATCTAGACACATTTATGTAAATAAGTACTGTTCTATCAACTGCTTATCCGTTACAGAAAACTGGTACAATGTCCACGTATCATGAATACATAATCGTCTCGGGCTAACACGTTAAGGGGCACATTCATCAATGGGTGAGAATAGTTAATCGAATATAAAACATCAGATAGATTCAAAAGACTTCATCTTTGCTTCGTTTTTTTTGTATCTGTGATCATGGCACTGTACGCTGCCTGTCAAGGAAACAAATTATTTATTCTTGTTCTTCTTGGACTGTATCATCTTTTAATTCCTGTGCCATGGATAAAACAGATTTTTTGTGACGCCTATCCTATAACAGTTGTAGTTAACTCCGAACCTTACCATTTTGACCCTTCGTTCTTTATCATGAAATCACCTGTCAACGAATTCCTCGACAGCATTCATGCTGAGTTGGCTAAAAAGAGTGACAAGACAAAACTAGTGATAGTTACCGGAAATGATTCTGCAGGTAACAATTGTGCTCATCTAATCTTGTGGACTCATCATGAAGATTTGTAGATCTCGATTCAATCATCTCTGCCCTGACTTATGCTTATATTAGCCAAAAGTCCAACAAAGACCCTTTAACGATATATGTCCCGCTGGTAAAGGTTCCCAAGGAAGATCTTTCTCTAAGACCAGAGACATCCTTTGTTTTCACAAAGGCTGGAATTGATGCGGAGAAATTGGTGTATATTGACCAAATTGACTTGGGGCGAGTGGCTTCTGAATACGATGCTCGCGTATTCTTGGTCGATCATAACCGACTGACGGCACCATTCGGAGAGGATTGGAACGACCGTGTTATTGGAATTTTAGACCACCATATAGACGAAGGACAGTACAAATGGGCAAATCCTCGCAGGATTGAAATTGTTGGATCGTGTACCTCACTAGTAGTACTTCACTTTGAGGATTTGTTCAAACAAGAAGAATATGCAGAGGATTTGTCGAAACTTGTACTGGCTCCAATTCTGGTAGACACAATCGGAATGGAACCGTCTTTCGGGAAGCTGACTCCAACAGATGTTGCTGCATTTAATGTATTGTTGAACTCCTCTCCTGTGAATACGAGTGATTATACAACAAACAGTTATTATTATGACATTGAAAAGTACAAATCCGATGTGAAAGGAATGTCAACTCGTGATCTTCTACGAAAAGACTACAAGGAGTGGGTGGTTAATGGCTTCCGTATTGGCACAAGCTCTCTTCCGTGGTATCTTCAAGGCTGGCTACTCCATCATGGGCCAGAACAAGCAATCGCAGATACATGGAAATTTGCAGAAGAACGTAATTTAGATCTCGAAGTTATCTTAACATCATATGACCATTCCAGAGATGTGGAGGGAGGTCCTTATAAACGAGAGATCGGATTATTTGTCAAGAACAACAAAATGGACTGTATCAAGAAGGACTTGGAAAATGGAAAGACACCCCCAGGTTATGATAAGTCTATTGTATTGGAAAATCTGAATATATATTATGGCAAGGAAGACAGTCGGATTGGTCTATATGATCAGCATGATGTGAAACTGTCAAGGAAGCAAATATGGCCGTTGATCCAATCACTCATCGAAATGGAATGGAGTAATCAAACTAGCAATTTACCGGGAAATCTCTAGTTCGATAGTCTAATTAGGCAATTCTACAATCCAACAGTTATGGGACGAAGATTATCTGTCAGCTGTACATACACCTTATTCAGAAGTGGTATTTATTCTTCTACTCAATTTTTTCGGCTGTATTGGTTATACTTATAATATAAACTTGAATAGAAAATAAATAGATAAACTCAAATATATGTGAAAACAGACACACAATTCTTTTATAGCCACATTATTTTTGTTAAACGATATATTCAAATATGGTGCTGTGATAGACGGGCATATGTATGTGTATACGAGGCGTGATGTTAAATTTAAAGACAGTGCACCTTACAAAATATGAAAAGTTGGCCAACTGACAGCACGCGGTGGGCTTGGAGGGATTCTATTTGCAGAAGAAAAAATAAGAGAACATCAAGAAAAATAGTTATGGCCATTGGACTGTGTGTAATGAATGAATTGGTGGGCTGACGGGTGGGGACAAGAATATCCATAAAGCAGCCAATCATTTTCGCACGTGGGATTTCGCATGTTGACCATGTCCCAAGCATATATCAAATTTCCACCGATTCTATTTCGACAAACACAATAAATACTCGTTTTATTGATCTTCTTGCTAAACATTATCTTTAACTATACAATGTTATCCTGTATCGCGTCTTCAAGGAATCGTCTCCAATCCGCCCTGGGATTGTCTCGGCGTATACACCCTCACATCAAACAGACTAAAAATACACCAACTGATCTTCCCGGTCGTCTATCTTCCCTTCCAGAGGAAATACTTTTGTGTGTGTTCGAGCAGCTCAATTCTAGTCAAGACATCGCTTCTTTTGCCCAAACTTGCCGTCTATTCTATCTGGTGGCTTCCCAGCCACGCTCATTAGCATTATGGCTAATAACTCGGTTTGGTGCTCGGTTTGCATTATATTACTCTATCCTTGAAATGCCTGCATACTGCGACGAGCACTTTATTCGATGCTTATTAAATAATGGCGCAATAATCCCACGCCATCTGGTGCAGGCCCTTGTGATGACCTACGGAAAGCCTTTGGTTACATCCCTATCTACACCCAGACCTCCAAAGCTTCCACGGGGTGTTGGTCTTTTACCTTTTCTTGATTGCATCTTCGCAGACTCAGTCCAAAAGATACCCTTTTCTGGATATGCCACGCTCATGCAGCTATCTTTTATAGCATACCAAGATATCAAATTATGCACCAAGGCAGACGATCTCACACTCTTTCTCAAACTGATCTCTTGTAACTCTCCTATTTCTAAAGGCATCAACAATCTGGTTCAAAATTACGCGTTTATACCCGCACCCATAGTCCAAAATCAAACTACTCTCAGTAAACACCCTTCTTTTCTCGATCTACTTAAACTGGCGACCTCTTCTCCTTCCATTTTCCACAAGATCGGATTTGTATTTGAGTTTGACCCATTGGCAAGATGCCAGCTATGGGAAGCATGCCACCTTTTGATCTTTGATATTGCATTCAAGGCAAATCTCGATGACAGACACCTTTCTCACCTGAATTCCCTTGCCAAGGTCTTTCACTCAAAGTCAGGGCAGCTGCTTATCAATGAAATCAAAGATGAAGATCTCTTCCGGTTTACTTTTGTCAAGTTTTTTACAAAATATCCCTCAACCTACTGCACCCGTCAAACAATGTTCAATATCCTCACTCTTTTCGTTCGTTATGTTAAGCCAGGATTTTCTATTCCGGCTGTTTTCAAGGCTATTGCAGAAACACCTTCTACTCGTACCGATATCCGTACTACACTCTTTGACTTTCTTAAATCTTCTCCATAATCTCTTGTATGCATAATCTATTCTCTAACCTTACTTCCACTACCCAAATTGTATATATCCATTAACTCTATATTTTTTTTTAAAGAAAATGATACTTTACTGATATCAAATATAATACAGAACAATATGCAATAAATAAACACATGCGTATATCTATTTATGCTTATATCTATCTGTCTACCTATTTAAGCTTTGAATCGGCCATTGCGATTCTCTACCTCATAGCGGACATCTACAACATCTTTACTGGCCTTCCCAGGCTTCATGCCAGCTGTAATAACATCTCCAGCTTTGATAGGGCCCACTCCTTTTGGGGTTCCTGTCAAGATCACATCCCCAACCTCCAGTTTCATAATGGATCCAACGTATTCAAGCAATGTAGGAACCCTGTATTTAATATAATTAGTAATAAGAAACTATATACCATTCAGTAAACTTACTTGAAAATCATGTCTTTGGTGTTGCCTTGTTGAGTAAACTTTCCATTGACCTTATATTAAAGAGGAGAAAAATGAGTCGATCATTCTATGGGCTTTAATATTAATATTTCAGACTTACCTTGAGCCAAAGATCTACATTGGAAGCATCGGGAATACTATCTTTGGGAATAAAGTCACTATAATAACGCCCTTGAGTTTCAAAAGAACAAACCCGAGGAATGATAGATAAACAACACCCGGAAATTGGCTTCTAAATTGAATCTTGTTACTTTTATACCTGATTGGAGTGAATGTATCAAAGCCTTTGGCAGTACTCCAAGGCAAACCTTGCTTCTTGGCCTCATTCTAAATAATCGCGTTTTTTTTAACCGTTAGATTTTTTTTTAGTTCATTTTTTGTTTTTTGGCTTTGTTTACCTGAAGATTTCTGGCAGTCATATCGATAGCTAACGCATAACCTGCAACATGATCCATAGCTTCTGAAGCACAAAAGTCGCGTCCATCTTTACCAATTACTACAGCCAACTCAACTGCAGTTCATATGATAGTATATGCATATTAGACATTATTACTATATTTTTATTATATAATAATAATATCAAGCAAACCTTCGTGATGAACTTCGCATCCATTAGGAATCTCAACCTTGCCACCATTTGCTACGTAAGAAGTAGTAGGCTTGAGAAAGAAAAATGGTGATTTCGGAACAGCATTCCCAAGTTCCTTGGCATGCTCACTGCAATTGTCATTTAGTTTTGTATATAACGATTAGATTTGTACCTAAAGTTACGCCCAATGGCTACAATCTTGCGACCGGTTGTCAAAAAAGTACGTGCAGACATTATGAATAGAGAAAACAACAACAAGTAATACCCTGCTTAAATAACATAATTCTTTTAAGTCTCCTATGTCACACAAGAAACAAACTACCCAATTCATGAAACACAGATACACACACACACCAACACTCAATTCGATATAATTTTAAGGTTTTTTTTGGTCTTGCTTTTTCTTTTGGTAGATTCCAATATTTTAATCAAGAAGAGATTAGAAGGAAGGAATTTAATTTGATTTAAGCTACGTTTAATCAAAGAGACCAAAGCCCATATCGTCATCGGACTCCTCCTTCTCCTCAACGGCAGCTTCAACCTTGGCATCTTCCTGGGCAGCACCGGAAGCACCGGCGGCGGGGGCGGCAACACCACCAGTAGGGACGGAAGCGATCTTCTCCTTACCCTCGGCAATGAGCTATTATTTAAAAGAAATAAAAAAGTATTAGTTAAGTATATTTATATAGGTGCCATGTATTTATATTATTATTATATTATTATTTTAAAACAAATAAATACCTCGTCAACGGACTTGCCCTCGAGAGACTTGATCAAGGAAGCGACACGCTCCTGCTCGGCCTCGACACCGACGGAACCCAAAAGGGTGGTGATGTCCTTGGCGGTGGGGGAAGCCTTACCACCGGAAGCGAGAAGAAGATAAGCAGCGAGATACTTCATGATGACTGTCTATCCAGTTTATTAGTATATCCATCCATCTGACATTCATCCATCCATCATTATAGCACATATTCCCCTTTTCCTTACCGAAGAATAGGTTTGATTGCGCAAGTAACGTTTAACTCTTCAAGAGATACAAGACGCTTAAGGAAAAACGAGCGGGGCCGGTGGGTCCTTTTGATGATCCCAAAAAAAAAATCGAGTGGTCACTTTTGATTGGCTTACTCCGACCCAAAGTTAAAGAATCTGGAGTATGGTAGTGAACAAAAATAAAACATAAAAATAGAAAAAGTCCATTGTTGAAATTATATGAGAATCAACATTATCTATATATCCAAAGAAGAATACGAAAATATAGCCAGCAATAATCAATACTACTTGTGATTGTTAATAACTTTTTCTTTAATTTTTCAAGGAGGCTGTCCAGTTATATTACTAGATGAACATTTTTCTTTTTCTTCTTCTTTTAATAAACCAAAGGTGTATTATTTAGGCTTTTTATTGTACTATTCTTCTTTGTTAATCTTTGGTAAGTGAGTAGTATTAACAATAGTTATAAATGAAATTAAAGGAGCTGGTGGCATGCTACTAATCTTATTATAATTGTCCTAGTGCGTATGCCTTTGCAACACAATGAAAGGGTCCTGATACACATATGCTACTAAAAAAAAAGCTTTGTTTGGTCAGAAATGGTTCAAAATTCCTTGATTTCTCTCACTTATCTCAAATTGGCCATTTGTGCATTAAGGGTATACTTGGTATGACGTGAGTCTTGTGTAGTTGTATTAATATTGAGTGATACCAACCACGTCTTGAACAGAGCTCCTTTATATTCGTTTGATTGATTCAAAAGAATATATATATGTGTGTGTGTGTTTATACAGGCACTTTCAATGTTCTAAACCTTTTCTTGGCATTTATATTTGAGACAAAAAAAACAAAATAGGACTCTACTGAGATTAGACAATAAGTATCAACCTCGAGGATTATTATATCTATATATAAACATCGAAGCTTGACTAAACAAAGTATCAGACGTCAAGTTCATTGCGTTTAGTCTCATATTCCAAATGAAGTTATTCTTAATTTTAAATATTAATAATAAAAAGCTTAAAAGGCTTTGATTTCGCTTATTTTTTATTCTTACTTCTTTTCAATACTTTTATGTTCTTATGACTATGAAGAATTCTATTCCCACAAAAGATGAAGGAGAAAGGAATCTTCCTTTAATACTCATGCCTTGGGTAATCCTCCAGTCCCATATTTACTGGTGTTGTTCTGCACTGTATTACATCTGTCATCCACCCAACAGAAGCCCGCCCACTCGACGAAATAGTATACAATTATCTACTCCACATTTCTCAAAATCCCACGGAAGAGCACGGGCCTTTTCCGACCCTACATATCAGCAAGCTGCACCTGTTTTCTCAGTGCACGATACCAGTAAAGACAAACCAAAGCAAAATAATCGGTTTATGAGCACATTCCAACGTCGCCCTTATCGTACTTCGGATGACCTATTTCGCCCGACTATGCAACAGGAACGAGAAGGAACTACTTTACCGCCAGTGTGGATTCAAAAAGCACGCCATCTCATGGGTTCCTCTCCTGCAAATCTTTCCGAGCCTACAAAATCAAATTTATCAGGGCCGACAGCTAGCAGTAATGATTCCAAGCGAGGACCCATTCTACTGCGAAAGCTCAACAAAAAAAACAAAGATCAAAACCTAGTCAAATCAAAAGATACCAAAAAAAAGAAATACCTTGGTCTCTTGAAACAGACTACTATACACCCCTTTAATTAATAATTGTCATCACAATAAATTAATAATACAATTTGATATTGCATTTTTTTTTAAAGAAATACATTGTTGTAGCTATTGCTATTATTGTGTTGTTTATTAAGAGGCTTCGGTACAGTATCCACCTTATGGGTTTAATATAGAGATTTACATGAAAGAAAGGAGAGAATTATACACATTATTACTATGAAGATGGGTAACTGGCTATAGAATGTCACCCAGCCGAAGAATACAAGAAGAGAAATAAAGATTAAAAGAATTATAGGCCATTAGAAATATCGTCGGTTGTGGCCCGTGGACCAGTGTAATGATAGCGACCCCAGCCTATCCAGCAGGCGAAAGTAGATCCCAATACAATCAAGAGACCAAGACCAGCAAAGTTTGCATTGTTGGCTAAATAGTGATTACAATAAAATAGCATTCTTAGAAATCTTACGTTTTTTTTTACAAAAAAAAAGGAAATCCAGCATAGACTAAAATTGTATTTTAAATACCTTGAATGGGCCACGATGTGGGCAAGAGGAAAGCCAATACTGCAAACATTGTCCATGCTAGACTAATATAGGTTACAGGTCTTGACCAGCGGCCAAGAGAGAATCGGCCTTTGATGGGTTGTGGAGCAACTAATCGGCAGGCAAGTACAATACCTAAATATATAAAATTAATTAAGTATATCGTGTGGGGAAGAAAAAACGAAGACGCACTAGTATCCGATTTGGATAGACTCAACCCAAGGTCAGAAAAATTTCCGCTTACCATAGGCCAAATGAATGGTGATAGTTGTTGCACTAACAATAGTTTCAAATAAATTCTCGGACAGAGGAAATGGTAGGACAACAATACAAGATAGCACGGATGTACATATAATTGCATTGGCAGGCAGTTTTTGGCTATCCAAAGCACACAATCTTTCACTCATTGGGGTTGCGCCGTCTCGAGCCAAAGCGTAGACTTGTCGGGATGCAACAGTAATAGTTGTAGCACCAGTGCAAAATTGACAGACAATCATCAAGAATAAAAATCCTAGAGTTCCCCAGTATCCAACCGCGTCCTACACAAAAGTTAATATGGTTTCCGAAACTAGCATTAAATGTTCCTTACCCAAAAAAGTTGAGCCACAGGCATATCAAAGGTTGAATTGAGGACCGCATCAATATCTTGGACCGAGAAAAGAAGTACGATGAGAAAGACGAGGCCAACAAACCAAGACACAGCAATGGACATTGTCATTGCACTAGATCGGTAATATTAGAATTGAGTGTGTATCCAATGTTTTGGGTTATAGATAGCTTACAGAGGAGATGAAACATCTGCATCAACTGTTTCCTCATTTACTGAAGCTGCACTTTCACACCCTATACAAAATGGTTAAGCTTTTCTTTTAAAGAAAAAGAAGCAAATATTCTAAAATATATCTTACCGAAGAGGGAGTAAGCAGCACCAATCATGGCCAGAATAAACACATATGTTGGGTCTTCAAATCCAGTGTCGTTCTCATAATGGGTAAAAACCCAAGAAGCAGCCTGATGAGGGGCAAATATAGACAGAACGGCGATTATAGCAATGAGACCAGCGCAGGACCAAAATACACTCAATTGATTCATTAATGCCAGACCACCCAGACCACGCATGTTCATTATGGCCTGGAAGAATGTGATGATAAGGGTGACAAGCATCAAAGCCAACTTTGACAATGGGATACCATACGTAATCTTCATGATTGTTCCGGCAGATAAGGCTATTTAGTCGGCATAAGTAACTTAAACCTTTTGTTTCTCCTTGAAGCACTTGCCTACTGTCACATTGGTTGCACTAATAGAAATAACATTCGCCATTGTATAGATCCAGCCGGTTACAAAGGCACTAGATAGCAAGTTAGAATACAGATACACAAATATACTGCTATTTCTTTTATTTAGACCTACAGAAGAGGAGCGTGTGACTTGGCGCGTGGATGGATATGAAGAAGTTCATAAACCCAGTAGTATAATCCTCCACTCAAAGGATAAAGAGAGCAGATTTCGGAGAGAGAGAGGGCAACACAGAGCATGAAGCCAGCTACAATATTCCAGCTCAACAGCATCGTGACTGGTCCACCGCGTTGCAACACTAAAAGCGAATTTAATGACAGTTCAACTGTGTGGCTTTCGTACCTGTCTGGAAGGTGGCAGAAGCATTTGATAGAATTCCGATATTGGTGAATGCAAGGCCTGTAAATTAATGTGAGCATGTGTGTAATCCGGTCGTTTTGATAAACAAATCATACCGAATGTTGCAAATGATGATAGCTTTCTTTGGAGCTCCTGATAATTGAAATAATAAAACAAAGCGGTTAGTCCTGTACCATTTGCTGTATTCAATTTCTTATTATTTTTCTCTTACTTGTTTGTATCCCAACTGGTTTACTCGCTCCTCCGCACTAACAGATTCTGGAGTTTTTATTGAGATTGATCCGTAGGCAGCCTGCTTTTTATTCAAGCTTAATCCGGTTTCTTGTTTTGACCAAAGGTTATGTTGACTCATTGTTGATCGTCTCAATTTCTTTTCTTTTTCGAAAAAGAAAAAAAATCAAAATTTAGAGAATAGAAGAAGAGAAGAAAGGAATTCAAATACGAATAAGTTTATATATTATTTGTACCTGTCATCAGCTGGGGGCTTTGAAAGTCAACGAGAGGTTGATTGGACTCTGTTCTATTGCATGAACCACTTTTTCCCATGTTAAGCAAGTGCGCGTTGAAGGTACAGGCTACACAAACAAGCGCGAGGGATATTGAGACCTATTTCAAATGGTCGTCCTTTCTTTTTCTTTTTGGCTTATTGTTCTATCTAATCATATGGTTTATACAGCCTATTATCTTGTCATACGAAAATAGTCTATCAGTAGCTGCACTGACATGGTTGGAACCGGAAGAGATCCCTTACTTCTCGTTGTCTATCGTTTATCCCATGAGGATTGCAGATTTCTTAGGATAAGAAGGTTTATTCTGAATGTAAGGTAAACTAAACACCGTTTTTTTTTGTTTTTTGTTTCATAAAAATAAAAATAAAAACCTCAAAGAATCCTCCTTTAGCACTTTCACATCCGTCAATTCCTATCTGTATCTTTCTTAAAAAGGAAATTTTGTTATCCTAAATTAGAAAAAAGACAGTTTTTGATTGGCTGCTATCCAAACTTTCTCCCTCTGTCTCTCTCTTTCTGATTCTTCAGCCAGAAAATAGAATAAATTCCAGTAAGGGAAAAATAACTCATTATTGGATCTTATCGGGTCAAGTTCGCTTAATATAACACTATGTAAGTCGATAGAAGCAGTTACAATATGTGCTATTGTCTCAATACATGTTATATAGCCAGGTTGTTTTTATTATAATATTGCATTTTCTGACAAACTTGCGCATCTTATTTTTCTCTTTCTCCAAATCAGGTATTTTAATAATCCTCTCACGGTAGTTGGAAGCGTGTGTTTCACTGTTTACAGTTAATATATATATATATATTTTAATAACCTTTATAATCAAAGTCAATAAATGGAAAACCCCTGAAAATACATTCAATTAACAAATACTTGAACATTATATATATAAAATATATTCTCTTTATCGATCAGAATTGTACAACACATCGCCATTTTGGTTAATTTTGTCGTCCTAAAAACAATTTTATTTTTATTTTTACAAGCCGTGTTCTTGTTTCTTAAGAAAAAGTTGCCCAAGAATGTACTTCTGAGTGGGTCTATTTTGTTCAGACCAGCTAATGGTAGCTAGTAATTGGTTCATCTCATTTTAAATTTTATTTATTTTTACAAGGCAATATTGGGATCTCTTTATATTTAAATTAAGCAAATAACATATAAATATATATATATTTCAGGAAATATACAAACTGCCTTTTTGATGCACAAAACAAAGCATAGATAAGTAAAATACACAGAAACACAGATGTACTATAAATTATAGTTCTATCTAATTGGTATCTGAATTCATTTCTTCTTCTTCCTCTTCTTTTTTGCCATATAAAAATATAATCCACATAATTTTAATAAAAGGCTCTATAGTACAAACAGGTAACGAGAGCTTTCAGTATATAAATATGAATAGCCCGTGTCTATTATATATTGGGTTAATAGAAAACTTGTATTTCTACTTATTGCTCGTAAAATGCCAGTAATTTATTCACAAACTATAACTTTAGTATTTAAAAATAAAATAAAAAAGTCAAATGTGAATCTAATTTGAAGAGGTGTGCGAGAAATATATCAATAATACAGATAATTAGTAAAGAATATATTGTATATTACTTATACTCATACTAAGCTTCATAATCTACTCAACCACACGTCTCTTGGGAATATACATATAATATTTTGATCCATTATAAAGTAATACATAGTAGATATATTTATATATTTAAAAAAAAAATGTGCACTTGGCAGTGTGGAACAAGATCTTAAGGCGACGTCACTACCTCTGATTGTTGGAACACCGTTAGCCTTTGAGCTCCAGTCAGGTTTGCACACAAGGAATCACTATACTTTTTCTCCGACCTTCATCATGAGCACATCCGAGATTAAAGATCAAGCCCAGGAGCTTATAAACGCACCAAAGACATTTGTCAAGGAAGGAATCCAGTTCATCAACCGATGCAAGAAGCCTGATCAGAAGGGTAAAGCCTCTTTTCTTCACTACACGCACGCGTTACTGAAATTCTGTGTATAGAATTTCTCAAGATTTCCCAGGCTGTTGGTATGGGATTTGCTGCCCTTGGTGCTCTCGGCTACATTGTAAAGGTAAGAGGAAACTAAGCTAAATGTGATGAGGTCATAAATTCTCATCATCGTTATTAGCTCATTCATATCCCCATCAACAACATCCTTGTGGGTGCTGCTTAAAGTCATTGGCGTCACTTGGATGGTCTGAACGACCAAATACCGGTGCTTTGTATAATCCATTCTTCATTAATCATGCGCTTAGGCTCACTTTAGACATAAAATCTTGAAAAATACATTTTTGAATTCGACGTTTGACCTACTTGCGTGCCCTGTATATATATATATATATATCATGGTAATGTGGATGACTAGGAAGAATTATGAAAAAAAAATCGACAAAGTGTTTGTGCTGTACATGTTTTCTAAAAAGATATGGAGTGACTATAAATTCACCATGAAGGAAAGGAAATGGGGAAAGTTCATTGGTTTGAATTGGATTTAGTACGAAGTATGTTGACTAGATTAAATATTGTAAGGAATGAAAATTCAATCCTTTGTATTCTTGAAGAGCATTAGGGAAAAGATTAGTGCATACTATTGCTATGCACATATATTCAAACTGTAGCTTAGAATATAGTGACAAAAAGGGTATTGTTATATACAGTTAATATGTACATGTAAATGGCAATCGTATCATTAGAAAATGCCGGCCTAATAATGTGGTTCCTGGAGAAAAAATGACTGAGAAGATCTTTGAAATAAAATTTAGAGCCATGATAGCTATAATCTTTGGCTATGTGATCTAAAGCATATTGAAGCCAAGGCCTTGTAAAACAAATCATGTTTTGATTTATTAATATACGACTCTTCTTGGGTAATGATATAGTAGTATTTGATCATATAAAAAATCAAGATGGGGAATATTGTATAAAAATCACATTTATTCCTAACCAAGTATTCTAGGTTGAATACCAAGCAAACTTATATTATATGTGTAAAATCATATATATATGCATAGCTTAAAACGTGATATTTATAAAAGCCCATGAACAAATTACCACCATTTTTTTTCCATTCTTGACATTTCTTTTTTGTTTGAACTGTATTGTATTATGTTCTTCCAAAAATTAAATTAAAATAGTATTTATAATCTTATGAACTGGAGTTTTTGTGAACTTGAATAGTCAAAATCACTATTAATTTTTAACTTGCAAAGATAATCAATACTTCTTTAGTTTGTAAAAGAAAAGGCCTAGACAGCTATAGACTAACGTTTTCAAGGTATGTCTACTATAATGTGGACCTATTAATCGCAGAATCTTGGGCCAATACACTTCCTAATCAGCAACTAAGAACTAAGGATATTGCTGGAACCTCACTTTACTTTTATTTATTAATTTATTAGTTAAAGTTCAACGTTGTTGGATAAATATAATAACAGTAGAGTTTTATATGAAATTGGAAGCTAGTCACTCTTCATATGTAGCAAAAAGAAATAAATATTATGTTCTGAGAGGATTCAAGATGCTAAGGGTGTTTTTCTTTGCTTTGATAGTATGTTAAAATGTGTAGCTCTTATCAGCTTGTACTAAAGTTTATCACCCGAAAAGATGCATTATTAGTTCTTGTAATATGTTTTTAATAAGAGTAATTTTTAGGATAAAAAAGGACAATATTGTTTTTTTTTTCACAGTAAACAAATGTTAAAAATAAACAAAAACCTTGAGAAAACAAGTAGGTGATTTTTCATTATTATGAATTTCAGGGTAAAGGGATCTATTTATCGCGTCAAAGTAGTTTAAAAATATACCAATATTAAAACTACCCGCGGAAAAATAGTAGGTTCTTGTGGTATTCAAGTCTGACTACTGAGATAAATATAAAAGGAGTACAGAGAGAAGAAAGTCAAAATTAGTGTTACGCGACCTCTATTTACACCAAATTGAAAATAAGGGGCCATGTTTTTCTTTTAAAAAGAAAAACCAGGAACTTTGGTTATCTCTTCCTGAAGGGGAGAGGAACCTTATAAAAAACCAAAAAAAATGTTTAGAAGATATTCCAAAGGGTATTATAATTAGTGTCAAATCTCAAAGTTGCTCAGGTAATTTGATGCATGGAAGTCTAAAGTATATTCTGTTAAACATCTATGTATACACGATATATAAATTACTATTAGATGTAAAGGCACCTTGGTGTGTGCGTGTATGTGTTATTGATGTTTTTGTAGATGTAAGGTCTTTAGAAGTACATGTGTTGCACACCATATTGTAGTTATTTATATAGGTAAGGTAGTAGTACATAATGTTTGTAATAATATATATATATATTAAGAAGGGGTTTATATAACAGCATGATATTAGAATTGCTTTATGGGTATATTAATGATTTCTGATATGGCCTGTACGTAATTATCAATAGCTTGGTGGTACAACATGGTTCAATAATCTGTTTTCAAAGTAAGTATTAAATGTTTTTCGTTCCAAACGGCAAAATATTAGATAAATTATGGTTAAAGTTTTTGAAGCTAATTTGAAATTAAATATCTCAAGATGTATTTCCACAATATGATTAATTTCTAGTAACAAGGTTTATATGGTGAAACCAAGCTTATGTTAAATGAAAAAAGAAAACAAGGTTGATATACCTTAAACTCTGTTTTTATTCATTTCTTTCATGTACGGCCATAGGGAGAACACAAAATACAGAAAACGAAAACAAGGTTTGATGTAACTATGGCAACATAATACAATACGCTAATATAATATAATACAATTTATCCATGAAGATTAAACCGTCGCCTTGGTTCCATGGTTATAGATATCATTTGTTTTCTACCATAGAAATCTCTACTGTCAGCCGATTATACACTATTATTATTTATTATTTTTGGGGAAACCCCTTTCAAAGAGAAGGTTGTTCTTTAACATGTGATTTAAAGGTGTTTTAATTGCCATCTCTATGTCGCCGATCTATAAATCTATATCCATTGAAAGCTGATTTGAAACTGAGTATTCTTAATTCATCAGATTCTTTTTTTTCTAATGCCTTGCTCGGAGAAATATATTTTGCGATCAACTTCCCTATTGAACCATCCCCAAAAAAAACGATGCCTTTACGGTGACAACTGCCCTCAAATAAATACGTTTATTATCATCCTGATTTATTATTTTTCAAAATAGGTACTAAAAAATCGTTGTAAATGCAGCCCATTGTCTTAAATTGCTGATTTAAATTGATGACTGTTTTGTACCTTTTTTGGACATATCTGACTTTTACTGCAGTTGAATCAATTTTTTTTTATCGTATAATCTTTCTTTCTTGTGTTTATTTGTATATACAATATTTAAAATGCTATTACAAGAAGTGCCCTTGTCAGGCACAGACAAGAGTTCTGTGTGTACTATCGCATCAGAACATATCAAGAAATACGCTGAATCAGATAGTTTGCCAACAGAGTAAGGATACTCCATCAATTGGCAGTAATAGAATAAAGAAGATCTTTCAAGCAAAAACCGGATATCGAGATGTCAATGTTATACATGAATCAAAACAGTCGTATTTGAATATGAGAGCCTTACGTTTAATACAAAAGTTATTTATTTGCTTTGATATTCTATTTGAACACATTAGACTGTACAAGAGCATATATTCACAAGAACAATTGGTACGCAAATTTCACTACGACATATAAAAATTAAGAAGATCTTTAAATAACGACCTTTACATGGATGTTTATTGATTGATCAAGGCTTCCCTTTATAGATACACTATGCAAAGTGTTTTGCAAGTGACCCACCTCAGAGTACTTGGCTATTACAAAAAATATTAGATATACCAGGTGTATTAGTACGCTATGGTATCTTGTTTCCTTTGCGATTAGCAACCTTGAGTGCAGCCAGTATAGCATTTTTTACCACACTTCCAGTAGCAGTAGCAGCCAACAGTAATTACATGGTAGTAAGTATACATATGCACTTAAAAAAAAAGGGTCATTTTGATCATTCGATTTAGGAATGAATTAACTCATTATACATTACGATTCACAAAAAAATACTAGTCAACACTAGTCAAATACTATTGTAAAGCAATTCTTGTTTCTCTTGGTACAGTTGTTGAATACAATGGTGAAAAGCCTCATTTGACAGAGCCTCATGTGTTTGTGGTAAGTTTAATAATCATTTAGGCTTACAATTAGACCTAATCAACAGACTGATCATTTCAAAATTGTCTTTATTTTTCTTAAAAAAAGGCAAATCATACATCCTACCTAGATTTTATCCTTCTAAGTGCAAATAGATTTCCTAATGCAGTAGTCATGGCACGACATGGAGGTGCATTAGGTTTCTTACAAAACTATGGATTGAATTTTTTGCATTCAATGACCTTTGACCGGTCTAATATGGAAGAGCGCAGGCTTTTGTCAGAACGGCAAGTGTATAATAAACGGATAAGATAATAATCTCTAACATTGCACTTATATGCAATATAGGTTAAAAAGCCACGTAATGAACCCAAATACATGGCCTAATCCAATGGTCATATTTCCAGAAGGTACTTGTGTCAATAATCAATACGCCATTAGATTTCAAAAAGGAGCTTTTCAACTTGGTGTAAAGGTGTGCCCGGTTGGTATAAAGTAAGTCACATTTATACACAATTCAAAAATCATGAGTTGATATAAAGATACGTGAAATATATTAAGGAGTTATCTGTTTTGTGTTGAATTCTTTTTTTTTAATAATTCTAGGTATAACCGTGCGTGGGGAGACCCATACTGGGATACTAGAAAGGTGAATAAAAAAAAATACACAAGAAATTCACTTTATCTTTTTACTAAAATGTAAATTTTGAGCTAATTTTGAAATAGGGATTCTTGTACTATGGCTTTTATCGAATGACACGATGGATCACACCCGTCAAGGTTGTGTACATTCTACCTCAGAGTCAGACAGAGGACGAGAATTTTGCAGATTATGGAGAACGGGTCAGAAAGACGATTGCGGATTCCATTGGACTCAAGATAGAAGATTTCAATGGGATGGCTAAACGCGATTTGTTAGATAAGATCAATCTTTGATAGAGAAGTCATAAAGTAATCGTTATATAGATGCCTTTGCGGGTAAATAGGCGCATAGAATACACATTATAAATTCACGACATATTATATTATTAAAATCATCATTCATCATTCATTCTTCATCATTAATTTCTTCTTAAAAACATTATTAAACGATACGGCACAATGGATAAGCTCACGTTGATATTTGATTAATAAATAAATAAATAAATTACTATTACTTTTACTATTATTATTATCATTATTATTAAAAGAAGAAGTAAAAATGCTAATGGTAAGAAAACTTAATAAAAAAAAAAGAAAAGTCAATAAATATAAAATAGATGAAAGGTTGAATAAGGTAAATGATACGACAGATATAGAATAATAGTAGTAAATAATAAATAATAAGTAATGGAAAATGTATTTGGATCCAGCTATGATTTTTTGTAGTTTGTGTTCCATTTCTACTCAACCTTAAAGCTTAAATAGAATGCGGTCCTTGGGAGGGTTGGTTTTGTTGCGTCTGATGATATACTTTTTACCAAAATGCTGCATGACAACACGTTCCCAGAGAACAGTGGCAAGACTGTTCGCAAGTACGTATCCCCACAGTTTCCAACGGAAGGCCTTAGGAAGGACATTGTGTCCAATAGGAGAGTTGTAAGGGTCGATTGTCCAGTTAGGCTCAGGGTAACCGAGCTCAACCAATGTCTCCGCCGTACCACAGTTAATACGAAAAATGCAACTGTAAGGGTTGGGATCGGCGAGGATCAAGTAACTGGTACTGACAAAAAAGGCGGACCAGATGAATACAAGCACATAATTGCGCCACCAGGACTGACGGTAAATAGAGCCAAAGTTCACAACAGCAGCGTTGTTAAAGAATTGGAACATGATAATTAGGACGAGCAACTCAGCCTCATAATTATCGCCAATCAACCACCATTTGGCAGAGTCAACTGCAGACGCGTCAAATTGGTTACAGATAAACCAATCCTGCTGGAAAAGCCAAGCAACACCGGCAGCGAGGAACCAAAAGTTGATAAAAATAACACCAAGCACGGATCCAAGTGTGTAAGCACCAATAGGCTTGGCAGTAGGACGCGACGGACCGAGAACAGCAGCAGGTTGAGCCTGGGTAATCGCAAGTGTCATGGTAGTAGTAATAAAACCATCGATGGTAATCCAAGAAGACTGGGGTGCAATTACAGTGAAGTAAAACATACTCAATTCCCAGAAAGCCATACACTCGCCATAAAAGATCAGGAATTTGAAATTGGCAAAACTAGTGGCCAGAGCACTACGACCTTGTTTGAGCAATTCAACACATTGCATAATAGAACGGTTGCTGGTACTGAAAGGAGACACAATAGAAGCTTCGGCTTCAGACAGGGCAATACCAACGTGTGCGGCACGCAGAGCACCGCAATCGTTACCACCATCACCACACATGGCTGTAACACCCTTTTCCATATGAAGTTGAACACAGTCTACCTTGTCGGTGGGTGTCATACGAGCAAACACACGAGTGTGCAATAAATACTTTCCAATTTCTTCACGCTGGATTAACAGTTCAAAAGCACGTCCAGTAATTGCCAATTCAATTTGCTTTTCATGTTTTTCGCGATGATCTTCTTCGAGACACTGATCGACATTAACGCGTTCTCCAGAGTCCACATCATGCCACATCACGGATCCATTTACAGCATCACCAAGCAATACTTGCTGGTTGGGGGAAATCATACCGCACTGACGGGCAATAAAGATACCTGTGAGAGCAGTATCACCAGTAATCATGACTACGCGAGTATCACCTCCCTTGAGCTGGGAAATAGCATCGGTAGTGTCATGCTTGAGCATGTTACGGAATAAGATAAATCCACAGAAATCAGAGTCTTGCTCAAGAGCATCACGACTCATGGTCTTGATATCTTCCATCTCAATATCTTTACCGAGAACACCGAGGTCGCGATGGGCCATGGCAAGGACATAACAGCCCTTTTGTGCGTACTGAGCAGCCTTTTGGTCATAGTCAGCAGGGACAGATGAAGAGCGTGAGAGATGCTTAACGCGTTCAAAAGAACCTTTTAGGTAGACATGAACATGTTCAGTAATTGGATCAAGCACAGCAACTGACTGGGAGGCACGAGCATGGACAAATTCAAAGCGCCGCAATACGTGAACGGGCGATGAGGTGGCTCCAGCGGCTGGGGACGAGACGGGGCTGATGAGGGTGTCAAGGTACAAGGGGTCGGCGGGAGGGAAGAGCTCCCATTTCATGGCGTGGAAAGACTCAATATCGACTGGGTTTCCAATGAATTGATCGCCGACCTTCGTGACAGCATGACAGGTTGCGATACCGCGTGCAAGGGTCTGTTCTATTTCTGAGGGATTTTCATGGCGTTCGCCAAAACCAGCGCTGGTGGTGTGGGCTACAGCGCCATAAAACTCAAGGCCTTCTCGGGTGAGTGTGCCGGTCTTGTCGAAGCAGAAGATGCGGACTTTTCCGGAAAGATTGATTCTGGGTAAATCAATACAGAGAATCTTCTTGCGTCTCAGACGAGTGGCGCACACGGACTGGTTGATTGTAAAGGCAGCAGGCAAGAGGGGAGAGAAGATCTCGGATATGACAAACACGCCATAGAACCAGCTGGTGATGTTACCGCGACCCATGAGGTAGACAGCCAGACTGAAGGCAAGACCACCCCAGAGTAAGAGGATAGATATGGCAACCTTGAGATGTTCATTGAAGATGAAAGAGACGGGGGCAGGGAACAAGATTTTGTGGATCAGCATACCCTTTTCACTTGCAATACCTGTGCGGAGGGTCAATGCGCGAACACGGTTCACAGACTCTCCTGCTACAGTTGTGGGCATTGTCTGGGCAATTGTTGTACCAGCAAAAAGAGAATTGACTTTGCTGGATCCGTTGGGTTCATAGTCATTATCGTCCACACCGATCGCAAATTTGCGGATTGGCATGGCTTCACCAGTCAGAGAAGATTCATTTGCAACTACGGCACCACTGAGGAGTACACAATCACAGGGTACATCAGAATGCTGCTCGACTTCAAACACATCGCCTGGTACAAGATCAGCGCTTGAGACACCTTCTTTCCAAATGCCGTCTCTGAGTACGGTAACCTTTGTTTCGGTCTCAGCCATTTCCTTGATACGGTGCTCCGCACGTAGTCTGAGGATGACTCGAATAAAGGCAGCAGATAAAATGATACCAGTCTGTACGAGACCCATTTTGTAATAGGCAAAGTAACTAATAAAAGCATGATTAGCATTTGATCCGATTGGTTATCTTTAGAGCCATTTCCTTTTTTATATGTATATAAAGGAACTAAGGACTGGTAGATAACTTCGCTTCGATTCATAGAAATGGATACTTACTACCAAACCCACATACACATCATCTGATACAGATAGATAAAGGAGCTAAACCTAATAGAACGAAGAGGTTAAGATTGGATTGTCCTATTTGGGGTCTGTGGTACTCGGACACCCTTTTGTTGTGTAAGGTTACTTACTCTTGGATAATGGCCATTAAAACAGTGGGTACATATACTTTGATAAGGTTGGAACCCAGTAAACCAAGGCGTTGATGGGCTTCCTCGGATGTCAGACCATCTTGCCAGCTTTGAAGTTTGCGGTTCGTCGATCCAAGGTCAAATTCATAGGGCTCGAAGCGCATGCTTGTGGCATTGAATACATAACGCATGCACTCATACTCAAAGTATCGGAGATTGTTGGGTGTAAGATGCACAGGGCAAGTTTCAATAACTATATCCATTCTACATTATAAAAATAAGAAAGCAAAGATCAATACATATAAATAAATTATAATTGATGATTAAAACCCCGAATCTATAGAATATAACAAGTTTGAAAGAGAAAATTTTATGTACCCCAAACGTTTAACTGCGCGCTGTTCGATTTCACGGAGTTTCTTGAGCCATTTGCTATCATCTTCAAGGAAGACGACCTCAGCCTGGCGACGCTCTACCTGTACATAAGGACTGGTATGGGGGAATGACTCGATTCTAAAGTAGTTTCGAATTGTCTTGCGGAAGAGCATCACAACACAAAACCAGGTAGCAGCAATATGCCAAACAGCGCAAAATATCTTGGATGACAAGTCGGATGTCAAAAAGACTTCAAAAGCTACTCCTGTTACTGTTCCGTCTATTATGGGGTGACACACAAACACATGAAAATAAATGAAGAGTACAAACGTTAGAATTGGGTTTCTCTTTAAAGCTATAACAATGGAGATCAATCAACTTACAATAATCGCCCACAATTATTCCAATAAAGACGAAGAACAGAAGAGTAACGACCACAACAGAACCAAAACCAAACAGGCCAAAGTAATCTGTGACGTATCCTCTGAAATGAAGACGTTCAGATTCATTGACCGAAGTACCAGTGTTGATATCCTGAATTGAGGAGGACTTTTCTTTGGTGCTGTCGTTTTCACTAGGAAGTTTTGTTGTTGCCTTTTCGTTGATTGCACCGGATGCCACTGATTCAGCAAGAAGACGGTTGAAACGAATTTCTCGAACGTGTTTGTATGCATACCAGAACAAGAGGATTGCTGCTTCAGCACCCATCAGTGCCCACACAGCGATCCACATAGGCTCCGTAAAATTGAAGTATGGTTCGGGAAGTGGTGGACATTCAGCCCAGATAGAAGGGGTATCGAAAGTACCCCAAACATTAATAGCGTCGGTATTAGATATTCCGGCAGCTTGACCGCACAAAGTGCGGGCCTGGGTGAGTTTGTTGGTGGGATCAAAGTGGGTAATATTAATCAGTTGGCCGGCAGCACAGGCAAAATAGTTTGCAGCGAGCGAGGGATCACCACACTGACAAATATTGGCAATTCCTTCGCATGATTCTTGACAAGTACCGTCACCACAGAACTGGAGGCCTGTAGCGCAGGTTGCTGCCAGACCAGAAGGACAGTTTGCTAGATCTGTAACACACAGTTGAGGGCAGACAGCATCGTAAGATGGTTTGAGAGGACATGCAACTCCATCAAGATCGTAATCGTTTGCTAAGTATTCAAGTTAGTAAATTTAAATAAATAAATATGTAAAGCAGATAACCCAAGACTCACGAATTTCAAACAAGGGCAATGCCGTTGTTAGTTGCGAGGCGTTAAACACCAGGCACAGGGCTCCAAGGACCCAAGCAGCTCTCATGGAAAGGAAAGTGAAAATCGAGGTTGGAAAAGAGAGAAAGAAAATTAAAGAATTTAAGAAAAAAAGCCAATTTAACAAAGATTTGATCAACCTAAAAAAAAAAATCAAAAAAAAATTCAAAGCTTGGTCTGACAATATTATATATATCAGTAGTGTTCCCAGAAAGTGAAAGTGAAGTCGCACTAGATGAAAATAGATGTTGCACCAAGTTAAGAGTGAAGGGGCATCGTTAAAGGTGCACCACCGTTTGGCTGTCACAACAACGGGATTAGAAAAGACCTTGTCATTTTTTTATGTTTTTTTTTATCATCATCAAAATACATTGGCAAAAATTAAAGGTATAGAAAATTGTTAATGTTATCTGGCTGGCTTTGGTTCAAGACATGTACCGACTTAGCCCACCTAATAGTAGGAGTGTTCTAAGGGAATTTAGTAAATTACCCAAGTGGACAGATTCTTTTCTAAATTTCACTAATATAAAGACTTGATCGTACTTTGTAAAAATAAAATAAAAAAAAACCTTTTTCCCCAATATATATCCTATATTTTATAATATTTTTCTTTTAAAAATATATATATAAACTCCTAAATATAGCATAGGTAAATCAGATTATTACGGTAGCCGTAACCAATATTAGCAGTGGCTAGCAAAAAATTAGTTTTATAGAGTAGTTTCTAACGTACTTCTTTTGGTAGCTAAACTGCTGTGTATTCACTGTTTATTCACCAGCCTTCAAATATTTATTTATTAAGAATTTTCCTTAATGCCATTTCTCTTCTTTCAGCTTTAATTCATCAAACTCATTTACGCGTGTTATAGTCAGTAGATTTTTTTTTGCTGTTAATTTCGAGGCAAAATATGGACTGACACTGTGTTGAGATCATAATAGCACTCTTGTGAGAGACGGGATACAAGATATCACAAAGAACCAACAGTTTATTTCTAGTGCTTAGAAAGCTGTATTTGGTGTCTATCTTACATATATTTGATATGAGAATGAGTTAAGACAAGGTAATATGCACAAAACTATGAAGCCATCAATCTATAAATCTCCCACAACTAATTAAATACATTTGAATCGGGTCCCTACACCAGAAATACTCTTTATCATTTGTTGATTATAGAATTAGCTCTAAGCTCACCTTTTAAATAATTGGATCTTTATACAGTATAAAATAAAGAAAGAGCAAATATTTACTCAATACAACAATGTTACCATGGCTAATTTATTTGAGCCAATTTTTTCAATTTATTATTGTTCCTTTCTTTTTTGCTTTTCGTATTAAACCTCTCTACTTTATGAAAGTAAAATAATAAAGCTGAAAAAATGGACTATCCTTTATTTGTACAGTACGGCTATTTCTTCTTAATACAGACCTGCTGGGAATACCATTCTACCTTGTATTTCTCTTAAAGCGAGTCTACAAAGTAGCCTTTAATACATTTTCATATTCTCGGGAAGTCTTTGGAAGTATTATACATATTTGGGGTCGCTTATTATAGCCAGGAATTAACAGCATTTTAAGTGTTTAGGAGGGCATTTACTGCCTGCCCTGAAAAAGACAAACAGAGAAAATATAATGTTGTATATAGTCTCGTATTCTCATACTGCTGGTTTTAGAAGTGTGTTGAATAACTGGGATCAATTCGGCTGCCACTTTTTTGAAATACATATAAAGAAAAATTATGATACTGCCCAATATTTGATGGCTTCTATAAGTAAAATTATTGAAGCGGATTGTATTGTGTGCCAGAAAGACTTTAAGCTAGCATGTTTAGTCTTCGTTAAAAGAAATATGTAAACACTCATGAGACTATATCTTGTCAGATTAATTACTAAAAGTTTCAGATACAGAGACATATTCGCCACTTCTGTTCCATTGTCCACAGTCTACTTATATGTAGACATAGATCAAAGCTTATTTACATTAATAGACATGTAATAAGGTTATTGTTATTTTCATTTATCTGTATTGAAGAGCTATTCAAATAACTTTATCTGACACACTTTGACAAGAGAAAAAAAACGAGCGTTTAATCAAAACATAATGGAATGTGTTTCATGCAAAAAACTGACTATTACAGGTTTTTACGCTCTTTGGAACAATTAAACTTCATTTATAAACTCGAGAAAAAATAAAAGTCATTCACAGCTTGAAACATAGTTGAAGAATCTCGGGAGACAAAACGAAACGGCATCTTACCTTATAATTACAACTACTAGTTGATTACTACCATTATGGATTGGCATTGTTTTTGTGTCTTGTGGTTTAAATGCTAGTCGAAAATCACTTTTTTTTTCTTTTTTTTTCTTACAGTGAATACACAAATAAAGGTGATTGAAGTAGCTGGAATAATAGGGCTGCCAGTATTAAGGTTTGTGTTCATTCTATTTTACATGTTGATGTACTTTTGAAAGAATGGAGATTAGGTGAGCTTTAGAATGTCCAACAATTTAAATTTGACAATTGAGCATTATATATATATATATATATAAAAGCTGTATTAATAATAATAATAAAAATAGCAGAGAGGTGTTATTGTTGGTAGTTTTGTTTGACACGAACATCGTATTGATTCCAATATGTGTACCCGAGTTTGCTTTGTTTCAAATGGAATTGCAGTCTGTGCTCCATTTGACTTGTTCTTTCTAGAAGTCTAGGATGTCCAATCAAGGGCCTCTCCCAATTTCCTTGCTCGATTTCATTTGTTTCACTCTCAGATAGTCTACAAAAATTGTTAGCATCACACTTTACACGTCATCATTTTGTAGTCTTTCTCATCTCGATTTTGATTTTATGCTCAAAGCGGGATTCTGGTCTCTACAAGCAACTTTCCCAACTCCCCTTCATTTCATTCTGTCCCAAATATATATATATATACAATATATATATATATATATATATTTATACAACATACACCTATATATATATATATATACATAAATATATATATAAAAATATATACACATACATTATACACATATACACACATACGCATATAAGCATATAAAGATATACATTTAATAGATATATATATATATATTTTAAAAAAAAAAGAAAAAGAAAGAAAGAAAGAAACGGAAAAGGAAAAGAGAAAGGAAAAACCAGCTTAAGATAACACAGTCAACTTTGTATTTTACTATTAATTACTATTACTGTTAATTATTACTATCACTATTTAAACAACATAGTTGTAATATTAATCATAAACACCACAGCTCGTATATTCTTACACCCTCCCCCCACACACACACATACACACAAAATGTTACCTCACAGCACAGCAACAAAGAAATCAAGCAAGTATATATAAAAGAATAAATAAATATATATATAATTGCATCTAGTCTAATGAGATTTCCAAATGACTCGACTCATCTTATTCAGACATGACTGAAGAGCAACAGACAACTCTTCGCCAAAAGAGTAACAAGATAGACCGTTTAACGACAGGCAAGTCTAACAATGAAGTGAAGAGAGGGATAATGTATTTAAGAGATAAAAATGAGAGTACATACTATACCCTGGAGTGTAAAGAGATATATAGATAGAAAGGCAGAAAGAAGGATCCAATCAATGTCTATTTCTTGTCCATCATCAAGTAAACCTATTGGATGCGGCGGATAAAAAAAATCCCATTAGGCATTGCTGCATTGTCCAAACCTGTCTTGCAAGCGGAGGGTGCCTTGGACTGGTCCAAGCACGTCACACCCACTATCCTGACCGTATTTCAGGAACAAGATGACTGGACTCAAGTACAATCATTGAAACGGTCAGCAGGGGATGAAGCTGAAGGAGTTTTGTCCCCAGGTAAAGAAGGCGGCTGGAAGAAGATCAAGGGATCATTGGAAAGTCGGACTACAGATCCATCGGTATCAAGTACTCTCGCATTTGATACCGAAGATCAAAGGGCATTTGGGGCCTTACCAATGGAAGAAGACAAGGTGATAGTTCAATGCAAAGAATGCGAGCGGCCAATGCTGGCAAGTAGCTTTAGTGAACATCTGCAGGTGTGTGAAAAGCAACCACAAGGCAAAACAATCAAGGCTGGAAAGACCGGAGATAAAAAGGCGCAAAAGAAGGGTATAAAGGGCGTCCAAGGTAAACCCGAAGAAAAGAAGAGGTTATTGAACACAGCTCATACTGATAAGTTGATCTAGGAGAGAAGAAGAAGAAGGAAAAGCAAAAGAAAGCTACACCAAAGCAAAAAGGTATTACATTGTATTTGTTGAAGAAGATGATAATAAGTATTATTGTGTAAGCTCCTCTGGATCTTGACAAGCAGTGTGGTGTAATTCAGGGACAGAACAATACACCTTGTACTCGATCGTTGACATGCAAAAGTCATTCTATGGGAGCCAAACGAGCAGTGGCCAACCGATCGCAACCTTACGACGTACTTCTTGCTGCCTATCAGAAGAAATCCATTGGTCGGCCTCAAAGTATGTCTCTATTAATTTCACAAGACAACTCACTGTGCATACACACATATATGTATCTGTTGTATATATATACATATATGTATATATTTAGCTGGACCTGCCTCGACCGGGTCTAATCCTACGGCAGTGACACCAATAAAACCTCCACCAACCAGACCTTTACCAACAGCAACTATATCCACGACCACAACGCCCTCTGCTGTTGAGCCTGTAGTATCTGACGAGCACTATGTAGATTCTGACGAGGAAGTCGAGACTGTTATGGATAGCATTCGCCAGAGTTATCCGACACCGATGGCATCCAAACCTTTTTATTTTGTTAAGCGACGACGTCAATGTTTTCGGCTCCGCGACATATTGCTGGATGCTATTACACCAAAGACTACTACGAGCAATAATTCATTGGCCAGCAGTGTAGTAGCGCCGCCAGCCAGACCACCTCATCATATGAACTCTTCCCTTGCTTCGTCATCGAATACCTCCTTTCCTTTTATTCCAGGTCCATCTGGAATGAGTCACTCGCCGTCACCCAATAATTATTCAATCGATACCTGGAACACTGGGACATCATATCTATAATTTTTTTTATAAAAAAAAAAGAACAAATTTATGACCACCATGAATATTTTAATATGAATTATTATTGAAGCTGTGATAAGATACGCCTTGTGTATTGCAAAGTTTTATTATAATATATATATAGCTGTAATAGATTACGTAAAATTTATATAGACAATATACAGATATACTTTCTTATAGTTGACTAGTATTTTTAATAGGTCAAAAAATACAGGGTAGTCAGAGATTGTGTTACGGACGTAGAAGTAATTTTTTTTTCTTCTTCTTCTTCTGATGGATAAGAGACAATTTTATATATATTTGTATTTTTGTATTCTTAGTCTGATCTTAATCTCAACACCTTGGCTTATCCCCACCCCCTCCCTTTTCCATCAGGCTACCAGAATTGTGGATTTTCTTATTTAAGTAACGCACTGACTTTAATTTCTTTGTTCTCTAGATTTGTGGCTCTTCTTCTTCTTATTCTTTATTTTATTTTTTCTTTAATAATTTTTAAATATATATTTATATATACACTTAGTAATATCATTATCATATTCATTCTTTATACACTATGGATCCTCCACTGTAAGCTATCAATCCAATTTAATATTCAAAGCAGTTTGATACCTACACATACCTATATACACATCTCTCTCTATATATATATATATATATATGTATATATGTATATACATACATGCATATTCTTTATGTAGCGGCAGAAATACCTTTACGAACGATCGTTTCAGCCTACCACCGATCTCAACTATAGACGATAGCCTTCCTAGTCGATCATGGCCACCTCCAGCAACAACTCTTCATCAAGTTCCTTTTTCTTCACCACCGAACCATCCCGAAAATTGGTCTCCTTCATCAACCCACAGTGAAACTAGAGACTACTTTTTTAATAGACCTGTTGACCACCATCACCGACAACGCTCTCTCCCTCAATTTCCTACAATGTATGCCTCTAATAGTCCTCAAGAACTTCCTTCCCCAGTCGCATCTCGAAGTGTAGAGAACGATATTGACGATGTAAGCCAAAGAAAAAAAAAAGAAGAAGCATAGAGACATAACAGTGGCTTGATGTGGTTGAATACCCACTGTTTACATTATTAGGTCATTCGACATTGTAGTGCCCTTGGGGAGAATATGGTCCGTCGTAAATCTCGACTATCAGACCCATATTACCTAAGCGACCTTGAACACACAAGACCTTGGTTGGATGATATGATCAGTCGTGCAAACCAGGTGCTGAATGCCCTCTTACGACTAAGAAAGCACCAAATGGCGGCAGAATATGTTCGGGCCCATGGTATTGATTCTCGACGTCGAGCTGGGACCAGTCAAGTAAGTCTAGAATTTTTACACCAAGTAGTTTACCTGAATGTGTGATCCTGCATTGTAGGCTATGGAAATTGGCGGTCCTTCTGAACGTGCTGGTGCCTTGTTGCCTTTGGGAAATGGACCAATGTCACTACATTCTATTCGTCAAAGAAAACGTGGGGTAATATATACATATATATAAATATATATATATGTATACCTGCCTATAATTAACTTGGCTTTACTAGAAACGAGCAACCTTTCAAGGACGATGCCATTCATGCAATATTTCAGAGACTCCAGAGTGGAGACGTGGTCCCGATGGTGCACGTACATTATGCAATGCATGTGGACTACGTGAGTTTTGTAGTCAGGACAACCTACTCTTTATTTATAATCTTGCCTATTGTTAAATATAGATTACGCCAAGATCACTCGTAAAAGGACAGATAGTGCTACAGCTGCGGCTGGTACAATGTCTGTGGAAGACGACCGAGAATCTTCAAAGAATCACAACAACAATAATGACGATGATGATGAAGAAGATGAGTCATGCAACACAAGATTAACCAACAGAAACACGTTTTCCGAATCACTGAGTGATCGAGACTCACCACTATTATCAGATGGATATGCTATGAACGAAGACGATACATCTTAACAAGCTATTTAAATTATGTTTTCCTTTCAAGTCAAGTCCCTGTACTCCCCCCCCCCCCCCTTTTTTTTTTTTTGCTTCTTCTTCTTTAACACTCATTTTTATTTTACTCCATTTTCAATTTCATTTTCATTTTCACTTTCATTTCCACTATTACTATTACTATTACTTTATGCCTTATATATATATGTGTGTGTGTACAGACACAAACAGACACAAACACACGCACATACACACACACACTCTCTCTCTCTCATTCTTACTAATTCATTCACTAACATATATATATATATATATTCTTTCTTTCCTTTATAATTTACAAGTATTTTTATGTACGTATATGGCTTTTATTCATTTGGCCTATAGGTATCAATTTTACACGAAATTCAATAGTTCTCTTTAATAAATACATGTCTTTTACAAGTTTAAAGAAGTTTAGGTTATAACTGTATCTGGCAGTTTATTCCCAAAACAGTAAATCCCAGAAAGATTTACAGTGTCAGAACAAGATTTTTTTTTTGAGATTCTATAAACGATTGAAGCTATATTTTCTATTATCGAATTTTTTTTTATTTTTATTTTTATTTTTTACCTTTATATTGTGAATCCATCGAATGCTTTGTATAGTAATTTTTGCTTTCGATTGGAGATTTTTTCTTTTTTCTTTTTTCTTTTTCTTTGGTATGTCAAAGGCTGATATGTAACACTCATCGGTTCGTTTGGTCTTGGCGGGTTATTCGGAACCTTGGTTTTCCCTTCCTTTTATGTATATAAATGTATACATCTTGTAGATCTACAAACATTTGATAGATTCTGTCGTTCTTGTAAATAAAAGTTCTATATTTTATTTTCTTCTCAAACTTCTTTAACATTTTCTTGTATAATATATATTATACGAATATCTGGCAGTATGTGTAACAGGACTCTATAAATGTGTATTTGAATGTATATGTATGCAAGTTTATATTTGAGAACCATTTTTTTATATGGAGCATATCAAGTAAGGCTAGATATATAAAATATCAATAGAGTCTTATGTTCGCTATCACCAAAATTTTAAGGTACATATTCTAGGGCCTTCAGGGGTTAAGTATCCAGGACTTGAATCTCAATTATTGAAGTTTAATTATATATGAATTCATATAAAGAATATCGATTTAATCTCAAGCAGAGCAGCTGAAATAAAAGTAATAAATATGGATATTATTGACTGTTTTGTGAATAGCATATGTATATTTATTTGAGAGTCTTAAAGAAGTATTTTCTTGTTACCAAAAGAAGAAACATCATTCGATGGTGGAGATAATATCAAAAAATACCAAAAAAAAAAGCATGCATTCCATTAGTATATTCCTTTTACTTCAATAAGACCCATGACTCAACCCAAAGGTAAAATCTCTTTAGTTGGCACATACACCTTTCTATTGCTTTCTTTCTTTTCTTTTTCTTGTAGCCTAATCAGTTACTCGTTTTTAAGTACCTATTTTGATTATATATATATATATATATTGAAGACAATCTATCTTTTTTAGAAAATATATAAAGGCAACAAAACAGTTCCGTAATTTCGGCTTTGTCTTTAAATGGATAAAAATGTACCATTTCTTTCAGTACTTGCGCATTCTAGAATAATTTAGACAATCGCATATAGACCCTGTAGATTGCGTTGGTTATAGAGTTTGGTAAGTGATAGCATTATTAATAACAATATACACCTGGCTTAGGGTGAAATTGACTTACTTCCAACTCCGCTAAAATCAAAGAAGTACACCTCTGTTTTTCAAGGTTAAATAAGTTCTCAAAGACATGATCCTTAAAGACAAAAAATGAATGGAAGATTTTGTAATATGTGTTGCTTATTTATATTAAAAATTGATGGAGGTTTAATAGTTAATAGCTCCTCCATGCTTCTTCCTAACTAATATCATACGATCTTTAATGCTCAGGCAAAACTTCACACAAGTACTTGCTGTGATTTCTGCCCACTCCTCCAACAAAGCAACGTCCAGTTCTTTTAGCGTGGTAGGCTGGGGTCTTCTATCTCTAACCTTGTTATCAAGGTAGCTCCACATATTCTCAATTGGATTAAAATCTGGACTTTTTGCAGGCCATGGTAAGATAGCCACATCGTTTCTTTTTTTCCACTGTTCCGCCAACTTGCTCTTATGTGGCTTGGCATTGTCTTCTTGGAGAAGGTAGGTGGTGGTGTCCTTGTCAGGAAGGGCAGCAAGAAATGGGAGATAGTTGTCCCTCAGTGTCTGGACATACATTTCTTTTGTCATGTAGTCATCTAATATAACTAGTGGGCCAACACCTCCTGCCCAAATACATCCCCAAACTGATACTGAACCACCCAACCCTTGCACTGCTGGTACCAGACAGTCATCGTCATACTTCTCATGCGGTTGGCGCCAAACATATTGCTGTCCACCTTTCTGAAAAAGGGTGAATCTGGACTCATCACTCCAGATTACTGATGTCCATTCATCATTCCAATTTTTTCGCTCCCTAACCCATTGCAAGCGTGCCTTCTTATGTGCTTCATCTAGGTAAGGCTTGGCTACAGCAACACAAGAGCGAAGGTCCATATCGTGCAGATATTTGCGTACTGTTGCTTGACTGATTGAGATGTCATGCATCTCTTTAACACTGCGCGTGATGGTAGCTAATGTGTCGCGTCTATTTTTTTTTGCGGTGAACTTCAAATAACGAATTTCCCGTGGTGATAGCTTCTTAGAGGCCCTAGGATGCTCCTTCTCAGCGCACGTCTTCTTTGTCTCGTATTTTTTAATTATACGATAAACAGTTGATTGGGGTATGCCTTCTGCATGTGAAATCTCATAGGAGCTACGTCCTTCTTTATATCTTCCAATAATCATTCCTTTTTCGAAATCTGTTGTCTTATAATATGAGTTGGTAGTTTTAGCTTTATTGTTCTTTGGCATTGTGATTTGTTTTATTAGAGAGATTACAGAATTAAAATAAAAGGAAAATAGAGGATGGTCTTCTTGCATAGAAAGAAGTCATGGCGGAGTTGGAAGTAAGTCAATTTCACCCTAAGCCGGGTGTATATATATATATATGCAATGGTTGTGTATGTACATATTTGTTACTGGTATCCCCGAAATTATACCAAGGTTTGTCAGGTCGGATATAAAATACCGCTAATATTGTAGAAAGCACCGTAGAGGCCTATCTTATTAAATACAAATAATACCACCAAAAAGATATTCTGGCTGATATTACCCGGGCATTCGGGTAATTCTTACACATAAGCCAGTCCCCATCTCTCTTATTCTTTAGAAAGGTCGTTCAAGCTCATCTTTGATCTCAGTAGTCTTTTCGTCCCCGGAGAGAATTGAATTATTGGCTTATTTTATATTATATTATAAATATCGTGTCCTTTAATTGAGCTGATAATCTATCCAAACAGGATAATTTTACAATAAAGAATTGTAATAATCGTGAGTCAAACCAATGCAATATATATATATAAATATATATTTGCACAGCGTGTGTAAATTAAAAACTGAAGTTTAAACCAACCTTTACCCAACCGATCAAGTTTATTCTTTCTGAAATTCACAAAGAATTGTATAGAGCCTTTAAAGATATATATGGGCATCTATATATGTATATGTACTTAAGTGTGCGCGTGTGTGTGTGTGTGTGTGTGTGTGTGTGTGTGCAATTTAATCATTATATACACTCGAATGTGGACTTGTAAAAAAATAAACAAATATATATATAGGTATTCTCGGTTGTCCATAGAGAATACACATCATTCAAACTGATGCCTGTGTTTGGTTTCTTTTGTGCATATCATGTCTACTAGCTAACCTAACAAAAGGTACGGTTGATCTACTCGTTTTGTTGAATATCAACATCCAAGGTCAAAGGTACAACCCACGAGATCTCGTTGATTAAAAAAAAAGGTTTCGGTGATAATCACAGAAATAACAAGACATCCCACAGGCGTACAACCAATGCTCACTCCAAAAATAATCAAAGAGAATATCATTTCTGACTCAATTTATATTGATCTATAAGCATAATGCAAGCCAAGTAGCTAGAATGTACCTCTAGGGCTTTAATTCCGTAAAAAGTACCATAGTTTCTTGTATTATGATAATTCAATTTATGAATGAGTGATTGGACCCAATGCTTATATAATATCTACTGTGTAATGACATGTATTGTGTCATTTGCTTGAGCCTACAATCAAGCCAATAAACTGGGTTACTGTTACATAACCAATGAATTCATTAATGCACTAAAAAAAAGCTATAAAAACTCGCACACAAACCAAGCATGTTTCAAACCCTGTCCATTAGTTTTAGTCTAGAGCTGAATTGCGTATTAGAAAATATAATCTTCTAATCTACATCTAATCTACAATTGATATGATAAATTTATTTCAGAGAAAATAAAAGGCTTATAATAGAGCTTTATTTAAACATTTATCTAGTAATATTCTCAAATACTTTACCACAGATACACAGTACAATCTCGATAGACCACATCCAGATGGTTCTCGAATAAATAAAACTGGGACCCATATTAATCCGTGATTTTCTCAAGATTCTATTGGGAAGTAACAGATATCCTAATATCCTCTTTTCTTTTTATCTATTCTATTTATCCTCTCCTTGGATTTCCTACAATTCCAGGTAAAATAATGCCAAAAGCACAAGGCTTTATAAATAGGTTTTGAGGTTAAACATAATGCGTTTTCTTTTCTTATTTCTTATAAATACTCAAGCATACCAATAAGCGACATTTTCCGATATATATGTATATATCTACAAACTATTCATCGCATATTTGTACATATCTAATCTATACTTCTTTTTTACTGTATTAAAAAGACTGTTAAATAGTATAACAGTACCGAGAAAACCATAAAGCGGCTTATATTGATACATGCAATACACTCTTATTGCACAATTCAAATATGTGTAAGCTACATATATTCTATGTTCTCTATGTGCTATACCAATAGGACTGGTAGCTACTCAAGATAAACATAAATCAGAATTGCTTGCATTTGGTGCATCTATTTTGTTTTGACGCGATTGGGTGGTTAAATAGCACACCCTTCTCAAAGCACCCGCATTCTCTCTTCTAGTTGGGTTACCCATGTCATTCTTCAAAACATCCGTACACCCGCAACCATCGGAATTGTCCTTTTTCAGACAATGTTTCTATCTTGGAAGGTGATAACAAATCTCAAAATATTGGTGCTAGTGTAAGAACCCTCTCTGAAACTGGAATATTGGCAGAGTACCTCGAACTGTGCGACTGTCTATCCCGCAACCAGTTTTTCTACAAGTATCCTCTTCTTTAAATTTTCCCTCTACTTTGGCATATTGTTTTGAAATATGGAAATGTATGTTAAGCTATTAGCCACTCATAGCGATCCTAGTGTGTCGTTCATACTTCTCACATTCAACACTGGGAGAAAACTGGTTTTCATCTACCACTGCTGTAACTACATCTGTACAAGATGTTTGTCTAACACAGGTCTAAATATGGTGTGGTATTTACTATTCTTTTCTGGAGCACAATTCTAAGATTTTTTGAGAGAAACGGAATAATAAAAGGTTACGTACGATTGTGGGTAATCATCCCAGAAAAAACATATGGGTATATAAAGCCTCAAAAAATCTTTTTAACCTACCAACTACAGATTTTGAAGTTGAAGCGCTTGTCGCAAAGTACCATATAGATCTCGGCTTCTTGTTGTGCAACTGTTTTCCCAGATGACTTTTTATCACTAATTTAAATATGTATCATTAGAAACTTTATCCAGCCATGAATTTATGACACTAGAATTTCTCAAGGTCTTTTCTTTCTTTTCTTTCTTTTCTTTCTTTTCTTTCTTTCTTCTGCCTGGTACCTACATAGTTACAGAAGCCATCAAGAATTTCAGAGAGTCTTCCATATCCAAATAGTCACGCGATTACACCTGTGGAGCTAATTTAGTACCTCACTTGGAGTTCTCTCCATTTCCCTTGATTTTTCTCGTATCTTTAGGTTGATCCCTACATTTGCTTTTATCAAGCATTAACCTTACTGGTTATATCATCATCTTTCTTTATTTGGCTTTTCACACATTTTGTTAATATTACTATATATATATATATATATTCCAATTATTCTTTATATTATTGAAATTCTTATTGAACAAACCAATACTACTGAGTGAAATGAAATATAGTATTCTTCAATCCCTTTTATAATCGATACTATACCATTTGATTCTACATCTCTCTCTCTCTCAACATATATATAGACCAACGATTCCAATTTTATCCAACACAAGAATGATTTGTAGATTAAGTATTAAGATAAAAGCTTATACGTGTTAGTTACGCGCGAAAAGGACATCAATTCCTTTATAAATACAGTGTTGAATAAGGTTTTCAGAATTACTTTAGAGAAGCTTGTTAAAATATTTTGAGACCTTCAAAGTGTTTAACCCTTTCACCTTCCTAAAGAAGCTCCGGCCAAAGCCACATACCTTCTCTAGCTACTTTTTTTTTAATAAAGAAAAGAAAAACTTGATATACTACATTTAAAGCCTGTATTTTATAAAGCCAAATAAACAAATATAATGTTGAAAAGAAAAGGTATTAAAAGCTTAAATGCTAGTCCAATGCAATTGTCATGCCTTTGATATATATATATATACGTATATTATGTAATTCTGCCAAAAATAAAGCCATCGTATTGGGTTAAATCTCTCTAATCTTCATTTCTCTTTCTTGAGGCTTTATATTACAATTCTAGACTTCACTCGGCAAAAAAAAGTATACTTTTATGATACGCGCTGGCTTTAATATAGCTCTCATTGGGTAATCGATTCAATCTTTATTGATAATAAAACCAAAAATGGCTTTAAAACTTTGAAATATATATATGACATAGTAATATGTTTCAATTTACTCCAACATTGTTGATTGAATTTTAGCTTACATGCATTTGTGTATGTATTACAGCTAAATGTTTGCAGAAATTAATTGAATATACTAATGCCTTTTTAGAGACTAGATTTTTTTTTTAAAAATAAATAAATAAAATAAAATAAAAATGTTTTGTTTCAAATAAGTATTCTGTTAAATAATCCAAGTAAAATTAAATACTCTTGTATAACAACAGCATAAATGGTTTTCTAAAATGCAACAAAGAATAAATATATCCTCACAGAGAAACACGCTTTACTTTAAATAAGACCGCGCGTTTTCCATTCGGACATACACACTCATCTACATGAGAGCCAAAAGAGTTATTTTCTCTTTACTCAAGAAAGAATAGATATATATATATATATATAATATCATCATTGTACAAAAATTGGGGTAATTTAATTATTACAACGAATAAAATAAAGTAAACTACGTGATATGTGCATAAGCATAATTGTAATCATAACTCATTTACAAGCGTTAAAAGTGCTTCTTGTCACATTAGAGACGCTTGGGTAGTCTTTTGGGCTTTAGGTCTGCCTTTTCTCTCATTCTTTGCTCCATTCGCGTGATGAGGTCATTGATAGTTTCGTAGGGAAGGTTCATAAGATCTGATATCTCCTTGGCATTCATTCCTGAGCGTGCCATCCAGAATATTCCTCCGTGGTCAAATTCTGACCACTCTCTACAATCAGCACTGGGAATCGAGTTGGTTTTTCCCAATGTCATTGCTAATCTTTTTTTTTTTTATGAAAAGGGTTGAAAAAAAAAAGGGACGGAGAGTATGGGTGTTGGAGGAGAAAATAAATCGCTACTCTCTTTCCTTTCTTTTAATAGTATATATCTCCTACAAATTGTGACTGGACAAAAATCATTTAATAAAAACGGCGATTTATATCTGGGGTTCTTTAGTGCTACGTTTCAATGTTTTTACTTGAGATTAAGAGGAATTTGGATTTATTGTAGCCAAATTAAATTAATTTTTTTTTTTTTTGCTTTTTGTGTAAAGCCGGACTCTCATTGGTCTAAAATAAAATAGAAAATCCAACTTTTATATCAGTCTCAACTTTAAACATTGTACTGAAATTAAAGTATTTAAAACCAACTATTCGGAGATGTAATTATGAAAAAACCCACAAATTGGGTACAATGATTCTGTAGCGTATAAACTATAAACTCAAGACTACTACCACTGTAGTAAATGGCAGACATTACAATTCCGCGACCGTAGGAATTATACGGTCCCGTATATCTTATATGAGTCCGTATAATTCCTACTGTCGCGGAGTTGTAATATCTGCCAATAGAATATTGGCTTTTAGTAAATTAAAAATATTTACAGCGAATACTATTTATTGGAGTTAAAATTACTTTTTATCTAATCCAATAAAATCATTTAAAGTAGCAAAATTATACCATTTTTAGGTACATATTTCCCTTTTTATAACAAATTTGGATAATAGAATTCGTTGGATTTCAAATTATTTTTGCATCTAATCCAATCAAATATTCTAAATATGGCAAATCTATACCTTTTTTAGGTATATCTATTCTTATAATTGGTTCAACAAATACACGGTTTTATATTGGAATTTTATAGTTTTTATTGATCAAAATAATACAAGTTGAATATAAAGAAGTATGGAAAGAAGAAGTACTATTTTTTATGATATTTAGTAACAGTTTAAGCTATAAAGTTACTAAATGATATACATATATCTATTTTTATGTGATACTTTTTACATTGTTTATCTAAAAAAAAGGCTATTCTCTAGATACTATGATATTGATGAAGATATGTATATTGCTTAATTGATTCTTTTTAATCAAAGAGTATAAACCTGCTTTGTGTTAACATTGTAATGTCTGATTCATACTTTTGAAAAACAAGAAGACAGATTCCTTGCAATTCTCTAAATCTACCGAGATTTCTAATGAGCATGCGAGCAATCTTGACAACCAAATTGTACTTGATGCATATATTTTTCTGTCAATTCTTCCCGGATTGCTTTCTTTTGTCAACTTTGCTGATTCGTATTTTATTAATACTAGCCTTCATAGTTATTAAGTGTGCTCCTTTTAGAGACTTTTAATAATTTTAGACCTTGTGAAAAAATATAGAAACAAGTCCTTTTAGATGTACCAATCTAAATTGTTTGGAGAACATGGACGGGTCAGAGGTTATGCATCGTTTGTGGAATCGCGATCTTGCTGCTGTCCTGAACTTCCGACATATACTTAACAATTTAAGATATGATGGGACTATACCTGTAAGGTTCACCCGCGTCATTCGGATTGGACGTATCAGAAGACAAGCAGAAGAAGATCTCCAGGAGGGTCGTCGTTTGAGACAAAGACTGACTAGAATTCAAATAAGATGAAAAAATTCCGTCCTGGTTACCGCTTAGGACCCACCCAAGCTACCGCTGGTAAGCCATTAGATTTGAATAACATGGTATTTAGTTTTGTAATGGGTTGAAAAAGCTAAGAAAAAGATGTTTTGCTTTGACTGCAAAAAACATGGTGGGGTAAAAAAAAAAAGTAGAATATAAAAGAGAGCGAGAGAGAAATTGGTGCTTAATTAAAACTCAACTACAAGACACTTTAAACCCCGGAAAACTTGCAACAATTCACTAAAATCGCCTATTTTTTTTCTATAGGGTACATTATTTTGTTGCATACACTTCAAATACACCCTTTTCTTTGTTAGTAATTTTAACTCTAAAAGTAGATTTAATATATTGTCTAGCTCTTTGAGCCATACAAGCAAGTAACAACCTCTTTAAAATTCAATAATATAAAAAAAACACACACCTTTTTGTCCTTTTTATTTGCTTTTTTTTTAGCCTTTAGTTTGTTTGCTTGAAGCTATACGCATATGTATAATTTATTGACGAAGAGCTTTCAATCGCTCACTCAGTAACGCATCCTCACTCATATCCGTCTTACTGGCCTCTCCTAGAGATGTTCCTGGTTCCATTTTTCCTAACTCATGCTTCATTTCCAAGCCATGTTCATCCGCCACCTGGTGCATCAACGTCTCTACCTCATTTTGGGGTGTAGTTAATGTAGTTGTACCGGCCATAGCACCCTCCATATACTCTGTCTGCACATCCAAGTCTTCAAACTGGGACTCAAACTTATCCATAACCATTGATATCTTACAAAACAGCAATAATACGTATTAATCTTACTTTGTACTTATATTCCCTTTCTTTAATTATAAGCCTACCTTTTCAAGATTCATTGATCCCATTGCCCTATCCATACCCTTGACAACGCTTGCCATTGATGTAGTAACCTAAGATATTATATATATATATATATATATATATATTAAAACCCCATTTTTTTTGTTAGCTTGATTTTGACTACACAGTATATTTCTAAAGAAAGAAAAAACAACAACTTACTTTCCGCATAGTTACTGCAGTCTGCACACGACTTGCTACGGCGTCAATACGAGACGAGAGCCGGAGTAAATTGATAGCCTCATTCTTTTTTCTAATGGCGTTTGCAGCATAAATACGAGCCCCCTCCATGTTACCATCTTGAATGGCCTACATTAGACATTATTGTTACTAAGGTCCTTGATTTTTTTTGCTGAACTTTAATAGTCTAAAATGCAACATATAGAGAGAAAGAGAATGCACCTTTTTAAGTTTGGCTTTCTCAAGCGTTTCATCTTTTTGGCAACGCTTAGATTGTTTGTTCAACTGTTTTGCTGTGAACTATGGGACGATCGGCACAAAAAAAAAGGTACCCGATGATTTGGATTGAGTTTCTTCTTTGTTCAGGTAGACAGTTGAATATGTGGTATATAGACTGTCACGTCAGACACACCTTTAACTGAAAGAGATTCTCTGTAATGAATAGTATATGAGACTTGATGGCCGTTTTTTTCTCTAAAAACAAAGACACATACTTTCCATGCCACTCATTATGAATCTCGATAATATATGTATTTAAAAGAAAAATGACCAAATGAGAAAAAGGAAACCTTTTCAAAAAAGAGAGAAAAAAATTAAGATGAGAGGACTTGGATCACACAAGGTTATGACGTCGTTGTATTGTATTAAATAAGATAATCATCTTTACCAGCTTGATATTTTACTTTGCTTATTCTGTATATCAATATGCATAATAAGTAAGCCAATAGACATGTTAAATTCGTAGATGCTTTGTGTGCGAGTTGAAACAAAAAATAGAGGGAGTATTTCAGGTTAACTTTATTGATTTGTAGGTGTGTGAATTTTGTATATATATTATATATATTGTTAAAAGATAAGTTAATTCATAAGAAGAATTATTGGGAAATGTGATACCAGAGCATGCGTCCTATCCCTTCAATGCCTAAACGAACAAATGAACAAATGAACAAACAAAGTAAACAACGATACAATAGTATCTTTATACTTATACCTACTCTTTGATACTATACTATATTATGTTGTATTGCATTGTATTGTACACAAAAGATAATCGTAATAAATAAAATAAAAGAAACTTTACCTGAAGGCGCTTTTGCATCATGTCAAGTTCAGGTCCTTCTTCTTCATCCGACTCGGACTCTAATACAGCCTCTGGCTTCTCGATTGCTGGTCCCACTGTACCAGCCTCGCCGAGCATACCATTTGTGATCTGGAACAGGACACTGTTGACTTCTTCCTCGGCCTCTTCCTCAAGGTCATCATCGTCCATCATTTCCATTGTGTCCTCGATCATCTCTTCCATAATACCCGCCTATCAATACAATACAATAAAGTACAGAATGAATTCTCTGCTTAGAATTCTAATTCAACGCAGTCCCTTACCTTTGTCATTTCCATAGACATTTGCTGCATTGACTGTGCAATTTCTGGTAATCGAACTAGCTGGTTTACTAGTTTCATAACCTCACCACTCTTCTGAAGTGTGCCAGCAACCTTGAGTGTAGCTGTATGTAATTTGTAGTATTTTTTTGTAGTATTTTTTTAATCAAATGCCTTGTACGTGCGTGTGCTTATCGTCTTTACCCAACTGGTGTTCAAGCTGCATAACAATCGAGTTAAGTTGGGCTTTACTGGTGTATAGTCTGTTCTTATGTCGCTGGGACCGAATAAGTTCTTTAGCCAGCATTTTGCAGCTTTTGACATCCCCTTTCTTGGCTACTTGTTTGATTGCCTTCTTGACCTTGATCTCTTCTGAATCAATAGCCTGGATTTGTCTCTGTATCGCTCGTTGCTGTCCTCGAATTTCTTGACGCCATTTCTTTACCTATCGAACCTCACCCCCAAAACATAAAATAAAATTGGAATTGACTCGAGGATTATATAAGTATGTCATGGACTTGTACTCACAAGCTCATCGGGTGTCTTTTTTCCAAAGAAGCGTTGAATGTTACTAAATGTGCTAGCCATTATACTATACAATTAAAAGAAGAAAAAAAAGTTAATCTTTACAGAGTAATGTTTCAATTTGGTCAAATAAAATCGTACTTGGTTCTAGATAACAAAAAGGTCTATTGAACAAATGAATTCTTTTCTTTTCTTTTAATAATATATATATATATTAAATATAAAATTCTTGAGATTCAATACAGTATGTGCGTGTCTGTGTCTGTGTTGAGAGGGAAAGGACAGCCACTTGAATTAAGTTTTGGTTTGACCTTGAGCTCCGCATGTTGGTAAACCAGAAAGCCAGACAGACAGACAGACAGACTGGACCATAGAAAGTATAATAAACTCCGCGAACAAGATGCCTTTAAAGTATCTTTTCTCTATATCTTTTTTTTTTACACTGTGGACTTGTACATCCTCTTTGTTCGTAGTAATTGGATGATTTTAATGTAATAATATTAAATACCAATAATATAAAACATGGTATTTTCTCTATAAAATACATATAAAAAGAAAAGATCCGCGTATATTTTGATATCTAAAAAAAATAATTAAAGTTTTACGTGTTATTGACCGCGTATAAAGAAGGTTTGGGTTGGTTGGTTGGTTTTGATATTAAGAAGTGTATATCATACAAATGTTCGTTATTTTGAGAATCGAGAATAAGACAAAATAAACAGCCGTAATTAGCATATACAAACATAAAGGTATATACTTTATTCGATGCTACAAATCTAGTTTAATGGTGCTTTGGAAATAAAGCATAAAATCAATCCAGAAACCAAGAGAAACCTAAAGAAAATCTCGATCCGAGGGTGTCTAAGACTGGGTAAGTATCCGGTTATAGCAAATAGACCAAGTATTCATTTGAGTATTTTGTAAAGCCAAAAAATGATTAGGAATATAGTCAGATAATTTACATTGATTTTCATTTGAAAGAAGTTGAATTTAATAATAATGCTTTTGATTCTTGGCAATCATAATACAGTGTATATAATCAACTTTATACGATTGGATATATACATACATACATAAGCAGTGTCTCTATAGAATTCACATGAGCAAGTATGCACCTTTAAACCTTTACCCTTCCATAGTTTTGTACCCCAGATTTTTGGCTTGTCTTTGTGACATTTCTCTTTATCCAATAAAGAGGCAAGGCTTTAGCGGTAAACCAAATAAGTATATATGTTATATTCTTATATATGAAAACAAGAAAAGAGAGAAAGACTTTAATAAACCAACCTTCATTCGCACCTAAAGTGTACCTACAATGTAAATTGTGCTTACTTTTTTTTCAAGGCCATCCAATCCACAAGCCATGTGTAATGCTTCCGGCTGAAGGTTACAATTGGCGGCAGGATAAATAGCGGACCCAAACGACTGATTGAAGATGAACCAATTACATAAACTGATTTGACTGATTCAACGCTGCGTCACAAGCACTCATTTTCCCTTTTTCCATTGACTTAAAAGGATTTCTTGAGTTTGACAAGTCTGGTACCTTTTTTTTTCCACCCAAAAAAGAAGAGCATAAGAAATGTTGCGTGGAATTACTACAACCCTGAGAGGGCGTCTTGTAAGTCAATCACAAACGGATAGATACACAAACCACATGGAATATAAATCAAGAGAAGAAAGAAGGATAATCATCAATTCACCACAAGAAAATCACACTTTGTTACATCTTGGTTTATTTTCTTCAAAATGTAAAAAGAAAACAAAAAACACAAACTCACGACTCTTTATGATAGCCTACAGTGGGTGCCATCCAGCCCATTGTCCCTACCGTGTCTCAGTTGATGGCTAAGCGTACACATACTTCCGCAACATCTGCTATCTCGTTTAAGAAGCACATCCGTCAACGTCGCTTTGGCCCTGTTCCCGCTGTGCCTGAACCATCGGTCGAAGAAGCAGTGTCAAACATCCTCTACAACACCCCACCACCCAGTCAAGCCCCTGAGGTCCGCCACATTCTCAACTGTCTCGTCCAGAACGAGCCTGGTGTTCTCAGCCGCCTCTCTGGTATCTTGGCTGCCCGTGGATTCAACATCGAGTCTCTTGTTGTTGCCAAGACTGAAGTTCCTGACCTCAGTCGTATGACTGTCGTATTCAACGGCCGTAACGTCCAGATCGAACAGGCCAGACGCCAGTTGGAAGATTTGGTAAGTTTCAGAGGGAATACAAAAGAAGAACACAGTAGAAGAAGAAAAGGTTATAACAACAATAATCATATATACTAATGTTTTATAAACCCTTTTTTTTTCACTAAAAAACAAAAAAGGTTCCTGTGTGGGCTGTGTTGGACTACACAAAGACAAAGTTGATTGAACGCGAATTGCTTTTGATCAAGGTGTCCATCTTGGGCCCTGAACATTTGCACGAGCAACTCTTGACTACCAAGTTTGACGATAAAGTAGAGTTTGAGGATAAGAACTTGGTGGACTACGACGATGTAAGAACAGACCAGACCAAACCAAAATATGATTATGTATACTCATGAGTTACTGCGAAACTTATCGTCTTTTTTCTTTATAATCATAATTATAATTATAAAGTCTGAACACGCCCATCCTAATGCTTCAGATGCCCTCAGAGAGACATTTTCTCATTTACGTGCCTTGACTGAGCTTACTCGTTTGTTTGATGGCAAGGTTGTCGATGTGTCATCTGATTCTATTATGATTGAGCTGTGCGCCAAGCCTAGACGCTTGTCTTCGTTCATGAAGCTATGCAAGCCATTTGGTATCCTCGAGTCTTCAAGATCAGGCAAGTTTTTATTTCAAGTGATAATAGTAATTAGTCAGGGATGATGTGGTTGAAATTCTGATCCTTTGAGTATTCTTTACTGACCGACTGACTGACTGACTGACTAATTGGTATGAATGAATGGATGATCTTTCTCTCTCTCTCTTTTTATTGAATTTACTTAGGTGTCATGGCCATGCCCAGATCGCCCGTACATGATCATTATGAACCACAGTCCGAGCATTCTTACGATGATGAGGATGTTGATGCCTCCATGCTCCCTCCCGGATAAGAAACTAGAAATCGATCTTTGTCCCATTCATACAATATTTCATCCCCACAAACTTTTTCTTCTTTTATTTCATTACATGGATTCTCAATTACAAACAAACAGACCAATCAATCAACAAACAAACCGGGCCAAACAACAGCAGCAAAAAAAAAGACCCTTGTACAATTCTCGAGTGAAATGATTGTGGTTAATTTATATGGGATGAGATGCGATTGGGTGTGAGTTTAGGATGTCTGTGGGAATATCAAAGTAGATGGGAATGGAATAGAAGGCAATGGGAAAAGAACAATTTTATAATGGCGGTAATGGTTATTATTATTATTGTTGTTGATATTGCGTGATCAATATATAGTAAAAAAAAACAAGCAGAAATTTACAAGGCAAGAAGAATTACGTACAAAGAAGAAAGAAATGTATAAAGAGCAAAGAATATCGATGCACAAAAAAATATATATCGAGAAAACAGAAAGAGCAATATAACTATTTGATCAAAACTTCTTCAATAGACGGATCGTTCAAAGAACGCAACATCACAGACGTGAGTGATGTCTGGATCCAATACTGACAATGCTGTCGAGCTGTACCCTTCGTCTAGATCTTGTGAGTCGCACCCTGCCGAAGAGGAAGAAAGCGAGGAAGATACAGAATCACCAATGCAGAAGACTTGGCCTACAGACGCTTGAGGCGGGGCGGAAGAGGTTGTGACAGCAACGGGCTTCTTTCCCATGTATCTTGTGTTCGGTGCAGCAAAGTAGGTATCTTTTAACTGGGGACGAGCCTGTACTGAATCCAAGTTTAAGAGCGAGGCAGCCACTTCTGTTTCGAGTCTTATCTGGGTACGTACAGTCGGTATACTGAGATGTTTTGGATGTTTGGGGTCCTTTTGAGGGCCTTTTGAGCAGATGAGCTTAACAAGTGAGAATTTCATTGAATAATTTCACGCGCACACACACACACACGCACACGTACGCACGTATAACACACAATGCACAACGCGCACTAAGAAATAAGAGAGAGAAAGAGAAAGAACAGAAGAAATAAAATAAAGATGAAGTTGCGTTTTTTTTGTATGTGTAAGACAAGAAGCAAAGGGTTTTCAATGGACTTGTCTTTAGGTAGATATTTATACTTGAAATTTTCATCGCGGAAAAATAACATTTTGTTTGTTCAATAAAGAGTCTTTGATGGTTACCTTGAATGCCTTAAACTCCGTCCGTCACTCTCTCAACACACCTTGGGACTTTTTGTGCATATATATATAAATACATACCTGAGGTATTCTCTCATTGATCATTAATGGCATTAAAGCAAAAAATTTACATGCATTAAAAGCTATGTCTTTTTTTATGTCAAGTGAGGTTTTAATGTAAATAATAAGAGCAACACAGTTTTACTAGAGAGCGAAAATATTGTTGTCATTGCAATCAATCATTATATTGAGATTCACAATTAACATTCTAAAAAACTGCAATACAACTTGGTCAGTCGCTGGCAGTAAATAAAACAAATAAAAAAAACAAGATAAAGAAGTATTCCAAAGGACAAATATATTACTGTGTTAGATGTTATATCAATGAAGATGTGCTTAAAAGTGAAACAGATATACATGTATGTATACATTGGTGAATATAAATGCATTATTGTATAATTCAATAAAAAAAAATATAGAAATTCAAAGTTTTTCCTTATTTCTATTATGTATTTTTGACAAGGATGCTTCTAAGTATCTTATATGGTGTATAAAGCATGTAAGGTGTATGCAAAATTATATTATTAAAAAAGTCGTTTGTCTTGTAATCAAATCAAGCGCACATATAAGGAGGGTGCCATGCATTTGAATGAGAGCAATTGAATCATTTGGCTTTGTTGGAGACCAATATGTGTCCATGTATTTCTAGAGTTATTTGAATTCACAAGATTCTATTAAGATCCAGAGGTTGAGTAGAAGGAAGTAGGGAAAAAATAATAATTAATAATTTAGCAGTAAAATATTGTTTTGTACTCTTTTCAAATTCTTGAATATGATGATGGTGATATGTCTATCTATCTGTCTGCCTGCCTGCCTGCCTGCGCTTATCTTATATATATATATATGTGTGTGTGTGTGTGTATGTATGTAGATCATATAACTGCCAATAGACAAAACTCTCTTTTGTGTACACACATATTAAATGCCTCGAATTTATTATTAATACTTCTTGGATCTTGAAATATGATTCCAATAACCAGAAATAATATAGGCTCATTAAGACCCGATGTCGCGTCAAGAAAAATTCCTACGGTGAATTTTAAAGCACACAAAAACATTAACCAGAATATCATTTTGCTATAAAACAAAATCAATCAATCGATCGATGGAATGAATGAATGAATGATCGGGACAAAATATTATATGATTCGGGATATCCAAGTTTTCTTCTTTTTTTGATCTTATCATAATTCAACCAAGATTTGCTTATTTCCATGATCCACAAGTTAACCAATTCACAAACCAATGGTTATATTACAGACTTAGATATCTTTACTTTTTCACATCACCCACATAAGAATACGAATTATATGTAAATATATTTTAAGCCAAACATGCCATAGATTTGTTTATGTTTTTATTAATACGAAGAGGATAGTGGGAAAGAAGTTAAGCAAAAGACAAAGAGTTGCAATGTGTTTAATCCTTGATCTTCTTGGTACCGCGGAGGAGACCAGTACGGCGGGCAGCAATAAGACCGACCTTCTGACCAGCGGAGGAGTCGCGAGCGACAGTAGAGGCGTGACCAATGTGCTGATGGTTACCACCACCGTGGGGATGGTCAACGGGGTTCATGGCAACACCACGGGTCTTGGGCCAGCTGTTACGCTTGACTCTGTACTTGTGGTAAGCACGACCGGCCTTCAAGAGGGGCTTGTCGATACGTCCACCACCGGCAACGATACCGATAGCGGCACGGGAGGTGGAGGGGACGATCTTCTTGGAGCCGGAAGGAAGTCTGATGCGGGTCTTACCGTCATCACCGTGGCCAATGACGGTCACGTAGTTACCGGAAGTACGGGCAAGAGCTCCACGGTCACCAACCTTCTCCTCGACGTTGCAAACGATGGTACCTTCGGGGACGGAGGCAAGGGGCAAGACGTTACCGACGTTGAGGGTAGCCTTCTTACCGCAGTAGATGAACTGACCGGTGTACATGCCTTCGGTGGCAATGAAGGTCTCGGTTCTGAGCTTGTACTTGTAGGGGTCACGGAAAGCAACCTTGGCGAGGGGGGCACCTCTTCCGGGATCGTGGACGATCTCCTTGATGATGCCACGAATGTAACCGTGACGTTCAGCAAAGTCGAAAACTCTCAACTTGGCAGCACCCTTGCGACCGACGGTGTGGGCCTTGAAGATGCTTCCGGCACCTTTTCTTTGAGCACGAATGACACGACCCATGTCTAATATAATATAAAATAAAAAGAAATATATATATGTATATATATATATATATATATAAATATGCGTGCGTATATATTCGTGTTGGTGTTGGTGTTGGTGTTGGTGTAGGTGTGTATGTGTTCGTACACAATAGGTCTCTCTCTAGGCTAATCTTCTAAATCCATCTGTCTTTCGATCGATAATCATCTCTCAAGCAAAGTTGCGTTTGCTTCAAGATATTCATCCTTTCATCCGTCTAGAATAGGGGTTGATATACGGACCTATAAGCTTGTTGGAAGAAAGAGGGAGTATCTCTGATGGTGCTCTTGACCGATACTTTGAACACACGCATCCCACACACATCCATCCCCCCATCTTTCCTCCGGGCTTTTGTACAGCTCGGACCGGAAGGTATTGCCTGTCCGGTCAATGCGGTTAATTTAAGCAAATGTCAGTGAGCAAAAAAAAATATTTGACAGAAAAGCGGAGATGCATAAATGTTCATAAAACTAGAAAGGATAGTATAGGGAAAATGAGAGTTTTCTTTGTCAAGAATCGTATCGTTAGAAAACAAATAGCCTGTAATATAATCCCTGTAAGTTTCCTCCTGAAACATTTACTTCTTTGTGTGCGAATTTTAATTTCCTGTAGTGTGCAATTATCATGGAAGAATGATTAGAGCAGAGAAATTGATGTTCTTGTTGATCAAAAACTCAAAGATATATCTAAAGATGTAAGAGAATACATCTTTAGACCCATGATAATAAATGTACAATTCAAGAGATTCTAATATATATAAATAAATAATTCTGATATAGCATGTAATAGTCAAAGTTACTTCAATTATAGACTAATGAACAAGACTATAGCATCTCTTTCTTCTTCTTCTTTAAAATGGCTGTACAATTTTTAATAGAATAAAAAAATATATATATAATAATAATAATAAAATAAGCGATTTTTAACGTCTAAAATGGAAAAAAATAAGCAAAGAAATTATTGGGGTTTCTGCAAAACATAAGGAGCAAAGAGCTCTTCGCCCTGCTTGACAGCACGTGTGGCGACTACGGTAATGTCATGGTTGTCACCAAATACCAATTTTGTGTTGGTTGTTTCGTCTGCTCCCTGTCCAAGGTAGGTAGAGATCTTGTAAAGAGCAGCACCAACAGAAGGACGCTCTTCCGAAAGTTCACGAATACGTTCCTTGGAAGCAGCCTTTTAAATCAAAGACACATACACATTAGACCTTTCTCTTTTGTATATAGGTTTCATCCCAACTCCAACTCCAAGCAAGTTTCTATTATAATGTGCTATTTCTTTAAGAGTTTCAATTACCTCTGCATCAACCTCATCACCCTCGGTGGCAAGAATGGGATAAGCATTGTAACCAAGCTTTCCCTTGAGCATCAGATAGATTTCCTCTGACAAAAACTCATCAATTCCTGGGACCTTGGAGCCCAACAATTCCTTGATCATCTTCATCTCAGTAACGGTGGCCTCTGAAGGAGAGAGATCCAAGTAGCGGTACTTGTCAATGTGATCCCAGGCAGAGTACATTGACTCGGCAGCCTTTCCAGCCTTTGTCTTTTCCTTTTCTTCGGCAATCATGGTGGACAAGAATTGAGCAATCATCTGAGGGTATTTAACGTTGTTCTCCTGTGCGTACTTGAGGAACACGTTCTCCTTTTCGGAGAGCACAGGAATGGCAGCTGTGGCGGCTGTTGCTTCGGCAGCAGCCTCTTCAAGAGCGGCAATCTCTGTTTCTAATTGTTCTTCATCTTTCTGTTCGGCGGTGGCATCAGAGGTTGTATTTTGGACCTTGGAGTTGGTGCACAAGAATTGATGGTAGCCCTCGGTAGCAGCTGTCTTACACTCTTCACTGCAGAATGCAACTCTGTCACAGTTGGTGCACTCTACACGGTGTTCGGGATCAATCTTTTTCAAGCAGTGGTTGCAATAGGTACGCTACATAAATTACATACACAATTATAGTAAGCTTTTGCACAAGTGATTTCTTTTTCTTTCCTTTTCCCCACATTCTCTTAATTATGCCTAATCTACTTGTGTTAGTAAAAAAAAATTACCTCGAGGCTTGGGTGAAGGGCAGAGATCATTGGGGATTCGGTGTACAATGTCTGTCCTTCCTCAATATCCTCAGCAGCAACCAATCCACGACGAATGATGGGCTTTCCTTCGGGGGAGGTACCGGCAGGCAATTCACCAATCTTTACATGAGTCTCCTTGGGAGGGAACTGCTCGTAGAAGCCGTTCTGGCGCTTTTGTTGCTATTTAAATAGATCGGTATTAGAAACCATTGCTTTTTTTTAAAAAAAAAACACCCTATGCATTTATAAAAAAAAAGAAGATTATTTCTTTACTTCAAGAGCCATTATGCTGACGACGATTTGGAAGACAGGTTCTGGGATGGTCTTTTGGTAGATCATGATTAATTCGAGGGGAGCGGGGTAGACCTTGAGGGCAGTGTAAAAAGGCAGGACACTGTCGTTGTAGAATGCCTCGCCTTGGTTACAGAGCGATTCACCTGCTGCGACCTGAGCCATAAAGTATTTTTCCTTTTCTTCGGGTGACTCTGGGAACACTTCTTTGTCTACGGCAGCCATAACGTCTTCGATAAGCTTGATAGCCTTTGCCTTGGCTTCCTCTTCGGCGCTCTTGGTTTCCTTGGCAGCCTTTTTACGCTCACGTCCTAAATAGTAAATATTTTTTTAAAAATAAATAAATAAATAAGTAAAAAGAAAGCTATTGTTCTGTTATGGGACGGTAAATATTTACTCAGTTTCTTCTTAAGACTGGGGTCGTTACGTCTCTTGTAATCAAAGTAAATCAAGTAGCCAAGACCTGCTGTAGCTGCCACACCTGCAGTAGCAAGCGCAATTGTCTGTGGTTTCACGCCCATGATATTTGAAATATTGAAAAATAAAACAAAAAAGAAACAGAAAAAAAAACAAAAAACAATCGGCTTTACTTTTTGACTTTTTTTTTTTCAATAAAAAAAATAGAACCAAGACTGAGATCGGTGACGCACATTTATCTTTTTAGGCATGGATTTACTTTTTTTTTATTTTAATTTTTATGTATACATGATATGTATATATATATTTGCTCGCCCGTCCAGTCTAAACCCAAGCTAAAATAATCGCTCTCAAAAAAAAATGTCAATATTATTATTTAAGAATAATATTTTACTGCTGGTGTATCTAATGTGAGCTAATTTAACCAAGTTATCGGAAGAAGTATTTATCGACAAGGCAAAACACGATATTGAATAGACTCGTTAATAACAAAATAATAATAATAAAAGAAAAAGGTCAATTGTTGATTTTTTTTTTGAGAACAAGCAATTTTTGGTGTCTAATTTTTTTTCTAAAAAAAAAAAAAGTACACCCACAGGAATGAGTGGCAGATTGAATTGAATGACAGATTAAACAAGGTTTAATGACAGCTTTTTTTTTGGTAGTAGAATTTTAGCCCAGAATAAAATAGTGTATATATATAAAATACAGGACACGGTAACCATGGAAATAAAGTATACAGAGACGCGCCTCCTTGACACACAAATATATTACTTCTTAGAAAGACTAAACCATTGGATCGATCAATAGCATATCATATTATATTGTATTTTTTGCTGTATTTTGAGTGTACTTTATTTATTTTTTATTTTTATTGTTAGTATTGGTGATTGTTACAAACAGCACTTGAAAGGGGTGGCCGTTTACTTGTACACATTTTTTTACAGAGATAGAAAGGATTGGTGTTATTGTACAGCGTGGAGATTTGGAGTGGTAGAGAGGGTAAGGAAGTGAAGTTGATGTGCAAAAATAATAAGATCTAGTTATTGGAGGATTTTCTTAGAGGAGCTTTTCCTTGAGCATGTTCTCAAGCTTAACACCATCCTTGGCGAAGTTGCGGATACCCTCAGACAACTTCTCGGTAGCCATGGCATCCTCGTTCATATCCCAACGGAAGGCCTTCTCGTTGTGGAAGTAAGAGACCTTTTCGATGGAGACAGCGTTGGCAGTCTCGGGGGACAACTTGCGGACAAGAGTCTTGGTGTCCTTCTGCATCTCAGCCAAAAGGGAAGGAGAGATGGTGAGGTAGTCGCAACCAGCCAACTGCTCGATCTCGCCGGTGTTACGGAAAGAGGCACCCATGACAATGGTGTTGTAGCCGTGCTGCTTGTAGTAGTTGTAGATCTTGGAGACCGAAAGGACACCGGGATCTTCGTGGCTCTCGTAGGTCTGACCGGTAGACTTCTTGTACCAGTCAAGAATACGTCCGACAAAGGGAGAAATGAGGGTAACACCAGCCTCTGCGCATGCTACGGCCTGGGCGAAACCGAACAACAAGGTCAGGTTACAGTGGATGCTGTGCTGGGTCTCGAGGATGTGGGCGGCCTGGATACCCTCGTAGGTAGAGGCAATCTTGATCAAGATACGGTCCTTGTTGACACCCTCGGCCTCGTACAAAGCAATGAGAGTAAGGGCCTTGGCAACAGTGGCATCCTTGTCGAAAGACAGGCGAGCATCGACTTCGGTGGAGACACGACCGGGAACAATCTTCAAGATCTCCTTACCGAAGTTGACCAACAACTTGTCAGTAGCGGCCTCAAGCTGCTCCTCATCAGAACTAATAAAGTTATTTAGTTTCCCAGCCCTTTCATTTAAAGATGTAGGTATTCTAAAGCTTACCCTCCCTTGCCCTTGGCGTAGGCGATAGCATCCTCAATCAAGGAAGCGTACTGGGGCTTCTGGGCAGCAGCAAGAATCAAAGAGGGGTTGGTGGTAGCATCCTGGGGCTTGTAGACAGCAATGGCTATTTGAAGTAAGGACGCGTTTGTTGAGTCAAACTGAATAAAGGAGTATCGCTACACTTGTCGTCTTTGGCACTGTACTTACTCTCAAAGTCACCAGAGTCGGCAACGATGGTGGTGAACTGCTTGATTTGTTCGAGAACAGACATTTGTATGTGTTTTAGTTTTTCAAAAAAAAATGAGTAAGAATAACTGTAAAGACGGTGAAAGACGGGTTTTTTTTTACACTTTATAATATTTCTCAAAAAAAAAATGAAGAATCGACGGAGTTTTGTCTAAAGCCAACAATTAAGGCATGGGGTTGACATCACCCCACCATCGTCCTATAAATGTATATATTCACATCCCAACCTTTTTTCTTTTTTTTTCTTTTTTAAAAAAAAAAGGTACCTTTCTTCAAATAAGATATACTTCTTTTTGTGTTCATAAGCACAGAGTCTCAAGCCCCAGATATTCACATATCAATTCCAACATTAAAAAAGAAAGGTCCCTTTATTTTTACTCATTTTTTTTAAAAGAAAAAGCTTTCCCCTGTAGTCATTTCTGTACAAAAGTGCTTTGTATCTATTTACACTTTCTGCATAAACAATTGCACGTTTAGAACTCATCTTGGAAAATCTTAATAAAATTTGGATCAATCACTAAACACTTAGTCATCAGTTGTAGGTCCTCTATGATTTTTCAGCTTAAATCAGATAAGCCATACAGCCCTAACATTTATATTTTTAATTTGTTTTTAATTTTTGTTCATCTTACTAATAACTTGGGATAAACTATCGTTGAAACCCCCTTTTATACTTGTTTATATAATATACAACGTAACAGAGCTGTCTTCTTTAAGCATCAATTAGCACAGAAGGTGCTAGAAAATTACCCAAAAAATAATAGTAATAATTTCATCATTGATTTCATACTGCTACTACTGCTATTATAATTATTATAATTTTATTTTCAAGTACCTGAAAGATACCAGCAACATAAATTTAGTAGGTAATTTGTTCTACAGCCCAAATAGTTCTTTAATTGATTGATCGATTTATATACATATCGACTTTTTGCAAAAGCAACCTTTACAACAACAACACTAACCTTTGATTGCCTTGAACTTAATGTTTTCTTCGGGATTTCGCGGGAAACAATCTGATCTAGTAGGAGTTTATTGGAATATACAATTAATAATAATAATAATATTAATGATAATATAAAAGATAAAAGTTGAGCTCTGGAAAGATATACATAGAATACAATCAAATAATAATATTATGATCCATTCCTTCTTAGCCTACCAGCATCCCAGTACTGTGATGACCCGAGATTTCAAGACTACATTTGCCACTTATTGCATTACATTGCACTGTATTACATTGCATTGCATTGCATTGCATCGCGTTGAATTCAAGTGTGCACAGAACCTTAGACTTTTTTAACCCATTGCAAGAGAATTTTTGATGTAAATATGCCTTGCTTTTATACATGTATGAAAATTCTGTATACTTTGGAAACCAGATAAGATCTGAAAAATAAACAATTGAGGCAAATAAAATAAAACATCCTAAATATAAATGGAGAAAAAGAAACATTTATTTGACATAGCCAGACATGAAAATATCCAGTGAGAAATTAAGAAAGGGAGAGAGAAAGAGACTCAGAGCGTGTAATACCAAGTGTCTCTGTATTAAATTTAACTTAATATCTAGATTGTATGAAGTTAATTAAAGTATATATACTCGGGATGTATAAATCATTAAGCACAATCTCATTTTATTCTATTTTATTATCGGTATTGTTTGTTTGTATCAATACTTTATAAGAGAACAAAAGATGTTCAGAAAAGAAGTTGATTTAATACTCCTTTGACTCATTATAATAGCAACAGCAAAAAAAAGCATTTTCTGACTGAACTACAATTTTTTTTTGGTATCATAGCTATTAAGCCATTCCAACTATTTATAACAAAGAAAAACTTATAATACTGACCTTGAAGATCAACTGTTTGAGCCTGTGCACATACACAAGACTAAAGCTATTATAGAATCCTTTACTTGTACCGAGTAGTGTACGTATTTCATAATACGGTCTTTGGTATACCTATCATCTCGATTACTGACTCCTTTAAATCCTCGATAATGACCAACTACCAAAAAAGAATCTCAACACACCAAACCAAATTATGTGCCCCCTTCTTCAACGGACTCATCATCATATTAATATTTTATGCTCACTTTCCTTGCGCTTATTGGTCTTTTGTGGATTCAGTACCATGGAGTATAATACAATAACTGAGCAAGTCCATTTTATTGTGAAATACGGACCAAGTAAATAAAATAATTTATATCTATTACTATTACTATTCAAATCCTTTATAATTCAAATCCCTGTTGTGTAATAGCTGGCTTTTATTGAACAAGTGTGTAGTGTACGTGTGCCTGGCGTGTAACAGTTCCGGAGATTATTAACTTGCCAGGTCCATTAGCAGGAAGGAAACAAGGGATTTAGTTGTGGAGTCTGTGATTTACTCAATTGCAGTGTGTATACCACAGGTATAAAGTAGCTTTATATTTCCTGATCAAGAACTAACTTGTACCAAAAGCAAATTGTGCAATTGAAAGGATTTATGTTTTACTTTAAAACATAATATATTTTCTTCTTCTAATAACTTGCAGTGTAGTATAGAAAGAGAAATAATAACGCTAATCGTAAATGCCTTGATTCAAGCCAAAGCCAGATCAAATGAGCAATTTGCAAAAAGTCAATTTGTTTCCAATAATTGTGGCTCGCAGAAAAACCTTTACAATTAACGTTCCCATTGAGATACTCGTCCTAAAATCAATCTCAAATACTTCAAGAAATTTGCAGAAGATACGTACTAGGGTTGCTTTAACAAGATAATGAACCTGTAATTATATAACAATGGAATATATGGATAGTATGAGGCATATTACTGTTGAGTAATATACATATATAAGTATGTGCATCTTAAGCATACATTGTTTTGAATTTGAGCTTGATTTTTACAGATACTTGAGAGGATACTTCCAAACTGAAATGAATTTGAATGTATATTCAATATTATAATATATATATATATACTTCAAATCATGTTGCTATAGTTTATTCATGTATTTATTTTTGCTAGATTGCTACCATTCTATATAGAAGGTACAAGAAGAATTTTTTTAAAAGAAAATACACACATACACACATAAAACCTTGAAAATTCTTCATTGCCAAAAAATTAGTAATTTTCAATTATAATTCTATGGGATGTATCTCATACTTGTTAGCTTGTTTTTCACTGATATAAAACGCGTGGCATTGTGTAGTTTTGGTATTATAATTGACAGAGAGAGAGAGAGAGAGATGTACGATTTGCTCGAGTGTTTTCAATGGCATTCTGTCCATTGACATTTTGGACCTATGGCAATTCCTGTCAACAAAATCAAAGTTTTCAAGAGGGTAGGAAGTTGTTTTTTTTGTTGGACAAAGCTTACATGTAGGTCCCACTCCACGTGATCCTTATTTAGCTCTACAGAACCAGGCTTGCATATATACATATTGTGTGTATAAGTACTATCATTAATAGAAGGTCAATGGATTATTCCCTTTATTCTGTACTGGTCTCACACCAAAAAAAAACGCGCACAAAATAAGAAAGAGAGGAAGGAGGAGATGATATTGGCTAATATAATTCTCCTTTTGATTGGTAGATGTGTCTGTATTGAAAAAGGCCCAACATGAATTATAGATATTTTTAACGGAAAAAATATCTATAATTCAAGTTTGTAAGACTAAATGATTATTTTATTTTATTTATATATATTCTTACTTTAAAAATAATAATAGAAAGTAAAATTAAGTGGAGAAAATACGCTTAGTCGTCTTTATTCCCTTTCTCTTTCTTCTTCTTTTATTCTCTTCCTTTTTAAGAGACGATAAAACATTCATTAGCCATGAGCCACGCTAGAAGAACAGTCACGTTTGACATCAAGAAGAAGACAGCAGACTGTGTTGTATTGGAAGATGCCCGTAGAAACTCCAAGGAGTATTCCCAAGATATGGCAAAAGTGATTGCAGTAGAAGAAATTGATACCAATCTGTACATGAGCAAAGAGCTGTGGGTACCCCTAGGATCACGCGGTGCATTTGGTGGACAGGTGTGTTTATATACATATATACACATGTGGCAATAAATCATTGTAGTTCAAGAAGTTATTTATTTATCCACCCGTAAACTTTAGGTTGTTGCTCAGGCTTTGAATTCGGCATGGTGCACCGTAGGAGACCAATTCCGGATTCATGTAATACTTTACCAATAATCATAAGAATAGTAATAGCTAAGCATTCTCTCCTTCTTTGAAATAGTCTCTTCACAGCTATTTCATCTTGCCTTGCAATGCAGATATCCCAGTAATCTACAAGGTACAGCGACTTCGGGACGGAAAGACTTTTGCTACTCGATCAGTCACTGCAGTCCAAAGAGGAAAACCCATTTTTATTGCTAGCTTCAGCTTCGCAACCCCGGAACAAGGAATACGATTAGTGCATCAGGTAAAATTATCCCCTCCCTTTCTTCCTTTTCTTTCTTTACACGTGTGATTGTGGGGGGTGTTAGAGTCCGCTAACCATTTGATCGGTAGGCGCCAATGCCAGATGTGGAAAAGCCTGAAGATGTGCCTTCGTAAGTCAACTTGTATATATTAAATAATTAAATATTTAATAGCAATGATGCCTGTATAGAGAGATCGAAAGAGTAAGAGAATGGCTCAATGCTGATGATCTACCCACTGCATTCCGCCAATATCTTGAAAAGAGACTCGAAGATGTAAGTATAAATTACTCCGACAATGTGAGTTGCTCAACAATTGTTGTGTCATCCATAATCATACAGGTTACACCTATAGAGTATCGAGAGGTCCACACACACAGTACCGAGGAAATGCTCAAAGGAACTGTTGAGCCAAGCGCAGTACAGGTAAAGCAAATAAATAGATTCACTAGAGATTTAGCTCTGATTATATATTTTTTTTTGTTTTTTGTTTTTGTTTATTAGCGTCGCTGGTTCAAGTCTTATAACAAGCTTGACAGTGACGATGCCAAACTTCATGCTTGTTCAATTGCATATGCCTCTGATAGTGGGCTTATTATTACTGCCGCAAGGGCCAATGGATACGTCTATGACACCATGGGAATGGTAGTTAGTCTGGATCACTCTATTTGGTTTCACACACCAGCCCGTATTGATGAATGGTAAAGTACAATCCAGAAAGACTTGTTTTTTTTCTTTTTTTTAAAAAAAAGACTAATATTTGTAAACAGGCTTTTGTATGATATGCACAGTCCACGTACAAGTGAAGGTCGTGGTATTGCATTTGGCAAAATTTATAGCAGGGATGGTACATTGGTTGCCACAACAGCACAAGAAGGTCTCGTTCGTTTATCTGAAAAGGGTCAAATATTAGAAAAGCAAAAAACGGACAATGAAAACGACCCTGCAAACGCCAGTAAACTATAAAATAAACGGCAAAGATTTTATACGGACAAGACTCCCAGTACACGCACACACACACATATATATATTTCCTACTTCTCCTCCCTTTTTCCTTCTTTTCTTTTCTTTTCCTTTCCTTTCTCCTCCTTAAGATATAATCAGCTACACTTTGAGTTTTTGTATGTAAATTGATAGTAATAATAATAGCAATAATAATTTATACTTAGGGAACATAAAGGCAAACATATACAAGATAAATAAATACGAGTTTGTTTTTTTGTACAATATTAATATAACCTAGCATTTGTCTTTCATAATTTTCTTTGTGTTTTATCAATAAGCAGCTATAGCACAAAAGCCAAGTTAACGCCTTTTATTCTCGAATTTAAATAATACATTTATTGAACACCAACAACAACAGCACCAACAACATCACAAATTCATGCAATCATTACAGTGTAACCTACACCTGGCTTTTGTGTGGTTAAGACTGGAATCAATTGGTGTTTTGAAATCTTTAAATAAAAAAAAATTCTAGAAAAAACTGACAGATACTTGACTGTCAATGTAGTAAATTGAGAAATATATATAGAAAATAAGCGAATGGATATGCAATCAGGCCAAGGAGTTAATTAGTACAAGTCACCAACAAGGTATGATATTATGGTTTGTCAAATAAGAGCTAGAGTATGCTAGGCTGAGATATTTTTTCGCTGCTTTATGTGTAGCGAGTATCAAAATATGAGATTGTGATAGCTAGTACTTCTAATTTATATGTGTATCGAATTATTTGCACCATAATTTAATAATAATTATGTATCCAAACAAGCTGTGTAAACCAAGGTACCTTTGTTCTTATTTTTTGAGCTCAATCTTAATTGATATCAGTCGAAACTTATCGGCTTTTGATAGAGTGTATAATATGCCTTGTAGGTCTTTCACAAATCGACTCTAAGCATCTACTTGGTGTTATATGTCTGAGTTCTCTGGCCAGTTATTCTATTCACTCTTGCTATTCACATATATACATACATGCATACATGCATAAATGCATAGATACATATATTTATATACAGCTTGCTTTTTCACTATAATATATATATATTTTTGAACTGGACACAAATCTGCTATCTTTTTTGTTTCTGTGACGCAAAAGTATATATATATATGTAATATTTTTTAAATAGCGAAACTGATTTTGAAATTGCACACAATATATTGCGGTGTGGTAAACCCAAAAAAAAAAAAACCAAAAAAAAAAAACAAAAAAGTTAGTTCCGCATCCCTTTCTCTCTTTCTCTCTCCTCTCCTTTGTTCCTCTCCTACAACCTTCTCCTCTGTCTTTTTTTTTCTCTTCACTCCTCTCAATCTCGTCATCTCTTTCTCATCACATTAGAAAATATACCAGCCTTTTATGTCCAAGAAAGCTTCATGTGTAGTACGCGAGCACAAACTCGTTATGGTGGGAGGTGGTGGTGAGTTGACCAAACTCTATTTAGTGGGACTATGAATAGTAGACGGATCAAACGCACAAAGAACAGCAACGAAAGAAGGACTACAGACCCATACAACAAGACAATTCAATATAATACAACCCAAACGAATATACTTGCCTTTTAAAGACGTGGAATTGGGGTTGTGGGTGGGCTTGACATATTTCAATCGATTTTGTATGGCATTACAGTAAAGTGCTATATCTATATATCAAAACATGCACAAAATAAATGGAATATTTACTAATAAAAATATATACAATGATAACCAAACTGGGGTTGGTTGTGTATGTATGTTCTTATCATTTTCTTTAATATATATATATAGGTGTTGGAAAATCAGCATTGACGATACAGTTCATTCAATCGCATTTTGTGGATGAGTATGATCCTACAATTGAAGGTAATTCATCTAGAATTGTATATATTGAACAAAAGAGGATATTGTATGATAGGAGAAGAGTGAATAGGAGAGAAGTCATAACAATAGACAATAGACAAGAGGGGAAGGGGAAGGGGACCGAGTACGCGTTGTGAGACTACATCTCGGTTGTTCTTTGTACGGCTGGATTCTAAAGTTCAATATACGCTATCCGATATCAGATTCATATCGCAAACAGTGTTCAATTGACTCCGAGACAGCCTTACTTGATGTGCTTGATACTGCCGGACAAGAGGAATACAGGTGCGTTCTGTAACAAACCAAACCAAACTAGACTAGACTAAACTAAACTAAATATATTATAATATGATATTTTAGTGCAATGCGTGAACAATACATGCGCAACGGTGAAGGATTTCTGTTAGTGTATTCAATTACATCCCGCATGTCTTTTGAGGAAATTACCACGTTCCACCAGCAGATTTGCAGGGTTAAAGACCGAGACTACTTCCCGATGGTGCTGGTAGCCAATAAATGTGACCTTGAAGGCGATCGACAGGTGTCCACCAAAGAAGGCCAGGATCTGGCCAAGTCTTTTGGGTCCCGATTCATCGAGACATCGGCAAAACAGCGGATTAATGTCGACGAAGCATTCTTTGAAGTAGTACGTGATATCCGACGGTTCAACCAGGAGCAAGCGTCACGCAGAGCAGGAAACAGCGGTGTGTCAGGAGGAGGAGTAGGAGTAGGAGGAGGAACATCAAAGGACCAAATTACTGCACAGAAACCTGCTAAACAATCCGGCGACAAGTGCTGCATTTTGATGTAGCACTTTTTCTTTATTTTTTCCTTTACCAAATGTCTCTCATACACAACCACACAAACCCACATCTCACACCTTTACTTACACACCTACACTTACTATTACACAAGCACAAACTCAAACCCTTACACAAGCACACAAACACACACGCTCGTACCAAATTCCACTACTATTATACTCCATATATCTTCTGTCTTTCAAATCCTGGCCACGTTTTAGAGCCTATATAATTTTTGTATATAGGCCATTTGTGGTTATGTTCTTTCCTTTCTTTATTTTATTGCAGGTTTTTTTTCCGTATCTTATTTAAACCAAAATCTCCCAAACCCCAAAAAAATATTGTTTTATTTATTAGTATTTTATCTTATTTATTATATAGGTGTACAGCATTTAGCAAAAAGCATTTAGCAAAAAGCAAAAAAAAAAACAAAAACAAAAAACAAGTGGTTAATGAATCAATTTGTATAATGGCTTCTTCTATATTTTATTTTCCATTCTCTTTTTATATAATATATATAGTATATATATATATTCTTTACTCAGTTTTTCGTTCTCATTACAAGGTAATACAGAGTAAAGTACAGTGTTTTCCAAAATGATGTTGCACTAAATAAATAAAAATATATATATAAAATGTTGCACTAAAAAAGAAAGAAAGAAAGTACCGTATTTTCATCGAAAAGAAAGTGTCGCATATATTGAAAGAGCATTTTTTGTATATTGCATTATTAAGCCTTCGGTTATACAATTATCTCGATAATCAATATACACACGCACATATATATATATTGGATTCTTATTTTCAATGTATTGTTCGTTTTAATTTAAAGGATGGCTTAGGAAATCTTGTGGATTAAAATGGAGTCGATCCGGGTTCGCTTAAACTTTAATAAACGTGGTGTCTTTGATGGTATATCTATTTGTTGTATCGTCTTGTCTTCAAAATCTACCTTTGGTTTTGTATTCGTTTGGTTTAAAGCAATTCCTTTTGGATAAATCTTCCTTGTTTTTGATACGGCTTAATTATCGCTTTATTCCTTTTTTATTTATTTAAGGATTTAATTCGTAAAGCATTGCTTCATTTTGTTAAAAAAAAATACCTTGAAATCACTGCCAAAAAGTTCAAAGATTCAATAGTTATTTGGGTAAGATATCGTACTTCATTTGATACCGTGTAGCAGTCATTTGCTCTTAGACGTGGCCAAATGTGAATTTGAATATATATATATATATATATATATATATATATGAGAGGAGGAATAATATAGGAAAGGTATTGTAAAATTCTGAAAGATGTAGGATGAAAAAATAAAATAAAAGAAGCTATTGTGAGGTTCGTGCAGAAGTGAAATGAGGAGGAGAAATCAAGAGGATTATATGCTTCGAAAAAACAAAAGACAGAGAGACTCAAACACAACATGTTACTAAATTAACAATTGCGATCGTTGTACATACTCCCTTTGACACCAAAACTTGTTGAGAGTCTTGAAATTCTTGGCCAAGACATAACGAAAATTACATTCCAATTTTATAGTCAACTCCCGCAGCAACTTTTCTTATTTTTTTTTTCAAAGAGATGAGCGGTTTGATACCACCGGGATTGGTTGATAAACCGGTAGAGTTGGATATTATATCAGCAATGCATGAGTTAGGAGTCATACCTTTTAAGCGACTTTTATTATACAAGGTATCTTAACGATGCTCTGATTATAATCGTGACGCATTAACTAATGTACACCAATTGAAGAAATATCTACAAAGTGACCCTAGCATATGGCAATGCATTTAAATACATTGTCTATAAACTTGGCCTACAACACATCGTCTGTATCAAGTCAGAGACTTGGCTTTTGAAATATTTGAATATTACTATATTTCTTCTTGTAGGTGAAGCTAAATATATTGACATATTAAAAGTATACAGTGTATAGGCGGTTATATCTTGTAATGCTTTATATATAACGAGTTTAAAAATACATAGTTCCCAGTGATAAGTAATGTCTTTTGGATCAACCATCGTTATTTTCCTTTTTTTTATTTTAATTAATTTTATATATTTTGCGGGTACAGACTACAAAGAATGTCGCTGCTTGAACAGAATAAACTACCCATAACAATGTAGTGAATTAAGCACGGTGAAAATATCCCAGGCAAAAGGTATTTAAAGACTATTCATATAGTATATATACACCTTCCTCTTCTTCTAGCTTATAGTATTATTATTGATATTGTTTTAAACAGAGAGAAAGAAAGAAAGAATAGCCATATTATGTAGGAGATGTACTTAACATAAAGATCTCTTGGCATTTGAAAATAAGAAAGTTTATATATATTACCCAATTTTACGGTTATGTTCATGGATGTGGTTATTTTAACCGGTGAGCAATACCAATTTCTCTTGATATTCATAGCCAAACATTTGATGTATAAATCTCTGGTCTTAGGGTAATAATAGCTCTTAATTTATAGCTTAAATCATATAATATAAATGTAAGTAGTTTATAGATACTGAAAACATAAAAAAAATGTAAAAACATTCCTAGAAGAATATATGAAATTAAAATGGTTCTCTACAGAGAGTGTAAACAGTCTCTCAAATATAACTAAAAGTTTCCACAGATAGTCAGCTCACGCATCTGCTGGAGCACATCGTCAACACGTCCATCTCCCTTCTCATTTTCTGGAGGGAAATGGTTTCTCAAAGCTTCAAGCTGTTCGTAGCTTGTCTGGCAGAATCTCAACTGTGACTTTACCAGAGCCTCGAATGTAGGGTCGAGATAAGGTACTCTTAGCTCTACCATTTTTGGCAAATCATTTACAAGGATAGTATTGAGATTCTCGTACATTTCTCGAGCCAAATTAGCTTCTTGCTCAGCCTGATTAATATAAGAAAAAAGGAAGTAAGTAATCTTGTTCGGATATCCAAACAACTTTATATATATGCGTAATCTCCTTACCAGAGGGAGACGCTGAGGATCTTCACTTGGTTTATCAATAAGTTTTCTAACTTTAGAGCGCTGGTTGTCATAGTCGAGCAACTTCTTTTGGCGTCTCTTGATAGCTTCGTGAATTTCTGGGAAGTAAGAGCAGAAACGGGTAAGAGGTTCCAATACAGTGGTACGGAATGCAACATCCTATATGTATATAATAAAAAATAACAACAACAACAACAACAGCAACATTTAGGAACACCTTAAAAGATATGCATACAATATACTCTGGATCTCCCATTCGCGCCTTTTTTTCTTTTCTTTTTCACTTTTTTTTTACCAATTCTGTTCGAGCTTCCTCGTCAAGTCTTTCTACTGCTCTCTTGTATTCGTGCCCAGCAGGACCCATGGGCGCCGAGTCATCGTAGAAATGACCAATCGTTTGTGCAATTCGTGTTTGTGCAGTTGTCATGGCTTATTGCCAAGTAAATTAAATTGGGTGTTAAACACCTTGACCTTATATTCATTCATAGCCACTATATTTCTAGCAAGTTTACCTCGTAGAGAATCCAGATAACCCTTGGCCTCCTTAGTCAGCTTTTCAGACTTTTGTTCAAGTCTGAAAGGTTGTTTTAGATAATACCAACGACGTTTAGTAATTTCTTTTATTTGTTATTCTTTGTAACCTACGTCTTGAATCGTTCATATTCTTCTTCAAACTCGCTGTCTATTGTACGGTCTGAAATTCCGGTTCTTTGCATGAGCTACATTGTTAGTTCAGTCATTGTTTTGTCTTAAGATGTTTCCATGTTGGGTCAGTCTCACCGTAGTACCGGCTCTGTTTAGGTTCTTTTTGAATCCAGAACTAAAAAAACGGTTAAAGATTAGATGACTTGAATTTTAGCTGCGAGAATATATTTACAGAAAACTCATGTTGTAGATTGATTAATTGTTGGTAATGAAGTGTGTGTCTGTGTGTATGTGTGTGTGTAGATAAAAAAATAAGAAAAAGAAATGTAACAAAATAAAAAATATATACATGCGGCAGTTGGTGAGGAAGGATTTCATACGTCATAAACTCCGACACCCTTGGTATAGGCTGTGTAACATAGCCAAACGCTCGCCATAAGAATAGCCGCTCGGGCCAAGTAAGCCGAAAGGCAAGACAAACGAGAAAGAATACCTAGACATAAGCTAAAGCTCAGCTAAGCAGGTATTAGACTGTATAAATAAGCTGTGTATGTACAGAACAGTAGTAAATAAATAAACCTCGAAAAAAGGGCTTTTTTTTTCTCGAATATATATGAATATAAACAAAGACATTGGAAGATTTTTTTGAAAGTTCTAATTGTTTTGTATTTTAACAAATTCTGGAAATATCAAAGAAGAGCACTATATAAGCGATAGGTTTTGTCCATATAGCTGTCTATAAATTCATCCAGAATAAAAATCTATATATTGTATCAATTCATAAAGATATATATACATATTAATAATTTCGAGATTTGGTATGTTATTTTACACTACAAGAAGAGGAGTGTACTATAGAAAGAAAGGAAGAAAAAAAAGTATTATAAACGCAATATTCTGGAAGGAATTATTTCTCTTGTCTTTAACCACATACAAAACAAATTCTGGTCCGATATTATAGCTGTAGTAAAGGCTGCTTTCCGAAATATATAAAGTTCAAGGCACTTGTTCCCCTACTAAGCCAAGAGTCAATGAGATTTGTCTGTTTTGTTTTATGTATATCTGTATATTGAAAAGAAAAATTCAGAGGACTCTTTATATATATATTCTCGGATAGAGATTACAAGAGCTATTACTATAAATCAAATGAGAATCTTGTGCAAAATGGCTTATATTTATATATAAGAGAGATTTTTTTTATTTGGGCTTACACATAATTTGGGCTAACTTCATGGCATTACCAAGGTTAGATCTTCAAGATATTTTTAAGGATATTTATCGAGTATATTTATTTACACATATTGTACCATTTTTTGAAAGCAGATAAACCCAAAATTAAAGGGTGTATAGCAGATATTTCTTATTAACATAATGAATGATTGATTGCTCTTGAAATAATATTCGTCTTACTTTAAAACCATAATCATAATCATAATTAGCTTGAAAATGTATCAGAAAACTGAGGGTTTATTAATAATAGATTAACATCAGTAATCAAGACTCAAAATCGTATTATGTACTCATCTGAATTAAAGTATAGATTAAATGATACGTTTGGCCTTAAAGACTAACAAAGAATAAAAAATTAAGTAAAACAAGATTTACCCACAACGGTGATATGCTCCTGTTTCAAGCCCAAGTCTGGGTTCCGACACACTGTCTATGCGCATGCTGCACCAGCCAATTGCAGTACGTGACGCAACTCAACTTGGAACTGCTGCCTAGCTCAAGCTGGTGTCACTACTGACTTTAACTTCAGTATCCTACCCCCTCTTGGTTCCTGTCAGATACATTTAAATGAGCCTTTGGGAGATTCTTGATGTTAACAGACTCTAGCTTAACAAACATACTCATCGTGGTAAGTGGCCGCACACTCATCATTCCCAGGTCTAAACCCCTCCCTGACCCATTCGTCTGTTCCTAGAGCGGGGTATCCCAAATTCGCTACCGAGTGTATGGTCAGCACTGTAAGCGATCCTCACTAGTAGACTTCATCAAGTGCGAGCCCTCGGAATCATCTACAACTGGAAATATAAAGCCAACATATTCAGGATTCCATGGTGACCCTCTTGATCCAACAGAGAACATCCTGATCAAGACATTCAAAACCCTGACCCAGCTCGGCATCTTGTGCATGTGGCGGATGGCATCAGAAAATAACGAATGTTCTAGCTCACCGACTCAAAATCCTGATCAAGACATAGTTCCACTGGAACTTTGGGTATTTTGGTTTGATGAGAAACACACTGGAAAGATAGACTCTAACTATGAATTGAGTATACTCGATGGTAAGGCTCACACACCCTTTATCAAATCTAAATCAAGATTATAATTTCTCTCTTCAATTTTAGAGCTTAAAGTCGGATCGTTCACGTGGGAAAATGTGTCCTCAAAAGGAGTTTCACCAACGGCTTCACCTCTTGCCTTACACCCTCGAGTAGGATCTAGTTCACTTGTTGCCGTATCTGAGGAATATAAACTATTTATGAAGTCAATCCAGAGCGTCATTCAATGGTAAGATTAGCTTTCGAGCTTAGAGTTGAAGGACAAACACCGTATCTTGACGGAATTGTGCAGGTCAATACAACAAAAGGGCGCAATACCTCTTGGAGACTTTCTTCTGTTTCCGCTAAATATTCCTGATAATAACGATACTGAGATGGAAATGAAATTATCACCTGAGGAAAGCACTGATGAAATGGTCGACTCCGTTCTAAGCTGCACATACAACGTATACCTCGCCAGCACAAATTTAATAATTCAACCGAGTCCACGCCGGATGCGGATCAGACCTCTACACATAAGTGATTTAAAGAATGAAAATCTCAAGGGTAAAACAAAACCAAAGAAAGAAAAAAGGTGTCTCTTTATGATTCTGGAAATGTTATTCTTACGCATAATATAGTCCGGATAGGTCCTTCAGGGGAGTATGCTAAAATTGCACCCCAGCAAGATATATCCCAACAGTTGGAAACAAATGTCCTATTGCAATGGTCGTTATTATTCTCTATACCTGTCCGCTACATCTCTAGACCAATTCGCAAAAATAACTCACAAGTTATTCCCCAATTAACCACCATCCTTACTCTACGAAATGAATTGGTGCTTTATCCAACAGCACTTATATTTGTACCTGTATCAGCTCAACAACATTCGACACCAGCAGCTGGAATGAATAGCACGTTACGTTACAATCAAGGTTATACCGAAGATCTGGGTGAGAAATGGAGTCGGCAGACATGGAATGAGAATATAATAAACACTACAAAGTTGCACAATCAAAACATGTCCATGGTATCTGATGAATACGGACAAAGAATCGACGGTTTGAGAAGACATATAAATTATTGGAGTTACATGGGCCCCAAAGAAATTGTCATGTCAAACATATTTGAAGTCTTGTCGACATCTGATGGCTGTAGTTCTCAAGAACTATTGAAGAAAGCGCTCGCAGAACCAGTCTTATCGAGCCCACTCATGGTAGCAAAGTCACTTGCGACACCTACAAGTCTTGGACCAAAAGCCGAATCCGTATCAAACGACATGGCAGAAGATATGGAAGACACTGACAGCAGAATCTCAGAAAGCTTTGAGAACTACACCGGAATTTCATTAAAAGAATTCGCAACAACTTTTTTTCTTGAAAATGCAAATCAAATGTTAGCCCCCAACCTCTTGATTTCAGCGGATCACAAGAGCACAACACCCAATTCAGAAGACAACACGCGTGGAGAATATATCCAAGGATTAGAAATATCACAGAACATTGATATAAACGGATTTAATATATCTGAATCTGCGGGCAGAAATATGCCAACTCAACCCCTTTTGCAAACCAACGAAATTATTGCAAGCAATGAAGCCGGTGTCCTACAGAATCTGCTTTCAGGACCTATTCAGAACGAAATGATTAGCAGCAACTCGGATTATCTAGCCCCAGAAATGACAGGGAGCAATGGTGATATTGATTCTGGATTCGACATCGGGGGTATGGCCGGAATGGCCGGTATTGATAGCATGGACACAATGATGTATGGAATGCCTGATCGCTGGGGCGGGGACGACAATCTGGATGATTACGACAATTTCGATTTTTCTGTGACAGAAGAAGATTTCAAATTTTTCGAATCTGGCCCAAACAATAGACATGATGAGTACATATCCACTGCTCATGGTGGACTGACCACTGGAATCCAAGAAGCACAGTCTTTGGATGTAACAGACCCAACTCTTTTACTGATAGACACATTTACAGAAAAAGGATTGGGGGAAAATGAAATGAAAGAAAAAGAGCTCGATTTCTCTGAGCTTTTTGCAGCATCAAGAAGTATGATGGAAGATACTATGATGATAGACCAGTCAACTCGTATTTTTGACGAATCGAAACCAATAATTGACAGCTCAATTTTAATGGAAAACACAGCAGGAGGTCATCTCGCTTTAGACTCTGAAGACACACTCATGACTGATGTAGACACAATGGATAATCATCACTCGTCGTTTTCTAACCACCAATTTTCCTCTACAATAACTCCCAAGACAGGACAGCATGGACTCGATGTTGTTTCTAACCAGTATTTTGTACAGTCCGAACTTTCCCCTGTGATTTTTTCCGAGAGAGTCAATGACGCAAAGTATTACAATGGTGGAAAGTTTATGTACGTACCTCCTTCAGAAAAGAACAAGACCGCCAATCGGAAAACAAAACAAGACATATATCGTCCTGACTACATCCCAGTCATAAAAAAGAGAGTACAGAAGTGGTTAGATGACAGACATCCAAAACATCAACACAAAGCGTATGACAATTCTGTAAAGACTGTGTCTAGTCCAATCAAAAAACCAAAAACAGAATTTGAGGATGTAATTAGCAGTAGCAGTAGCAGTTGCTATACCAGTAGTAGTAGCTCATATGAAAGCGAAAGCGAGAGTGATAGTGAAACCGAAGTCAAGCCTATTGAAAAATCAGGCACCAAAGATATCATTGCTACACCCAAAGCAAACAATGCAATCACTGTACAGAAGCATATGGGCTTACTTAAATGTGAACAAGATATATTCGTGAGCCGTATATTGATTAAGCCAGGTGAAACCCAAAAATATCCACTATTTGAAAAAGATCTGGGGTCAGAATACACACACCCTTTTGCAGAAGCAGTTGTACCAGGACCTGTGAATTCTGTGCATCTACCAAATGAAGCCTTGTGTGAAGAGGATTACAGAGCACTAGATTCTCTTTTTCAACAAGTGGTTATGGGAGGCTATCCTTTTTCAGGTAGTCTAGCAGCAGTATCAGCCAATGCAGGTGAAATATCAGAAGGAGAGTCTGCCACGATGATTGTAGCTAGACGCAGAGATTTGATACAGTCTCTTCATGGAGGTAATATTAATAATATATACTTTAAAAAATCATACGTACAAAGATTTATACTGAATATTTATCATCTTTTCGTAATATACGTAGACATATCGCATATTCCTTCCCTTGCTAGCGACTACACTAGAATCACACAATCTTTCAAGATAATACTCACAGATATATTTGACCAAAGAAAGTTTAATCAAACCAGCTTATATCCTTCTGGAATGGATCACCCGGCTTTACCAAGTTTTGTATCCGTTAAAGGTCCTCTAAATGTCCAGCAGTATTATGACTTGTCAGGTAACTTTTAAAATATTTCTTATTTGGTCAGTCATAAAAAAATCTCATCAAGTAAACATGTCGATATAGAAACAAACCAAGCACACTCAAAATATGGAAAATATCAAATTAAGAAGAGAAGGCCAGCTGAGCCTAACCTTGATACCCTGATACCACCCAATATTGTTGTTAGTCGCCAAGAGAACCTTCTTGAAGGTTCACCAAAGTTATTGACATTTTGGGAGAAACTGAGATTAGCACCATACTCTCCTCCAAAAAATATCAATTATTTTGTGGTATTCCCCAAGAACGAAGATCTGGAATCAAATGTTTCCCATTTTTTTAGAGGATTAAGTACAGTATATGATACTTGCCTGCTCGGATCCCACTATCCAGCAAAAATTGGAAATTACCGCCGTGGCCTTGTTCCTGTACCAATATTACGTGAGTATAAAGCTTTAGAGATAAACTGCTACTTTGCTTTGTTTTGCTAATTTCTTTAAAATAATAATAATAATAATAATATAGCCAGATTACAAGAAGAGACATGGGATGATCAACAGCTAAGAAGCTATACAGCAGAATGCCGAAATTTAGGAGCTGCGCTCAGAACTGCAAATGCAGAAAACATGCACATTGTGATATATATAGTGAATCCATCTTCACACTTGTCGGCAAATCTTGAACTTAGTCGCTGTTTTCGTAAACTAGTAGTTGAATATCAGAAAACTTTCCAAGATTCTCTTTCAAAACCAACAGACAAAAACCGTGCAAGGCTTGTGATGCAGCTGATACCCATTGAACACATCTTACGGTCAACATCATTTGGTGGTTATCTCAAATTCGGATTCAAGGAAGTGGCTTTCTCTGTATATACTAAATGCCATACTGTCGTGGGCAGGAACCATGGTCAGGTATATATTATTAATATGCAGCGGATAAAAATTAATTGATAGCTAATGCATTTATATATACTTTTATGTAAATTAAAGGTTGGTAATAACGAAATTCAATCTGCTACAGAGCTTTATACACCACCATTTGTGCTTGCCAAACCGATACCAGAAACCATAAACTTTTCTGTCAAAGAAGGCCCTCACTCGTTTCCGATCATCTTAGAAGACAATGCTTCGTTGCATCTTGGTTATTGCTTTAGTATTGATCACCGATGGATGATACTTGTCTGGACAGATCACCGGGGAGAGTTAATTGAGTTCTCTGTTCTTGACTGCATCAAAAACTCGAATGGTAGTCTATCTGCTGTGTTTGAGGAGGCATGGTGGAGAACAAAGGAAATATCAAGAAGGACAGGATTTCCATGGACATATGTGATAGCCAAGATTGGTCTCATGTTTGAGGATGAGCTAAAAGGTATGTGAATAGACTGTTTGGAAATATATTTACTAACGTGGTGTATTTAGCATGGATGGATATTATTCCAAATGATGAAAAGGCAGTGATTGTCTGTGTTGATATGGAATCTACATTGTACCTTCATCTAACAGCGGATGCTACCTCAATCCCCTACGAACAATCACATACACCAAACTCTGGAGGCGTCCTATCCTCAGATATCTTAAATAATTCACCGAGTATGAATGCTAATGCAACACATAGTACTCGCCCAACTGATTCAACTGATGGTGAAGTTGAGGATACCCATGCATTGTTGCTCAACCATCGGGTTGCATATTCTAGAAAGCGAGAGAAAATTTCAGAAGGCATATTATGTATGGATCCAAATTCTGAGGTTGAAGATTGGATGTTACCATTAGCGAGTGGATATATGGTTCACAAAGCACCCGAAAATGATAGTCCATGCAAAGAACAATTCAATCATCGCCCTCTTGTAGTTGAGGTACTATTGCACACAGTTAAGACATATATAAAAGAAACACATAATCTCATCCTCAGCTATATAGGTCCACCTTGTTTACAATCAAACAGCATATTCTGCATACAGCACACTAAGGGACATAATCAAACGTTACCACGCCCTTTCATTTGTCAACTCTATGCCATCTAGCGTGAACCGTCTTCCCATTCACCTTGTTTTAGTCGAGAGACTATGTCGTATATTACTCGTTGTAGATCCATCGTTTTAATTCATTTCCAACCCTTAAATAACCTTTATTCTTTTCATATCCCAATTTCCTTCGAATACTCTTTTTCACCTTAGTTCCTGTCATTCTTTTAAAACAAAATCCATAATATTGATTCAAAAACTGGGGGGTTTTTTTTAAAAAAAAATCTTTCCTTAGATAGTCTTCTTTTCACACAAAAACCTAATGATGATATTCTTTCGTAACCGTTATTATGAATTGGTCTAAAGAATTTGTTTTCACATCTATTTTAATGTCTATTAATCTAAGTATGTAGTGTTGGGAGTACCTTTTCTAATGAAGTATTCAAACTTACAGAAAAAAGGTACCATTTACGAGTAAACGTTAAGTGAACTTATATACTCGGTAAATATTGAATAAGACAAGTCGTATATATCAATTAAATTCCAACATTCCGAGTTCCTTTTAAGTTTTACTACACGATTTTTCTAATCAAAGGAAAAATCATGACTGAATTAATCTTGATAAAGTGTGTGATAATCATCGGTATAGCCAGAATAATATAAAGTCATAATATTCTTTATGATATGAGTCTCGTATTTAAATTTGAGATTGAGCCAAATTAGGAGATTTCAAAAGTCCTTTAAGCTTTTAGACTTAAGCTTTTTAAGATATTGTCCATAAATGATAGTGGTTGAGGCTTGTTAATAAATTAAAAGAATAAAAGATTTTTAGCCCTAGTATTAATGACTTTTAGACTTTAAGTTACAGAAATTATTGGTCAAAATTAACTTCAAAACATTAAATCCAAAAGTATGAGCCTAAAAGCTTAAAGGACTGTTGAACACCCCTACGTATATAGTAGAAATTAAATTTAGACTTTTATGCGCATATTTGATACCAAGAAGCAACTGTATATGTTTACGCACTTTCAGTAGGAAACGGTAAAAAAGTACAGATCAATTATATTACACACCAAATAAAATCAGATATTCAGCAAAAACTTATAAGGAAAAACAGAAGAAAAAAGGTACAGCTCAAAACTCTTTTTATATGCTCTTAATACCACTTAAATAGAAGACTATTAAACAGAATTTACGCTCATATCATGCAAAAAGCTTAGTTGTATCACAGATTACTCGTTTTGTTGTTTGAAGAACCATGTAATACAACTTTTATGCCATTAGAAGTGCAGTACGATCGAGTTTTAATTCACCTGTATTATCTTAAACCTCCTTGTTTTTATCTTAATTAATGAAGCTTTGGATTGGATATTCACCACAATCAACTATACACCCAAACTATTTGTCCTATATAGTATATCGTTGGATATTTTGCTTGGTAACAGCAAGAGCCATTATTAGAACTCTTTTACCGGTGTTTATGAGAAACATTTACAGAAAATATTGCGATATTGTTACTTATGCTATGTGCATATTACTTCGCTCGCCAGTGGTTATGATTATACATTGTATATCTCACGCGCAAGGCAAAAAGGCACAAAAAATAATGTTTCATCATACTTGTTATCTAAATATCTTTCTCTTTCTTTCTTTGACTTTATTATTATTATTGAAAACAAGGTATTTTATATAGTCTATATTTTTTTTAAAAAAAAATCTAAAAGCCTTTACCGATCCCCACCTGGTCGACAATATCCTTCATGGTTCCAGGCTCTTCGCATAGTTCTGGATGTACATAAAACAGCATCTTAGGTTTAGCAGGTTTGTTCCCAACCATACCCTCTGCTACTGTAGGGTCTGTCACCATCCAGCTGGTGAAAATACGTGTAGATGGCGTAAGGACATCGGTAGGTACTGTGGTCTTATGCTCTTTTGCGAAGAAGTTAAGGGTGTGCAAGGTGAGTTGGGTTGGAACAGGTTCAGGGCAGGTCGTAGTGATCTTGGTAACATAAGGTGACATGACCCACTGGATCAAACCTGTCGAAGCTGCACTGGTGACAATAGCTGTCATTGTATTTTTACAGTGATTTTATTTTAGCTTATCATACATAAAACGTGCTAGTAATACTTTGCAACTCTATTTCAATTTACCTGCACCGGCCAAAGCGGCTTTGGCAACGAACGGTACTGGCACGTCAATCATAAAGATAAAAGGAGAAATGCCAGTACCAAGACCAAGAGAGGTAATGGAGAACAATTTCAGCTTCTTGGCTACATTGGCCAGAGGTCCTTCATAGATAGTGACCGGCTCATGTTTAGTAGAAAGAGCACGGGTAGTTCCAAACGTGGCATGTACAATGCGGGATCGCAAGACAGAAGTCAATGGACGAACGGATTGGAGACGACAATTGAGCATTGGAAAGATCGAATAATGCCACTTTGTGTGCGGACAAAAAGAAAATACAGGAAAAGTCGCGTCACAACAAGTGATCCCCTCAAGAGAATAGTACCTCATACCCTCTCCCTTGCAATTGCTGCTGTTATTGTTCGATTCGTAATATTCAGATAAACTTCAATTGAGATCATTATGGCTAGTGCAAGTAAGCAAACTCGTTAAAAGCACCTTTTTGTAGCTATACTCACACACATATAGTCAAGATTCCCCCTGGAATTCGCCTCTTCAACAAGATCGCAGACTTTAGACAATGGAGACGCGAAATTTTGCTGGACCGCAAGACACTGGGTTATGTACCCACTATGGGTGCTCTTCACAAGGGTCATTTAGCATTAGGTAGAGCATTGTCTACTACACAATTTGTTATTGTATTCCTGACATTGAGTGTTCTGTCTATTGTTGGTGTTAGTTTCAACGGCCAAGTCACACTGTGACCATGTCGCACTGACTATCTTTGTCAACCCAGCTCAATTTGCACCTCATGAAGACCTTTCGAGTTACCCACGTACTTTGCAAGCCGATTTAGACAAATTAGCTTCTCTGGGTCCCGGAGTCGCTTCTGCTGTACTAGTGCCCCAAGTAGAAGAAATGTACCCAGCCGGGATTGACTTGGATGTCTCTAAGCAAAAGGGTACCTTTGTAGAAGTCAAAGGAATTTCTGAGATTCTTGAAGGAAAGACTCGACCGGCTTTCTTCCGAGGTGTTACGACTGTGGTTTCTAAATTCTTTAATATTGTAAGTCCCCTTGTAATGCATGTATTGACACACAAAATATAGCCAACTTAATATGTATGCTTTTTATGTATAAATATATGTAGGTCCAGCCTGATAATGCATTCTTTGGCCAAAAGGATAGTAAGTAGAACCACAGTATAGCTTTGGGTTGAACAAGCATTCTCAAAACACCAATTGGATGACCTTACTTGATTAGTCCAACAGTGTTATGTGATTAAGTCCATGATCCGGGATATGCATTTCCCTATCAAGCTGGAAATCTGCCCTACGACACGCGAAGAGGATGGCCTAGCAATGTCATCTCGCAATACCTATCTAACCCCTTCTCAGCGTGCTCATGCACTTGTACTGTACAATGCCCTCAAGAAGATGGAAAAGCTTTATGCAGCAGGGGAGCATAATGTATCATCCTTAATCAAGGCAGCCCATGCAGTTGTAGAAGAAGAACGTCAAAAGGTTAAAAAACTCAACGAGGGCTGGGAGATCAAGTTGGATTACATCAGTATCAATGACAAGTCTGATCTCTCGGAGGTTGGAGATAAGCTTAAGGAGGGAGGCTGTGTGATGAGTGGAGCTGTGTATGTAGGCAAGACTCGCCTGATTGATAACTTGTTAGTGAACTAAAAAAATGAAATGAAAACAATACTCAAACAAATAGAATGAAAGGTAGAAAGCAAGCCATAAAGTGCCTTGTAGTCTAAGTTATTTTTGAATACAAAACAAAAGGAAAAGGAAGATAGGAATAATACAAGGTAGAAGGGATGTTGGAAGGGGAATTTGGGAGGAAACAGATCTCAGAGCAGTCTAGCTCTTTTCTTTCACTGGTTGTTCTACTATTTTGACATCATCCTCTTCCTTATCATCTTCATCCTCATCATCACTCCGGGTGTCCTCTGCATTATTTCCCTGGAGAACCTTGACAATCACCTTGATGATCATCAGGAACCAGTAGAACATCAGAATATTGAGGAGCAAAAAGAGGCCAAGATAAATCTTTTGGGTAAATGGTGTAAAATATTTCCCCTTAGATGGCTCCCATAGCATATCAAGGTATTTCGGGGGTTCGACTATATGATGCAACAGTTAATATATAAGAGTGATATATATATATACTGTAAAATGTAATTACCCGCTGTAGACCAGATAATAATAGAAAATAGAACATGCCGAGTTATAGGCCAGAAAACGGCGAACAGACCAAAGACAACATCGCACACATTTGAGTAACCGAGGTATTTGAGAATCTTCGCAAACTTGGATTCCTAATTAGATCAAGTAGAAGGATCAAATAAATCAATGACTTACTGATAAGAAGACGTCTGCGAGATCCATGCAACAAAGAACACTGTTGCCAATCCGAGTAAAGTTAGTGTAGTAGCTGGCTACCAGCAAAATTATTGTGATGATATGGTGGAGCAGCATAGCCAGGTGGTCCTTGCGTTTCTTTTCAACATGGAGAACATAAATCTGCTGGAACCAAAAAGCAGTTTGCATCAAGTAATAATATTTTGTGATGCGGGATATAAAGATGTGCGGGTAGTCAATCCAGTAATGGGTCGTGTCAAACCAATGGGGGCTGTTGTACATGATATACTACATTCCGTTTAATAAGTGTCACTGTAAAGATCTTACACCACAAAGCCTTCACTTGGCACTAAGCCCATTATGAATTACTTACCATTCCAAGGGACCAAAAGAGAGTATAGTAGAAGCAGATAAAGCTTTGTTCTGCGATTCTCTGGCGCTTAGTTGTTGAAGGAATAGCCCACAAGCCTGCCATAGGAGAGAAGATGTATTTCATCATACCCGCGCGTAGAAAAGTAAAGGCAATGATCCAAAAACTCACGAAATAGATATCATATATGCCTTTTCCGTAGGCGTCTATGCCATACTCATACGATATAAACAAGCATCTGCGCGCAAGGGGAATATCTAGCAAATAAGCTGCCACCAGAATTAAAGAGACCAGCCCTGATATTTCTAAAGAGAAGAAGAAATAAAGAAGTTAAAGGTCGAGTACTTGTTTTCTGTGGATCCTTACCTAGTTCAAAGTCGATAACACGTTCTGAGAGTGACTTCTGCGGTGCCTTTTCTTTAGTGATTGCTGCCTTCTTCAATCGGATTGATCCTGTCATGGTGAAGTGGAAGGAAGGAAGGAAGAGAAAATTGCTTCTGGTGGAACACAGACATAGGAAGTAGAAAAAAAAAATAACAGGAAGCCAAGGCTTAACTTGTCCAATAAAAAGATACTTCTATAAAAGGATAACGTTCTGATTATGCCACCATTGTCATATAAAAATAACTTGTTTTTAAATATATGTCCCTGCGAAAATTTAAGCAATATTTTCGCCGACTAGAACTTCAACCTTGTACTCATTCAAAGAAGCCAAGGGCTGCAAAGAAAAATACCCTTTGCATGTTTAGATTTATCAAACGAGATAAATGCATAGTATAGCCAGTTACACAGTAAACGTTACTCAAGATCGCTTACACTTTTATATATGTACTTATATATATCTTACAGATGATTTATATTAGGCAACAAGACCTTTTCTTTTTTGCTTTGCTTTGCTTTGCTTTGCTTTGCTTTGCTTTGCTTTGTTTTGTTTTGTTTTATTTATGATACATATGCTCACAAGGATGATTATGTAGGCTAATGTACATATGGTGTGGATTAGGGTCGCGTATAGAATATGAATATGATTGTAATTTAGGTATTCCTGGGCGTGAATGTATATATATATATATATATATAATATGATAAAATGAAGACATTAATGTCAATTATATCAAAAAAGTAGCTCTAGTATTCAAACCTACTTAGTCTATATATAAATGTGTGACACAGTAAAAGGTAACGACATTGTATCTAATTAACGAACCAAGAACAATGGAGAGAATATCTTATTCTCATGCATGAACTGCGCTTAACTAGAGTACTTTTGTTTCCTAACAAACATAAAGAGTCAATAACATTTAGGAAGCTTTCCTACATAGTAATAACTGGACATTATCATTAAACCATATAGTATCCAATACCATTATCATATCAGAATATTGCTACAAATTAGAAATATATATATACATATAAAGCTAATTTAGCTTTATATCTTGTAGGTGCGTCACAGGCACAAGGTTCACTAGCTTAAATGATAGAATCTCTCTTTTTCACCCTTTATCTCTTACTATCTCATTCTCTCTATTTCTTTCTCTATGTCTTTTCTCACTGCACAATACCACTCTCAACAGATACTAGTTTCTTTGTGAGTTAATTAATTGGGCAAAAATAAATTATATTTTACGTAAAATTCTCCAAGGGCAAGCTACTAATTTTGGAGTTACATCGGCGCACATATTATTAAACATGCGAAGGGAAAAACTCATTTAAAAAAAACCAATGACACAGACTTCTCAGCCCCAGCCTCAGCCAATCCGGAGTTGCCATCAAGACAACCCACGGACCGCCCTTGTTATTGGCTCAAATTCATAGGCAAAGCAGCCTGCCACGTCAGTTTGTTCACGCGTGCTTTGTATATAAAGGATTGAGTCCTCTCAAGTACACAATCCGTATTCTCTTTCTCTCTGCTTTAATTTATACCATGAAGATTTTTACAATTGCTACTGTACTCGGCCTTGCCTCCCTTGCTTCTGCTGAAATCTTCCTTCACGAGACCTTCTCTGATGGTGAAAACTGGACCCAACGCTGGACCCCTTCAACCCACCGTGCCGACCTTGGCAAGTTGGAGGTCACTACCGGAAAGTGGTTTGCAGACGAAAACAAGAGCAATGCTCTGAGAACTACCGAGGACTACCGCTTTTACGCTACCTCGACCCCTATCAAGCCTTTCACCAACAAGGGTAAGGACTTGGTAATCCAGTACGATGTCAAGAACGAACAGCACATTGATTGTGGTGGAAACTATGTCAAGGTAGATAAAGATTGATCAATTCCGTAAAATGCTCGAGTACTTATCTTTGTCTATAGATCTTCTCTGACAAGTTTGACCCCAAGACTTTCAACGGCGACAGTGAATACAACATCATGTTCGGCCCTGACTTCTGCGGAACCAAGGCAATGGTTCATGCCATCTTCAACTACAAAGGTGTCAACTATGACCTCAAGAAGACTGTATCTGCACCTAACGACGTCGATACCCACACATACACTCTTATCGTAAAGCCTGACCAGACCTACCAAATCCTTGTTGATGGTGAAGAGAAGGCTTCCGGTGAATTGATTGAGGACTGGGATTTCCTTGGCCCCAAGACCATCAAGGATCCTAGTGCTTCCAAGCCCGCCGACTGGGTTGATGAGCATGAAATTGACGATCCCGAAGACAAAAAACCCATTGACTACGACTCTATTCCCGAGTTCCTTGCTGACCCCGAAGCCGTCAAGCCTGAAGACTGGGATGATGAGATGGATGGAGAGTGGGAGGCACCATCTGTTCCTAACCCTGACTTCAAGGGCCCATGGGCCGCACAGCGCATTCCCAACCCTGACTACAAGGGTCCCTGGATCCACCCCGAGATTGACAACCCCGAATACAAGGTTGACAATGAGATTTACGCTTATACCTTTGGAAACCTCGGCCTCGATTTGTGGCAGGTCAAGAGCGGTTCTTTGTTCGATAACTTCCTTGTGACTGATGATATCAAGGAAGCCGAGGCCATCCGTCAAGAGTCCCTCGATCTTGCTGTCAAGGAGAAGGAAGCTAAGGCTGTTCATGAGGCTGAATTGGCAAAGGCACAAGAAGAGGCAGACGCTGAACAAGCTGCTGTTGGTACTGAGGCCGATGATAAGCCTTTGGAGGGTGGCGAGTCTGGTGATATGGAGATCAACTTTGATGAACTCAACTTTGATGATGAAATCAACCTCGATGAGGCCGCCGCAGAAGTTAAGGAGAATGTAGCCGAGATTAAGGAAGAGGTCGAGCAGAAGATTATCGAGGCCATTCCCGAGGCTGCCAAGAAGCCCGTCAAAGACGAACTTTAAATACCATTTTCATTCATTCACTATCTTGTCCATTCATCTTATCATCCCTCTAATGTGTGAATTGATATTCACTCCCGTCATCTCATCTCTAATGTAAACGCCAGGTTGCTATTTACACGCACAATCACAAAAGAAAATTATAAAGCCAATTGAAAACATCAAATAAACAAGTTTTCTTCAGAAACTCAATATAAACTTAGGTCTCACTTGTACACCAGAATGTTTTTGATGTTGAACAGAATATAGACGAGATTTGGTTTTATTAAAGAATGTGGTTGTATTCGATCGAGTTGAAGCTTTTGGAACTATTATCAATAATGTTGCTTCTGTAGATTTCATATTAATATCCATATTCATTTTCATATAATAGAGCCAATTTTTCTTCTTTAAATAAAGATATTACGCTATGGTAAAAACACACACACACAGAGGGACTTTAGTGGGAGCTTTGTACAAACTTTTTTTGAGAGGGAATTTAAGGGTTGGTTTAAGGTTGAATTTTAATTAAACACTACTTTTCGTCCCCCCCTTTTTTTATACGTATGTTTCAATATCAATTTTTCATAATTCTTCACCCCCTCAGTATAACAAGTACCTTCTTTCAAGATCAATTGACATACAAAGACCATATTTTTTACGTTGCTCTGACGGGAAACTATGAGCGCATAGAATGTCTTCCGACTCAGAAATATTAGCCCTTTTGGAAGTAGGCTCTTGAGAAGTATCGTAGGTTTGCTTTAGGATGGAGATGCTAGCATCATATACCTGGATTGCTTGTCTGGATTTTCTAATATCACTCTATTGATCTCAAAAAACCTTGACGTCTAAGTTTCTTACTCGTCCCCACAGATATAACCTGCTCATGAATTATATCTTGGGTAATACGGAAACATTTAAGGTTGTATAATGCTAAATAAGACGGAAAATAAATGACAGAAACAATCAAATAGTATGTATGATATGAAAGTATACGATAGATTAAAACATGGTAATCAATGTCTCGTAATTTTATGTAAGAATCCTATGACACATTATACGATGTACATATAAGATAAAGCGTATTGATTTATTAACAAAAGGTCATATTTACAAGTGAGTAGGTATATATTGTTTTTCCATAAAAGTATAGAATAAAAAAAGTAGCTTTTTCGAAAAGTATCTTCAAGAATTGTTTCTGAAATCCTTTAAATTGTCTAAAATGGTGCAAATCCTCTCTCTCTCTCTTTCTCTATTAAAGTAACTTTGTTATGATAGTAATAAGAATTATGGATTTTTAGGGGCCAGATATAATTATTGAACTTTACATAACAAGTTACCTTTAGGCGATATGGTAACATCGATACGGCAACTCTCATCATAAAAGGTTTACCCCCTAGGATTAGCGGATATTTCATGGTCAAGCTCGCAACCTGTCATTTTAATTGTTAATTCGGTTTTCTGATTTTAGTAAATATTAAAAGTATCCTTCAGTGAATTACAATATTGTTAAAGAATTCTTTCGTAATTAATTGATCATATACGTCTCACCATTGTATCTTATATAATTTGGTATGACCCTGACTTGACTCACAAACTGTAAGCAAAAATAAGCTATAGCTATTGTTGTTATTTTTCCAATAAAAAGTTGATCCGTCGGGCACGAAATTTCTTTTCAAGTGTCCCAATCAGTCTTGGTATAGTGTTGGATCAAATACAGGTCACACTGAAAAAGACCAGTTATTCCTGGGTCATTGACAGTATTTCATTTGTTGGCCAATAAGCCAAAACACACCACCATGAATCATGCGTCTCTCAACAGGCTGCATCCTGATCACCATTACCAGGAAGAAATCGTAAAAACCGATCTTGTCAGCCAAACAATTCAAGACATTCACAATCTCATTGCGGCTTATCCTCTTGAATTCCATGTGCCCTTTCTAACGGCATTTGCTCAACCATGCACTGTGCACACTGCAATCCTCGATCTTTATAGTATCACTCTTGAAAAATACTCGTTACGAGACATTCACTTCGATACCCACTGGGTAAGATATAATTATTATTTTTATATTATTGTTTTTACCGGCACATACGTGTGTCTTACACACTCTGGAACAGCATTGGCATATTGCATGGCGACAGGCACTTTCATACGAAAATCTTCTTGTACTTGGTGACAATAATGTCTCTCGTGTGGTTGAATCTTTTCATCCAAAAAGTCACAAGGCGATTGAAGCTATTTACAAACATGAACTGGCACGCTACATGCGATGGTATCCCTGGAAGTGGTTCTCTAATCTAGTATTTATTGGTGCAGGCGGGTTTTCAGCTGTATATGAAGCCGAGGTTGGACTTCCTTACGACGTTAGTGTGGGAATATCTGATGATGGCCGTGGCTATGCTCAGGGTACACATATCCGACCTGTTGTGCTCAAGGTCGTGGATGAAAAGGTTTTGAATGAGGTAATTATCATAGTAACCAATTCGAAACCCTTTTGAATCAAGGTAGAGATTTAGAACTTATGAAGGACACAAAAAAGCTTAGATTGTAGTACAATCAAGGGCATTTTTGGCTCTATTGTTTCATGGATTGACGGTGTGTGAGAGCACAGGCGATTTGATGATGGTGGGAACATTAGCGGAACAGGGGAACCTAGAGAACTTTATCGGACGACCTATTCCATTCAGTATGCCAGCAGTATTGTACGCAGTAACACGTTTAGCAGTGAACATGGCAAGTCTCCACGATGAGATTAAAATGTGCCATCGTAATGTACACCCTCGCAATGTACTATGCGGAGACGACTATCATCTAGTTGACTATCGATTCTCAACAGCTTCAAATGAAGCTACAAAAGTCACCCAACAGGCCATGGTGCATTATGGACGAATACCATACATAGCACCTGAAGTCAGACAAGGAATTTACACAGAAAAATCTGATGTCTATAGTTTGGGAATCATGATGTGGCAATTGATTTCAGGCATCAATTTTCCCGACCCCGAAATCCTCCTAAGTAATACGAATGTCTACAGGATTGAGCGGATTCCTGGTGTACCTCGCTGGTACCAAGATCTAATTATTGCCTGTCTTGAACCTCATCCTAATAACAGACCCACCTCTGAAGAAGTAGGAAACATTACCAGGCGGTTTGCAGATAGTGAATCTGATGCTCGTATTAGCCCTGAGTGGATGGCCTATGTCGTACGCCGAAGAGACGAAATTAAAAGATCTCACCAGGGTGTAGCTAAAAACCAGGCTTCTGTACCTGTCTCTCGTGTATATCCCCTTAGACAACTACAAAATCCTTTACCTATTCACTCCTCTTTTCTTAATCGCCCTCTCGATATGGCTTCCTTCTCAGCTCTTTCCAGCCTCACTTAAATAAAATAGAATACATATTATGCTTATTTGCCAATATGGTCGCTCCACAATATTTGTTTAAAGAGCCGCTGGATAATAAAGCAAAAAATGTGACGATGGTATTAATATTAATTCGAACAATAAACTATTGCACATAACTCACAGCTGCATTAATCAAACACAATGAACCCCCAAGACGCTTCGCGTAATTATAATTGGGCATCCTCTAAAAAGAGATACGAATGGAAAGCAGGCTACGAAACTGGAGTCGCTCCTCGTGATGTTGAACTCGAGAAAGAGCTCTTCTCTGAAGGCACTCATGTACACAGTGGTCTCAATTTCGGCAAGTATGCCTCGATTCCTGTCAAGATCCAAGGCACAAATCCTCCGCCAGCATTCGTTTCGGTAAACTACTAAAAAGTAGTAATTGAATACATGTTAAAAAAAGACTTAAAAAAAACTTAATCTTCATTATGGTCTAGTTCGCTACAGCCGATCTCCATCCTGCCATGAAAGAAAATATTGCTCTTGCCCGTTACACAGAGCCAACACCTGTTCAGGTATAAATGCAAAGGAATTTTTTTTTATCAATAAGAGGCTTACTATCAAATATTGTTACAAAACCTCTTATATATAGGCCAATTCTATCAGTATTGTCACTGCTGGACGCGACCTGATGGCCTGCGCTCAGACAGGTTCTGGAAAAACAGCAGCTTTTCTGATCCCCACGTGCTCTCGTATCTTTGGTGATGCAGCTAACCTTATCTCGCGTCCTCAGGGCTATGATACCCACCGATTCAAGGCTAAACCTCTTGTTCTAATCATTGCACCTACTCGTGAATTGTGCTCTCAGATATTCGATGAAGCTAGACGGGTAATTAATAATGTCTTTGTTCTACTTAAAAAATCATCGAATAAAGCATATATAGGGCCTTCTTTCTTTATTTTTAATACTTACGTTTATGTTGAAATTTTTAGTTCTGTTATCGTAGTATGCTGAGACCATGGTAAGTAAATCCTATAATGGGTTTAAACATCGCTCATCATTATAACTCGAATTATTACCTATGGAGATAGTGCTATTTATGGCGGTGCAGGCACTGCAGGTCAATTGAGAGAGCTCGAGAAAGGATGTGATATATTGGTCGCTTCCCCAGGACGATTAAAGGACTTTTTAGAACGTGGAAAAATTGATCTATCAAACTTAAAGTATCTGGTATTAGATGAGGCTGACAGAATGTTGGACATGGGTTTTGAGCTTGACATCAGAGACATTGTCGAAAGAAGAGGTATAATCAATTGAGAGCACAATATTATCTGTACTGAACTATTCTTTCTTTCTTATAATAAAATGAAAATAGGAATGAATAAAAGCCGCCAGACACTTATGTATAGTGCTACATTCCCTAAAGAAATCCGTGCGCTTGCCAGAGACTTTCTTAAGCCTGACTATTTGTTCCTTAAGGTTGGTCGTGTAGGTGGCACTACAACGGATATCACACAGAAGGTTATTTGGGTTGAAGAACCCGATAAGCGTGAAGAACTGAAGAAATTATTGATGTCACAACCACCATGCCGCACACTCATATTTGTGGATACCAAGAGAAGTGCAGACTCGTAAGTGTGTTACATTAGTTAGTTTCCATGAAACTAAAAAAAGCGTTATACAGGCTTGATCAATTCTTGTTTGAGTGTAAGTTTCCAAGCACCTCTATCCATGGAGATAGATCACAAATGGAACGTGAAGACGCGATCCTGGCATTCAAGGCGGGTACATGCCCAATCTTAGTTGCTACAGCTGTTGTGGCTCGTGGTATCGACATTCGCAACATCATGCATGTTGTTAACTATGATATGCCTCCTAATATTGACGAATACATTCATCGTATTGGACGTACTGCTCGTGTCGGAAACGCCGGTCTCGCAACTTCTTTCTTTAATTCTGGAAGTATGGGTATCGCCAGGGATCTCACCAAGATTCTCCAAGAATGTCAACAAGAAATTCCTTCTTTCCTCCAACCATACATGTCAAAGAATATGTAAGTGTTTGCTGTGTGTGGAAATGTTCGCGATTGACTAATATATATGTTCATCAGTGGTTTACACGAAGATGATGACGATGATCATTTCCACTCTAACAATCGTCAACATCATGGTGGTCAACATAACCAACACCACCAACAACAACAGCAACAACAGTCAGAATGGGATTCCAACGCTGCACCTTGGTAGTATAAAGAACAAGACAAAATCAAAATCAGAATCAAATGCAAACAAAAGCTAGATAGCGAAAACAAGAATATGTAAAGTAAGAAAATCAAAGGGGTTTATTTAATAAAAACAAAACAATGTCTATAAATCAAAGACTAGACATTGGTAATTGTTAATGACTTGGCTTCTAATTTCTCAAGAATTTATTTTATTGATTAAAGAATATAATGAAATTAATTGATATCATCATAAGTGAACTTTCGAGAGTCCAACTCTAAAGTGATGGGGCCTAGTAATTGAAGAATATGTAAGCCAATGCTCCGAATTATAAAGCATTAATGTTCTCACCATCATTGATAATTTCCACCGACATCATCTCACCGAATTTGCCATCTTTCAAAGATCGGTATTTTCGTTAGTAAAAACTTGTAAGTGTACACAGTAAGATCCAAGCTCTTAAAATCATTCAAGTTACCTTGAATCTTGGCTGGATCATAAGCTTTGCCTAGTTTGCCTAAAAACAATTCGTACATCGATTTGGCATCGCCTGTCTTCATTGCCCTGTGGAAATCAGGCTTATTTCCTATATGATTTTTCAAGGAGTTAATAATTCATATATGAAAATACCCGACTATGTTTATTTTTTACTTGCCTTTTGTAGTCTGTCCCTGAAGTGTAAACTGTGACACTTGATTATATATACACATATATGTCAGTCTACGACCCGCAAATCAATTTCTATTTGATTGAAACCTTTAAGCTTACCACATAAGATTTCTAGTCCAGCTTGCTTAACACCAGCCTTCCACATTGTACCTGTGGCCTGGTCATCGAATACACGAACATTAAGAATCTTGTTAACCATGTAATCCACATCCTTCTCAACATCATCGGTTGCGATCCCAACCAACACGCAAATGCCCTTTTGGATTGAGCCAACAACCTGGTGGTCAACTATTCTGAATTAAGAGCTCGCGAAACTTAAGTTAGGTTTTTTTTAGTACCTGTTACGCTTGCTCTTGTTACACGCTGCAAAACGGCTCTCATGGTTTATTATTTCAAAACTAAGACAGAAAGGCTATACTGTAATAAAAACCCGAGCCAATTTTTTTAAGAAAATGACCAATCCCAGAATTTGGGAAAAAATGACTCAATTTTTTTTAAAAGAAAAAGCTTACTGACAAATTAACAAGGGTGTTAAATCGTTTTGTCATGAACATTTAGGGTTTTCAAATGATAAAGATATATACTAAAATAAACTAGGATTAACTCACTAAGAGGAAGCCGGTGATTGGCTGAAAGAGTAAAAAGGAAATAGAGAACTTTTAAAGGAAACGAAAGATAATGTTTATTTATGATAATGTTGGTGATATTTACACTATTTTATGAGATACCGCAGTATCCTAGTTTCTATGTAAAGTTCCTTTTACTGCGGTATCTTGCTGAGCAGTGCTCCTCCTTTGCTCGCTTTTGCTCACTCAACGCCTGCGGTTGAAGTAGTTGCTTCTGATTGGAGAGTATTGGAACTGAGTGCTAATTCCAATCCACTCCTCACAGTTGCTGACTCAGGGCTCACAACAATACCGTGATATTCAAAACAGCCACAAAAAATATGAAGGTTGAATTCTAAAATTACAGGCTTTTCTCTTTCTAATAGACCCAATAATAATATATCATAAAGATAATGAAGAACATGCTCCAGCTACCATTACGTTAAAAAAAATCAACTTTAGTAAAAAAAATAAATTGTAAGGACTTTTTTTGGGAGATTTAAAGTTGTTTGAGAGCGAAGATATGAGTAAAGGTTGGGTACTTGTTTAAACTTTTCAAATGATGGCTTGGAGCACGAAGGATAGTGCTTGGATATATACAATCTATCGATAGAGAAATATGCTGTAAAATGAATAATATTTGAATGTATTTATTACATGTGAGCAAAAGTATTAGCCTTAAAACTAAATCAATCATTGATTTTATTTATACTTCATTTACACAAAATATTACAACATGCATACTATCAATATAAAAGTACTTGGTTATCGGTCCTTGAGTTTAATTATGTGTACAGCATTAATTTTAATTTGTTTAAGTCTGATCCTTAAACAGATAATAAATGAATGATATATTTTAAGTACTACACATTCTCAATGCATTATAAAACAATGATTGGTTTGGTTGAAGAAGCATTTTATAGAGATTTTAATATACTCAAATATCGTCGGTTTTTTCGTCAGAAAACGTTGTTATAATTTTCTTGTATTCATCACAAAACACCTGTGAATTCTCTTTCATCATGTTATATACATGGTTTTTTTTATAGAATTACCAAGCCATGACTTATTCTCTAAAAAAAAAAGTAGCATGTTTGTTGAATATACTGTTGGTTGTACACGCGTGTGTGTGAGAGGATTAGACAATAAAATGTTAAGCATATAGATCAAGTAAGAATTAAAGGGAAAAACATGCAATGTAAATAAGCATAATACGCCATTATGCAGAATGGAATAAGTGTAAAAATAATCTCAGATGCTTAGAGTTACATTCAACCTTCAAATGTTTGAGAGTAGTAATTTACTCAACCAGGCACAAATCCTATTATGCTTTTCTCTCTAAAAAAAAATAAAGGAAATATTGTGCTTAAAAAAGGAAAAATGCCCTTTGGATGACGTCTCCCAAAGATCCGTCTTTGGGGATCTTTATAAATTATCGCAAAAATCTCTTAGGTCGAATATCGCATAGATATAAATATGTAAAAATAGGCAATATATCATTATTTTTAAAGACGAAATACATCACAATACATGTATGAGTGTGTCTTTGTGTCTGTAAATCATTGCCATTAAATTGAACCCTGTATCCTATTTTTTTTTATTTTTTTATTTTTTTTTCTTGATCAAAAGAGGCCGGTCATTGGGTGGCTGAGCTCAAGGGAGAAGCAAAAAGACCAGCAAACTTTAGAAATTCACCTTCAAGTTCCTTGACACTAAGACACACACCATGGCGACGACTGAGGAGTTGCAGACACTTGTCCTGACCACCCTGGACCAGAATCAGGTCATCGAAGACTCTAAGAACATCAAGTTTGATGGAAAGCCCATTGACCAACTTGCTTTCCTCGGTGCACTCAACAGTCTCAAGTCGAAGGATGTAAGGCACAATTGGTTATGCTTTGAAAAATAAAGATGTTGATGGAAAAAATTCAGATGGTCGACTACTCTCCCATTGAACTCGAATTCTGGACTTTGACTGAGGAAGGTGAACAAGTCGCCAAAGACGGAAGTCATGAGGCACGCGTTTTCGCTGCTGTTCCTTCCGGTGAGCAAGGTATCCCTATTGCTGAACTCCAGGTAAGGATAAAGAGAAACAGTGTGTGTGTGTGTGTGTAAATATTATTAGAAAAAAGAAGGTATCAGTTATTATTTTGTCGATTCTTTTTCTGATACACATGTCAATAAAGGCTAGACTTGGAGAGGCTGCCAAGATTGGACAGGGAAAGGCTTTCAAAAACAAGTGGATCTCCAAGAAGGGTGCAAACCTTGTTCGCTTGGTAGATTCTATTGTTGATCAGACTCAGAAAGATCTTTTGGAAATCAAGAACACTTCTACCCATAAGGATGCCAAGCTTTTGGCTGAATTGAAGAAGAGAAAGCTCACCGACAAATAGTGCGTAAAAAAAGAGCGGCTTAATTTTCTCATTATTCGCAGAATAACATAGAACAATAAACTAACTGCGTAATATTTAGTAAAACAACCTCTTACAAGGTTACCAAGGGTCCTGCTTTCTCCCTTGAGATTAAGCACGAAGCTACCGAAATTACTTATGAGATGCTCCAGTCGTAAGTGTGTTGGGTTTCTGTCAATACTCATATTGTATTCTTATAACTACATTGCATATAGTGGCGAATGGAAGAATGCCACTTTTAAAAAGTACAACTTTGATGCCGTCGGTGTTCCTCCTTCCGGTGGACATCTTCATCCTTTGATGAAGGTGCGCCAGGAGTTCCGTGAAATTTTCTTTGAAATGGGTTTCTCTGAGATGCCTACCAACTGCTTCGCTGAGTCTAGTTTCTGGAACTTTGATGCTCTTTTCCAACCCCAGCAGCATCCAGCTAGAGATGCTCACGATACATTCTTCCTCAAGGGTAAGCTACATATATAATGTTTTATCGAGTAATAAATGGGCTTAAAACAGTGTGTGCTGATTTTTTTTTCAAATAAGATCCTGCCAACACCGACCGTTTCCCCCGTGATTTGATGGCTAAGATCAAGGTTACCCATGAAAATGGTGGTGATACTGGCTCCATTGGTTACAACTACAAATGGAAAGAGGAAGACGCAGGCAAACTTATCCTCCGTACCCACACTACTGCTGTCAGTTCTTATATGCTTTACCAGCTGGCTGAAAAAACCAAGAGAGAAGGTGTATTCAACCCTGCAAAGTACTTCTCTATTGATCGCGTGTTCCGTAACGAGTCTGTCGATGCCACTCATTTGGCTGAATTCCATCAGATCGAGGGTGTCATCGCTGACAAGAACTTGACTCTTGGTGACTTGATCGGCTTCATGGATGTCTTCTTCAAGAAGATGGGTATGTTACAATTAATGGTGGTATGTGTGTAAATAATAAGCTAATGGTAGAGGGGCATTCGCTTAGGTATGGACAAAATTCGCTTCAAGCCCACCTACAACCCTTACACTGAGCCCAGTATGGAGATTTTCTCTTATCACGAGGGTCTTAAGCAATGGGTTGAAATTGGTAACTCTGGTATGTTCCGTCCTGAGATGTTGTTGCCTCTTGGTTTACCACCGGATGTCCGTGTTATTGCCTGGGGTCTTGGTCTTGAGCGCCCTACCATGGTTAAATATGGTATTTCCAACATCCGTGACTTGCTCGGCCATAAGGTCAACATTGCCATGATTAAGGACTATCCCGTCTGTCGATTAGACAAGAAGATGGGCAAGGAGTTGGTCGGTTTGAGCGAGTAGTGTTTATTATCTAATAATATTATAAAAAAAAATGAATAAACAAAATGTATTACGAAAATAAATAATAAGACATGGCGTGTGAATGAGTGTATGAATGTTTGCAGTATCTATAGTAAAAGATTATTATACAAACTTTTAAGTTTTATAAAAAGAAATCGAGCTTTTGACCCTGAACTGAGAAAAGCATGGCATTTTGAGACGGCGCTTGGTTGCAAGGAAAAAACATAGAGTTACCTTGCCTGTTAAAGCGAGTTTTCATCTCAACGATCCATTGCTCCATCATGTCAAAGTAATAATATAATCCAAGAACTTTAAGAGAAATAGAATCTCATGAATCAATTATTTTCACACGGATATATAGTACACGCGACCTTTCTGATTACGAGGATGATGATGCTCTCTTTGCAGAACTTGAAAATGAAGATGACTCTCACATGGCTTACATGAGAGAAAAACGCATCAAAGAGATTGAGGAAGAGTAAGTAACGAGGAGATAGTAATCTGGATCAAAATCCTGATGCATAATTGTACCAGATTGGAAAGACGACAGGCCATGAGCGAGAACAAGCATGGTCTCTACACCGAGATTGACAATGAAAAGGAGTTTATGAATATTACTACTTCCGAAAAATATGTCGTTGGTCACTTTTTCCACAAGGACTTTAGAAGATGTAAAATCATGGACACTCATTTGGAGGTAATACAGACTAATTAACAGGCATATATGTCTGTTTGCGCATTATATGGGCTTCTAAACTCTGTATCTCTGTAGAAATTGGCTGCTAAACATTATGGTACTCGATTTATTCGAATTGATGTTCAAAACGCGCCTTTCTTAGTAGAGAAGCTTCAGGTTCAAACACTTCCATGTGTTATGGCGTGGGTTAATGGTTACTGCCAAATCAAGTAAGAAAGAGATGGATAAATAGAGGGATGATAATGTATTAAAATTATTTGAACTCTCAAGAGACTGTATCTAATCTGAGTTTTTTGTAATTGATAGACTGATTGGGTTTGATGAACTTGGAAATTCGGATGGCTTCCAGACATCTCTCTTGGAGTTAAAGTTAAATAACTCGGGTAAGTGACAGATGTATATATATATTCTCTTGAAACGTGTGGGTATTTTCATAAATTATTAAATACGAACAAAAATAGGCGCACTAAAGAAAAAAGACGGCCAGAGTGGGCCCAAACCACAAACCAAATCGATCTTCCAGAGTGGCATCGCACCCTACATGTCTGATGAAGATTAAGTGGTTGGAACCAAAAGAACATTTGTGCTTATAGACACAGCAAGACATCATTTTCTCCCCTTCAATTCCCCCTTTCCCCTCCGTCCCTATACACATTTACTTTAATCAGACAAGACAATTTCATTTTAAAAAAAAAGAAGACGTGCTGTAAAACAATGAACGAACGACCGAACGATTGAACGAACGAACGAACGAACAAAAAAAAACAAAAAGAAGCAAAAATAATAGCTCTATATTAGCCGTTCCTTTATTTAATAATGTGTGTTTTAATATAATAGAATAAGAAGAAGAAAAAGAAGAAAATAATTCATTAGAAGACGCGGGTGTTGTAATAAAGAAGAAAATACAATAGAAACTAAGGTACAGAAGATGTGTAAAGTAAAATTATCAGGGAAAGATGGCCAAAGACTCCTCCTTGGTTGTCTCTTTCTGAAAATTTTCGGGTCGATTTCCATCTTTCTTTTGAGAATGCTCAACATGACGCTTTTTCTCGAGAGCAATAGCCTCTGATCGCTTCATTCGTCCCCGGAAAATAAAAGCAAGAGCCATCATTACACCGGCCAATACAGATTGAAGAATCAATGCGTTAAAAAGGTTGTTCTTTGGTGTTCCTTCTGTATCTCGCATGGCGTCCATAGCAGAAACCAGAATGATACCAAATATCTGAGCTCCTTGCCAGAGGATTGAGTTGGTACTTGCATCTGCGACAGGATAAGAAGCTACAAAGTAATAATTATAATATGAAAAAATGCCAGATGTTTTCTTTGTATATATAGATGTTTTCTTTACATACTTTCACTACCGATCTCAATTGCAACAGGGACAAGAAATGAAAGGAAAAATTGATTCATTCCCATTACGAAAAGAATTGCAGCATAGGCATCCTTACGAACTAGAATGGAAAGAGTACACTAAGCATCCTGAATTTGGATTCTCACATCTTTGATTCCTTACTAATGAAGATAAACGCAATATCAGTTATTACCACCATAGGAGCAATCAATCGCAGAAATAGTAGATGCTGTTTTGTCATATCTAATACGGGGCCAGCGACAGCTGCAGAAATCAAGATAAACCCCGTTAGATGCCTTGCTTACTAAAATATGGATTATGTATACTTACAACATCCCAAAGTGCCCGCAAAGAATGCCACGGCATTTATCTGTCCTGCTTGAATATTGGTATATCCATACGGTGCAAGAATTTGGGTAAATAAAGTACCAAAGGAAATGCTTAAACCAACATTGATACTGTGCACTGCAAAAATAACCCAAAAGTTGTAGTTGGAACCCAACATCCTAAGTCCCTTGAAAAACGAGGGCTTGTCCTGTTCTTGGATAATTGAAGGTGGAGTAGGTGGTTTGGAGGGCATAAATATAACGGGTATAAAAACACCTGCGCAAAGCAATGCAGATACCATGGCCTAATAACACTAATGTCAGTATTATCTCGATTTGGAAGATTTGTTTGGTATCGACTTACCACAAGAGAGATGCGGTCTACACTGGTGGCAAGATTTGGCAGTAGAAACATGCCTAGGATACCTCCGTAGTTTGAGGCTATGGTGTAGAATGTAAATAAAGTAGTGTAAAATGAAAAAATCATGTTAAATAAACTCAATCCAGACTACCTACCGACAAACATGCCAGCTGTTGCACGGCGATCTTCTGTAAACCAAGTAGAGGCAAACTTGAAAATAAAATAGTGAGGGTTTTCTGGTAAGAGTATTGCTTTATATATATATATATAGTTAGATTGTTGAATATATATAAATATAACTACCATAGTCATGATGTTAAGCGTCAATGGTGCAGCAGAAGAACCTATAACCTGGCCCACCATTGCGAGTGCGTATGAGGGCGATGAAAATGTGCCAGCAATGCACCTAATACCGGCCCCCAAGGCACTGAGAAATGCAGAAAGCATAAGCTAGAAAATAAAATATTTAACAACATGTACATTAAAACTAGGCGAATAATTTACCGTGCGCTTTACACCAAAATGTTCGAACATCCATCCTGTAAATAAACTCATAATCACATACACAACGCCTTGCACATTTGCCAGCCAATTGATTGCTGTAAGGCCGACGTTAAAATACTCGGCAGTAAGTCCAGGCACGACACTGTAGGTGTATTGGAATACAGATACAGACACACGAAGTAGGACAAGAATAAAAAGTGCAAGCCAGGCCTGTGGGTATGTTTTGAGGATTACATTGCTTTCTTCAACCATGGTTGCACCTGATTCTGACAAGGTGACTTCATCCATCTCAAGTTGGCGTGGGACGTATGAAGCTTGGCTGCTTTGTGATATTTCTTCTGCATGGAGGGAGTCGGTCCTGTCACCCTCTATATTTTTTTCTAGAGTGCTCATATGCTGGCTTGCTACACAAGAAGTGGACCTAAAACAGAAGAAAGATGTCAATTAAATAGAAATCAAGGATATTAGATTAAGCATATATATAAATGTGTACGTATTTAAATATACACATGTATACATCTTGCCTTAAAATTCTTCTTATTACCTCCTGATAATTAATACACAATAAACCGATCCCGTAAATGTGGCACACAATTCTTATAGTAGCAGCTATTATAGTAGCTCTTTATATGAATAACAGTAGAACAATAAACTTCAGTCTGGTATAAAGTACCGAGATCATTATTATTTTTGGATTTAGTGGACTAATTAACGACAAAATAAAACAAATTGACAAACGGTATTTTTGTCGGATTTATTTCTTGCCCTGGGTTGTATTAGAATGGGGGAGACATTTCATTGCCACATCGAGGATAATGTTTTTCTTCTCTTTTCAGCTTGTTGTCACTCTTTTCTTCTAATAAATATCAATAAGCTAAAATAGTGTATAATTCTTTAGCTACAGTAATATAGTATTGTATTATTCAAATACTATCTAGGAACCTAATGTATACATTTTTGTAAGCAGAGATGTAATTCTCAGTTAAGATCGCCTAATTTACACGTTTGAATCTGTGTGTATGTAACATATGCTTCAGTAGCATCAGCAGCATCAGCAGAATCAGCAGCAACAGTAGCACCACCGAAAACAACAACAGCAAGAACAGCAAATATTTTGATACCAACCACTTTTACTCCACGCGTCTGTCGTTTCGTAAATGTTGGCACTTCCAAAATAAACGTACAGAATTTAGATTGAAATCAGCATCATTATTTAAATAGATCGCCTTGTCCATGCTCATTTTGGTACTAGGGCAGTAAAAATCATGAGTACAATTACAAGTTAGCGCTCGTGAATTTCAGTCAAATAGACAATCACAGCAATTAAAAAGAATAATCGTGTAAGATACAAAATAAAACCTTTGCTTAGCATCCGAGAATACTTATTTATTTCTACATTTCTACATTTGTCTATTTATGCCAAATGTCCGTCGTATATGCCTTGTATAATACTAACAAGTCTTTCACTTTGAAAAGAAAAGGAGAAAGAAAGAAGCAGCGTCGTCTTTGGTTCAATTTTGGAATCAAAATAAACGGAAAATGGTTCCTTCAAAGGTTTGACACAATGCAAGAAAAGGCATTGGAGTCAGGATGTTAAACAGGTCAGATTAGTCTAATTTGTGCCATTTTTTTTTTCTTCCTTTTCTTTTTCTTTTATTGTTTTATTTCTACTTTGATTCAGGCGTGCTCTTGTGTGTTGATACATTTTAAAGACTTTCTACTGTATTACTTAAACTGTGAATTGGCTTTATATTCAAGAAAGTAAGTATACTACTTGTATCTCATGATACAATCTTGGTCATCCGGTTGTAATGCCACAGTGTTTCTTATTGTTATTATTATTATATTCAAAGTATAGGCTGTATGAATTTAGAGCGTATTACTTGAGTTACTGTTTCATTTTTTACATTATCATTATTTGAAATCTAGATATCAGAATACATAAGGTTGGTTAAAAAAAAACTTTGCAAAAAATATAGGCAAAATTACATACTTTGCAGCCTTTCCACTCTTACAAACGGAGATAGTGACAAGATTAGAATAATAATAACAATATGTTTATGTCTGCTCAAATTAATTTTTTTCTCTCTGTATTATTAGTCAAGAAGCTGTCCATTTGTGCGTATATTGATACTTCTTTATATAACAAACAAACGAACAAACAAAAGGCAGACTGTTGGGTAATTGCTACCATAAATCTGACTTTTTGCACATAAATAATGAGAAATAGTCGAAATGAATGATATCTTGGTGACATTTATATATATATATATTTGATTTTCTATGGAATTACTCGAATTCTTATTGTATCTCGTTTGTTACTGCTGACTCTTTATCTTCTTTTTTGACCAGAGATAATGTAGCCAAGTTCACAATAAAGAATCCTACTATGACTAGTATAGCACCAATTGCATACTGAATAGCTGGTGTATGGTGCTTAAATATGATTTCCACCATCAACGCAAGAGGAATCTATAGAAAGAACAGAAAAAACCTTAGAGGTGGATATGTTCCTAAATATAGTACAGAATATTACATACTGTTAATGAGACACCTATTGTGACAACCAACGGAGATGTCATAAACATAGCCAATATCCACAAATAATCAGATCTAAATGAATGAATGAAAGAAAATGTTAGCCATCTCATCATTTAGGCTTGCTTTTTTTTTATTTTAATATTTATATAATCACAAAATATCATCGACTTACAAAAAGGTGCCAACAAAGGCATTGATCCCAATCATTGCCCACAGGCTACCGCTCATAGGTAGTTGAAAAGTCTCGATTTTTAACCAATGAAAGATTGGGAAGAGAGGCCAGAGCAGAGCAAAGTTAAAAAGTCCTACACATCCAAAAAACAAAGGTATGTTGATTCTTGATTCATCTCCAATTTTAAGCTTAAGAAGTGTCGTGTATGCTCCATAGAAAAAAGCACCCATGAGCGACAAGAGATCACCGATTAGAGCAGAAGGATGCTCGGCATGCTCTTCTGCAAGTTGATCAGAATAAGATACTAAAACAACACCAGAAAAGCTAATATGTATATATGTATGTATTCATGCATATACGTATGTATGTATGTATGTATGTATGTATGTATGTAGGTAGGTAGGTAGGTAGGTATCTGTATATTAGTGGCCTGTATGGAATAAAGTATTAAATACCTAATACAAATCGCAGCCACTTTTATCCATGTAACTTTTTCTACTTTAAATATTGCGCCTATCACGAGAGTAAATAGACCTTGATGATGATTACGATTAGACAAGGTAAAATTGACAAAGACTCTATATACCTACCTGACATGGATGATAGGATTGTGCTACTGCCTACACTTGTGTATGCCAAACTAGCATTATTGGTGTAATTGGCACCAAACCAGAGTAAACAAAACATTAAGCTAAGCTTTATGGTTTCCTTATCCGAGAGTTTGAGTTGTATTTGTGGTGGATTCTGAGGTTTGATGAATTCTTGGTTGTCTTCAGACTATTGATGATTGTATTGGATTGGATTTTATTGAACTATCTTATTATTGTCCATATTCTGTTTACCTCGTGGTCTCCAAGAAGACGCGCCGAGTCTTCCAAGTCTATTCTTTTGGAATACACAATGCAATCAAAGTCATTATCTAAAATATACTATACTTTATTGTGCTTTGCTTTGCTATACTATGTTACACTGTTTTATATTATAATAGCTAATATAGAGAATGTGATTCTTTTTATTATTGTTATCTTACTCCTCTGGTTGGTATTGTTTCTTTTTCCGGAAAATCAAAAGAGGAATAAGATAGAATGAAAATGTCGTGGTATTGATATAAGTGACAAGAAAAGGCTTGTTATATTTTTGGTCGCCAAATATACTCTAATACAAAGATGATGAGATGATGACCGAGTTAAAGTTGATGCTAACATTCATTGTAAATGAAGATGAGACCCAAATGAGGACGACGACCAGAAGTATTAGAATACCACAAATATACCGGCGTCTAGACTGTTCTATCATAATTTTTGTATGTATATATCAGAGTATCTTCTTTCTTAAGCTTAATAAACAGAGGTGAGCCACTCTAATATATTGTTTTTTTTCTCTCTCTCTTTCTCTCTCTCTCTCTCTCTCTCTCTGCTCTTCAACTAACTGGTATTCAGAATTTGTGGGCTTGAAGATAGTAATCATGTGATTTAACCAAAAGTTAAAAAAGAAAATGAAAAAGCGATAATTAATATTGTCTTTACAAGTGTACTTTTTGTATTGTTTGGGCTGTTATCAAACAAGGGCATACATAAGGATCTACCTACATGACAGGAGTCAAAAGTGTGCATTCTGTAAGCATTCTGCTCTACTGATAAGTGTATAGATCTGATAACAGACCGAATCAAGTACATTTGAAGAAAACTTAAATGTACATATATATATACACAAAAGACCTAATTTTATTTATTTACTTAAAAACATCATACAATTCATATCCATATTTAATGGTACTCAATTTATTGAATACAAGTTTTATATAACAAATACTTTGACCCTGGTTAGAAACAAAAAAAAGCCACCGAGGCTTTTGATTAAGTCTAATCAAACCTAAAGATAGAGAGAGTGTGTATTTTATCTAACCAAGATGATTCTATATTGTTTGCTTATTTTCAGAGGAATTTTCACTAAGCCCTTGTAAATTCCTTAATATCTGGTCTTTTACAACCCCCCTTCTTTTATATATTGACAGAAAAACAACAACAGAAATGGCACTTTATATGACATTCTGAAGGAAAATATTTTCTTTGTTTAAAACGTTTTTATTGAAATAAATATCTTTTATTTATGAACTAATATTAAATATTAAGTACGTGCAGTTTACCTATCAGGACAATCAATTAATATAATGTTTACAAAAAAAATTAAAATAGTCCAAGACAATCAAAGAATGAATTGCTTTTATATATAAATATATATTATCAGAGAGGGCAAGTATAATAAAATATCATAAGATTGATGAACCCCGGTTGCGTGTGGAGCTCATCTCATTTTAAAAACTTAATCATCATAATATATATCCAAAAAGGATAAGCCACAAGTGGGCAAGAATAAATAGTGAAAATAATAAAAGAATGTCTTACCATTTTGTGTTGTCTGTATAGACCATATCGAAATCTCGAGAAATGCAAGCCAATAAAGCCCCTTCATATATTTTATACTTCATAATGAAGGCTAAACTGGATTTACGCTTTTAATCCAAGCCCTTGTATTCTTATAATGGTAATAACCCCCTTTCTTCTTTGCGATTCAATCCAATTTATCATTGTCTTTAGGCACATAGAATAAGAAAGACCATTACTTACCAGAATACAGAGCTTGAATTGCAAATGCAAATGAAAATGAAAATGAAAATCCAGTCAAGAGAAGAAATTATGAAAGAGAAAGAAAAAGGAATATTTTGCAGCTGAAGAAAGCTCTTGTGCTTATTATACTCAAAAAAAAATCTGACCTTTAAAAAAAAATTGACAGAAAAAAAATTTTTGGGTCAAGAAAAGCCGTCTTAATAGTAAGAGAGAGAGAGAGACTGCTCATGGGCTGAATTAAGAAGCTGTTTCAATTAGACACCGACCAAATCCCAATCTGTATTATTCAATTAAAAGAGCTATTCTCTTTTTGGGAAATTCATTCAATAAAGAAGAAGCTTACTTGTACCTTTTTTTAGGATTTCGTTTACTTAATAGATATCAATATATAAATAGGATCTAGTCAATGAACGTTCTTACAAATTGTATATAAATATAAAAATAAATAAATAAATATATGTTTTTTATTCACTCATTCAATCATTCAATCATCATTCCATGATGTCTAAACGACGGCAGACAGTGGGTGTCCAAATTGCGGCCGCCCTTGCTGTCCTCTTCATATTCGTAATGTTCTACTTTCCTGAAGGCCAAGATCGCACCTCTGTATTCAAACCACTAATGGCTGACACTGAAGAATCTCAATTGATTCCGGATGCCATGGAAGCAGGATTTTTGGAAAATGAAAGGAACCATCAACAAGCAGCAGCTGTCAAATATGACCGTGCAAATGCTGTGTTTGTAGTCCTGGCACGAAACAGAGAGCTAAATGGCATTAGAAAATCAATGCGCCAAATGGAAGACCGCTTCAACCGCAAATTCAACTATCCCTATGTTTTCCTCAACGATGAAGAGTTTTCTGAGGAATTTATTGCCCTCACATCATCTCTAACAAAAGGACAGACCTTCTATGGCAAAATTGATGAATCCATGTGGGGATATCCTAGTCACATCAACCAGACATATGCCGCAGAATGTCGTAAGAACATGCAAGACAACAAGGTCATTTATGGTGGTAGCGAATCTTATCGCCACATGTGCAGGTACCCAAATCACAACCCTTTCGTGTGTATAATATTTTTTTAATTAATCTCAACCATCTATACAGATTCCAGTCTGGCTTCTTTTTTAGACATCCTTTACTAGAGACATTTGAATACTACTGGTGCGTTGTAAAATAAGATGTACAACTGTCATCTGTGTTTTTTTTGCTGATATAATTCATTAGGCGCCTTGAACCAGATATTGAATATTACTGTGATGTAAATTACGATGTGTTCAAGGTTATGAAAGACAATGATTTCAAGTATGGGTGGACCATCTCTCTCACAGAGTACATGGCTACTATTCCTACCCTCTGGGAGACTACCAAAAAGTTTATCGCTGCCCATCCGGAATACATGGAAACTGGGCCAGAAAGTCTCCGAGAATGGATTACTGATGATAACTTTAAGACTTACAATGGTTGCCATTTCTGGTCCAACTTTGAGGTAAGACAAATGCTAAGATAAGAGCTATTTTTGACAGACCGGGTACGTTTTATTTTTATTCTGTGATTAGGTTGGTTCCCTTAATTTCTTGCGTAGTGAGCGCTACATTAAGTTCTTTGAACATTTGGATAAGGTCGGTGGTTTCTTTTACGAAAGGTGCGTAACTTTAATATATACACACTAAGTGTATCCCAACTCAATATGTATACATCTTAGATGGGGTGATGCGCCTGTTCACTCGTTGGCTGTGGCACTTATGCTGAAAAAATCTGAGGTCCATTTCTTTAATGACATTGGCTACAAGCATAATCCTCTCATGCACTGCCCTATAGAAGGCTACCTCCAGAAATCTTGCCATTGCAACAAACAAGAGAACTTTGGTAAATAACTTGCTGTGAATGAGACATCTTTGATAGAAAAAGAAGAAAACCTCTTACCCTGTTTGTTTTACCTAGACTGGAACAACTGGAGTTGTGCAACCCGTTACAAGAAGATCCACCCCGAGTTTATCTGGAATGAACACACGTTCAAAAACAAGACCAGCCCCTTCATACCCACACCAGGAACAATTATATAGCTTTATATATTATATATAAATACCTTTCCAATTCATCCTACAAAAAAATAATCCTATATTATCGCACAATAAAGCATTGCTAGTACACAAACTATACAATTCTTTGGGAAATGTTGCACCAATGAACGTCGATCCTTTTTGTTTTATCTCGTCAAAGGTTTTGTGCAGTCACCTTATTATCCCCAAACTATAATCAAATCTACTCCGCAACTTCACTGCACATCTCGTTTCATCTGATCATCATGCTTGACCATTTCTCTATCTTAACAAAGGGCGGCTTTGTTCTCTGGCAAAAATCTTACGCGCCTCTTTCAGGTGCACCTGTAGATGCTCTCATTAAGAATGTCCTAATTGAGGAACGGGCAGGCACCGTTTCCTACTCAAAGGACAATTATGCACTCAGATGGACATTTGCCAATGAGGTTGACCTCGTGTTTGTGGTAAACCTCTATCAACTTTCTCCTATGTGTATATAAGCACATTATTGATGGATTTTTTTTTCTTTGATTATCTCTATCTCTACCTGTCTGTTTGTCTTTCTGTCTTTCTGTGTATGTGTGTAAAAGGTTGCATACCAAAAAATCTTACAGCTTGCTTATATCGATGAACTTCTCGAGACAGTCAAACGCTTGTTCCTGGATATGTATTCTTCAGTAATTGGCGACAACCAGGGCATAAGTGCCGACTATAATGAATTTGAACCTGTGTTCTCAAAAGTATTAAAACAACTCGAAGAAAAATACGCAGTAAGTAAGATACGCTGTCTTTAGATAATAGCCGTTTGTGTGTATGTGTATGGAGAATTACGTATAAAAAAAAGAATATGGATACGAAAATTGAAGATATCCAACTTTCTTTTGTACAAAAGCAGCAGCTAATCACTTTTCTAGAACCGACCTCGAGCACCACGAAAATTCGAGGAGACAAAAAAGTTTGAAAATACTCTCAAGGGATCAAAAGTAGCAACAAGTAATACTCAACTGTTAGCTACAGCATCTCGCACCGTGGATGAGGATGAAATCACAAAAAATATCAAAGCACTCAAATTACAATCTGGAGGAAGAGGAGGTATCAAGAACAGAAAGGGCGGTCGTGTATCTGCAAAGACCTCGCCTGCACCTTCACCGGATATGAACGAGTATGTCAATATAAGGCTGTAACGAAGAAGTTCGGCAATAAATAACATGGATGTTTGTGTATAAAGTGACAATACTGGTAAAAAGAAGAAATCCCAAAAGCAAGCTCGTGTGTGGGAAGGTCAAATCTCTCGAGGAGAAATGGAGACATTGGATTATTCAAAGGAAAAGACTGAAGACGACGATTCTCTCGATGCTGATACTGTTGCGGCTCAGTTTATGGATCAAAGCAAGTTGGGCAGTAAGAACAAGGATGGAATTTACGAGGTCCAGGATGTCCTAGAGTCTGAAGATGAAGAGGAAGAGGAAGAGGAAGGAAAAGCATCATCCTCCAGCGGTGGTATTTTCTCTTTCCTCAAGAACATTACTGGCCAAAGAGAATTATCAGCCGAGACCCTTGATCCTGTGTTGGCAACAATGAAAGAGCATTTGATCAATAAGAATGTGGCAAGTGAAATTGCGGAGCATCTCTGTCAAAGTGTTAGATCAAGTTTGATGGGCAAGAAACTAGGTGGTTTTGAACGTAAGGGCTACTCGTCAAAATATGATGTGTTGGTTTTTACTGATTATATAAAACTGATTTCTGCTATAGGTGTGTCTACTGCTGTAAAGAATAGTATGGAAACCGCATTAAAGCGAATTTTGACTCCAAAGACATCATTGGATATTTTGAGAGATATTGAACAAACAAGAGCGGAAGGAAGACCATATGTGATTTCATTCATTGGTGTTAATGGTGTTGGAAAGGTAGCTCTGAATCAATTGTCGCATGGCTGTATTGATAATAAATTAACCAATACAAATACTATTAGTCTACCAATCTCAGCAAGGTGTGCTTCTGGTTGTTGCAAAATAATTGCAAAGTTCTGATCGCTGCTTGTGATACTTTCAGAAGTGGTGCGGTTGAGCAGCTACGAGTCCATGCACGTAACCTAAGAGCCCTTCAGACTAGTGGCGGTGGTGTGGTTGAGTTGTTTGAGAGAGGCTATGGAAAAGACTCTGCTGGAATTGCCAAAGATGCTATTAGTTATGGTAAAGTATCTCGGCGTTGGCGAATGTGTTGGTTTCTGATATCATTATCTTTTTATTTGATGCCTAACCTTAAATATCTGGATCATAGCTACTGCTAATCGATTTGATGTGGTGCTGATCGATACTGCTGGGCGTATGCAGGACAATGAGCCTCTGATGCGTGCACTTGCGAAGCTTGTTTCAGTAAACAATCCAGACAAGATTATATTTGTGGGAGAAGCTTTGGTTGGAAATGAGGCTGTTGATCAACTGACCAAATTCAACCAAGCTCTTAAGGATTTCTCGGGTTTGCAGAATCCACGCCATATCGATGGCATGATTCTGACAAAGTTTGACACAATTGATGACAAGGTAATGATTTTAATGTTATTGTGCTTTTCACATGTAGCATACTGAAAACTCGGTGTATTTATTAGGTTGGAGCTGCATTATCCATGACATATATTACTGGACAGCCCATTTATTTTGTTGGTACTGGACAAACCTACACTGATCTTAAGAATCTCCGTGTGTCACATGTAGTACACAGTCTGCTACAGAACTAGTCTTTATTCATTAAATCAAGATAAAGAAAGTATATAAATAGGCGTGTGTATGTGTGTGTGGGTATGTGTGTGTATGCGTAGAATTATAGATAGAGAAGACATTTTTATATGAAATCTCTACAGAGACGTCATCGGAGTGTATGATAAAGGAAAAACGAATGAGTACAATTTTTGTTTTTGTTATTTGACAGTACCCCTCTCTCTTTTCCTATTTTGGCTCAGGATGTTTTCCTCTCGTCTGTCATTACTGAGACCAACTGTGCTACTGTTGAATAGATCCCTTACTACTTTGAAGTATTCTACAAATAGCAATGTCATTACTGACATGACCCAACGTGGTCTTGTAGCCAACCTCACAAGGCAAGAAAACTGCTTAAAACATTTATTTATATTTATATTTATATTTATCTTTATCTTTATTTTTTCACTACATACACACACATATACACACACTTTTATATATACATGCATACATACATACATAAACAATTATTCTTATACTGGACTGCTCATAATAATAAATATAATGTTTCTCTCTCTCTCTTCCTCTTTCTCTTTTTCTGATACATGATCTGCACATCAGTCCTGAAATATCTCAACACACAGAAACATCCACTGCTATATACTGTGGTGTAGACCCGACTGCCAAAAGTCTCCACCTTGGTAATCTTGTTACACTCATGGGTCTACTACATTTCCAAATCCGTGGCCATCAGACCATTGCCCTTGTGAGATCAATTAATGAAATTAAGCACATGAGTTTACAAAGAAATCACAAGTTTTTACTGCTCTATATTTACTTGGAGTTAGGACTGATTTTATCTTATTTTATTTTATTTTATTTTGGATTTGTGTGGGGGTGGGGGTGTTTATGTTTTATTTATTTATCTAGGTTGGCGGTGCAACAGGTAGCATCGGGGATCCTTCAGGGCGTAGCTCTGAACGTATTCCACTGTCAGAAGACATTCTCCGGGTGAATGTAGCGGGTATTGAAGAACAGATTCATCGCTTCTTCTCCAATGGAAATAAGTATGCCAATCGTCGTGGATTTAGTGGAACTGGTGTCACCCCAAAGGTGTTGAACAACTATGAATGGTTCAGTTCAATGAATGCACTCGAGTTCTTGGGTAATGTTGGGCGGTATGCTCGTGTTAACACTATGCTGGCTAAAGAGAGGTATGTCAGATAATCAAGGAAGTTAGTATGAAAAAAAAATTGAGAATACGAATATTTTTCTGTTTTAATTAGTGTCAAATCCCGGATCGAAACTACTCAGGGCATCAGTTTCACTGAGTTCTCGTATCAACTGCTGCAGGCTTACGATTTTTGGTACTTGCATAAATATCATGGTTGCCGTATTCAGGTAATTTATATGTATGCATATAACTATGTATTTATACATGTATTTATTTTGTCTTTGTGGACTTTTTTTTATGTAAAAAAAAACAAGATTGGTGGCAGTGATCAGTGGGGAAATATCACGGCTGGAATTGATATGATTAACAGAAAAAAAGATCAAGGAGAATCTGAAGAAATAGAAAAGGCGTATGGTATTACCATTCCTCTTCTTTTGACTTCTTCTGGTGATAAGTTTGGAAAATCTGCTGGTAACGCAGTCTGGCTTAATGAGTCGATGACTAGCATTTTTGATTTTTACCAGGTAAAAGAAGAAAGAATAAAAAAATGGTGTAAAATAAAGTTATATTTTATACTTATTACTATAGAATATTTTTATATATAGTTCTTCATGAAAACCGCTGATGCAGACGTTGGGAAATACCTGTCCATGTTTACACTTTTGAACCAACAAGAGATTGATGATATCATAAAGTCCCATCAAGTAAGGAAACAAAATAAAAGGAAAGAAATTAATACAATCGAAATAATAACTTCTTCCATAATGTGTGGGTGCAATAGGCCAACCCTGAAAAGCGTATTGCTCAAGAGAAGCTCGCTATGGAAACTACTGAACTAGTTCATGGACGTGAGTTTGAATATTTAAAGAACATGTTTGGATTGTGAATGCCGACAACTAATTGGGCGCTTTACATAATCCTAGGTGAGGGTGTCCAGAAAGCAAAGACGGCTAGTCAAGTGTTGTTTGGTGGTGACTTGAGCACCCTGACCGGTAGAGAGATTCTTGACGCTTTCAAGGATGACTCTAGCCGCCTGGCTAAGTTTGAGCGGTCCAAAATAGAATCGTGCGGACTCGATGTTCTTGCAACTCTTGCCAATGCCACGCAGTCAAAGTGTAAGTAATACCCTTTTCACAAAGCATAATATTTGTTCACCAATCTTTATACTTGTTCTTTTAGCTGAGGCACAAAAGAAAATTAAGGCTGGTGGAATGTATATCAACAATGTCCGTGTTATAGATCCTCGTTACAAAGTGACAGAGGCTGACTGGATTGATAATGAAGTCTGCGTTCTGCGTGTAGGCAAATCCTCTTATCACTTAATCCAGGCTGTATAACAAATTGGCCATTTGAATTTCATTATTATTATCATTTTTTTTAGAAATTTATATATATATAATAGAACATTTGAATTTATTTAACAGTTTTGTTTTTGGTTTTACTCGAACACTCTCTTGTCGCTCAACTCGCTCTCCTGACCCTCGGCTTCCTTGACACGGACCTTGCGTGTCTCGATTGACTTTTGTCTGTCCTGATACTTCTTCAGCTTCTCCTTACGGACAGAGGCACGGATCTAAAAAGAGTAAAATAGTTGTAAGACCAAATTTGCTCATAATACCCACAACCCAACAAAAGAAAACTGTTTTTTCATTCATGAGATGACTTACGAAGTTGGGATGGACGAATTCAGGGTTCTCAAAGACAGTGGGTCCACCAAAGGAACCTTCAAAGATACGAATTGTTGTCAAGCAGAAACGAGGACCGATCTCAATGAGCGAGATATCACCCTTGTCTAATGTTGTGCAGCCAGGAGTGTTTAACTGGTTCTTCTCGACAATCTTTTTTTAAAGAAAATAATAATAATATAAAATATAAGTTTTATTTTTCTCTTTTTTTTTGTAGCCAGCTTATCATTCTTACCTGGTAGTTTCTGAACCAGATACGGTTATCGACAATTGAGAAAGACAAGACGTGGTCGATAAAAGGCTTGGATCTCCGTGAGCCCTTAGGGACGTTGAAAACCTGTGCAAGCAACTCCTTCAACAAAGACCAGTGGGGTGCAGAATCAAAGGTTTTATCAAATGACAAGACATGGCGGGAACCCTTGAGACAGTTACCAGTCATCTTGAGCTCATCCATAGTATGTACTGTATATCCAAAACACAGTTAGTTTATTTAGCTCTATATTATTTTATCGTCTCTGCAATATTTTCTTCGACTTTTTTTTGTTTTTTCCAAACTTACAGTTCTGTACATGGAATTTTACGGAAGGACCATTAGGTGTTTTGGACATCCACAGGTAGAGATCCTGTCGCTTGCGTACTTCGAAAAAGATAGCGTTGTTGCAGTTGTTGAGCTCAGCAAGTTCGTTAAGTACATAAAGGTTGTTCTTTGTATCGAGCTTGGCATCCTTTTTGGAGTGGGGCAAAAAGCCTTCGAGATCGGTGAGCAAATGACGGTGACTATAATTAATTCAATGAATATAAAGCTGCGATGAGAACGAGCGATCTAAGTTGTTGTTTTTTATTTCATATATTTACCGGAAGTTGACACCACGCGAGGACAGCAACATCACACGCTGCTTGTTGGCACGTTTGTCTTTTGTCTTGCTAGAGCCATCGCTCTTGGCAATTGCTTTCTCTGCTGCTTTAAAAACGGTGGCCATGGTTGTGGATTAAAGGGGAAAGTAGTGTTGGCGGGGGCCAGTTTTTTTTTGCTTTATTCGGCGATGATACTAAGCCACACAAGAAGGAAAAGCTGTCCTCGAAAATGGGAATTTGAAATGGGGGTATTCAATTGAAGGTTAAATGAAAGGAAAGTGTCACATATACAGAGGTAAATTGATATATAAAGAAGAATAAAGAGAAAGTAAGGGTATTGATCACAGAAAGGGAATAAAATAAACAGAGCGTAACAGCTATAAAAGGAAGAAGAGAAAGAGAGAAAGAGAGTAATGGTTCCTGAACGACTAATGAATGACAAAGGTGACTTTACACAGGCATAGAAAGAATCTTATAATCGTCGGGCTTCACAAAAACACCCCTCTGAGCATCGGTTTGGAAGTAACGTATGCCATCAACAGAGCCATCCATGTTACCTAAACGACTCTCCAACTCAACACCTACCCAAGTACCCTTTGAAAAACTCACTGGGCCAATGTACTTGATTTTACCAAGTGTGGGTAGCGGTCTACGCAAAAGCTCAACCTTAGCACCGATCACAGGTGTCACTCTAAGATCTTCATCCTCACTCTCGCTTCCAATGTTCCATCTGTGCCGGCGAGGAGATCGTGCTCTTCTACGCGATCCCTGAGGAGTTGATAGGTAAGAAGTGACAGGCGATTTGGCACGGAGGGGAGTGGTAGGAATTTCAAATGTCAGCCGTGTCACTCGTGGCACGGAAGCGGCACTTGGACCAGGTGGTGACACAACAATTGGCACAACATCCATCGGCAGTAGTTCGTCGGCCAGCGAACGGACAGAGTTACGGCGGTGCTGTGTCGGTGATTCAAATGAACCTTCTTGTGCTTGGTGTCGTGCCTTGGTCTCGAGAGAGAGAAGATGGATAAGGGGCTGACTGGACATGGCATCCATAGAGGTCTGGTTAACATAATGACCATTTATGCTATTTATCTTTACTGATTCTGTAGAATGGGATCTAGGACGTGTTGGCATTCTACTGGCATCCAGACTGGCTTTGGCATTAAGAGCACCATTGGAACGCTGAGGACGGAGGTTACCGAGGGACAGACGACGATTGGAACCAGGGGTGTGACTCAAGGTCTTGAATAGAGTGGAGCTGTTATCGACCTCTGACATCTTTGATTTGAGAGCTGCTTTGGCTGCTTTGGGCTTAAAACTGAAAATGGCCGAGAAGTCTGAATCAAATGGACGACTAAGGGCACGATATGGTACTCCAATATCAGCGGACATCTTTTGAAGAGTTTCTTTGTCGAGTTTTCTAAATCCGCGCTGGGCCTTGATGCTTGTCCATCGGCGAGCAATATATGCAGCACATCGTTGTCTTGCACTGATAAGCACATCATCGACAGCAACATTTTTTACAACCTCTTGGCGGCCAACAAGATCACGTATAATACCCTGATAAACTATTCCCGCGTTGGCATCCTGGATACCGTCTTCGAGCACTCGGGTGAGAAGAAATTCGAGAAAGTCTACGGAGAATCCGAATCCGATGCCATCTACACAGGACAACAGGATAGGATACTCTACACAATAGTAATCAAAATTTTGTGATATCATTGCCACCGTATGACGGACGACCGGCTGGAGTAGATCGTAAGCAGGGGCTGACCAATGCGAAAGAGGATCGTGACCACGTATGAGGGATAAACAGAGATGAAGAGAGTGAAGAACATGGATAGAATTGTGCTTAGTAATATTTGCAATTGTCAGTTCAGACATATCTTTGATGAATGTAGGTTGGTCGTCTGTAGCTGGTGCCTTGCTAAAGATGGTTGATTCTGGTTCAACCAGATCAACTGCGGTGGGTGCCATTGATCCTACTAGAATAGAAAACGGCTTTGCTGCCCACAAGGGAGCCAGTAACCTCACTGGATCTGTGTAGAGTGACATGAGACCTGGCAGCATGATTGGCACACTCGCTTTGTTTTTGTGGGCAAACAATAACATTGATGGTAAAATGGCACTGCAGTCAGCACATGCACATTTAAAGTCGTGGCAAATAACAGACATCTCATGCAATACAGCCTGACCAGCACAGCTGGCGTGCCCAAGATAGTCTGCAGCATAAAATGTTTTCTGTAGCACTCTTAAAGAGTGTTTCTTGTGAGATAAACGTTGCTGGACTGGGGAGGCTAGTAAGGCAGTTGATGGCAGAGGAGGTACGACGATAGAATCTGTGTAGAAGTAATGAACGAGTACATGCAATATCCAAGGTGAGAATATATCGTCTGTGAGATGGATAGTGGATGAAGACGATTCCCTAAAGTCGGTGCAGAACATGGCGTAAAAATATGAAGATCGGGCAGCCAATATGAAGCGATGTGCGGCTAAAGACGACCCTAATCCGCCTTCCGATGTGTCGCGTAGAATTCCTTTACGGTCTCCGGGAGAATGGAGTGCATACACAGATGCAGGGAAGAGATTTAAGGTTACGTCCGACCCAAGTTCAGTCTTGGACATATTTGTTAAATCTTTAACTAACTGGTCATAATCGGTTTCTTTGTCGTCATGGACAGGCAACAGTCCGACTGCTAGTCTCTCTTCTAAAACCTTGCGTTCTTTCAACATCTCGGATTCGTTTGTGATTATTCCAGGGATATCTTCAAGGGAACTAAGGATCGATAATGAGCTGGCTGTACTTGTAGTTGCAGATGTTGCGGGGGTACTGCTTATTGATGTAGTAGACGAATTGTATTCGAATGACGAGGGTGAATACAACTCGGAGGTGTACCAAAATCTAAGGAGTGACTGGAAGAGCAATGGCGAGATTTCTTTGGACAGGTTGATCATGAGACATGTTTCATTTACATTGTGATCTAGGGTGGGCATCAGTTGTTGCCTCACCTTTAGAGGAACGCGTGCGAGTAGAATGGCTAAGAACCGAGGAATTAGATGACCAAATGACAAAATGCCATATAATTTATATGTGTGTGTATAAAAGAGAGAAAGAGAGAGGGGGGGAATGGTAGGGGAATGGCAAATGAGCTTGTGTTAACTCACCACGATGAGCCCAAATATCGCCATGAGCAAATCTGAAGCACACGTCAGCTAGATATTCTTTCGCATTGTCGACAACTGTATGCAGGGAACTCTTTAATGTCTGGGGCGCCTTCTCGAACATCGACCAAAGGAGTGAAAAGTGGAAGAGCAGGAAAGTAAAAAGGAGAGCAAAGGCGGAGAGTACTTGACCTTGAATGGTTTGTCGGATCTTGAAAATAAAGTATGAAGTCCATCCCAAAAGATGGTCAATCCTTCATTAGCAGAGCTAGGGATCAAAAGTTATTAGCTTTGTGAGTTATTTTTAATATATATAAGAAGAAGATGAGGAGAAACTAATATGCGTATATGGTTAAGAGCATAAATTGCTGTGTGGTGCGAACAAATAGGCTTTGTTTTGTTTTATTTCATTGGTATTTTATTTTATTGCTTGCAATTAGGAGAATATTACCTTTTATTTTAGAATGCCTTGATGTCTCTTTCTTTGTGTCTCTCTTATGGTCACTCAACCGAAGGATCTTGTTTCGACGTAGCACTGACTGTGTTTTGCGCCACAGTCGTACAGCTTTGGACATTTCAAACGAAAAGGTAAGGAATGTGTAAGCAAGAAAGCTATATAGAAAGAGAATGAATATTTTGATCTCAGATATCCCAGGGCTCAAAAGCTTACATTACTGCCTTTTGTAGTATGCTTCAGGGCTGGATCATATGAGATAGCAGCAAGTCTAAAACTCTAGTCATAAAGTTATATCGCATGACTATGTCTATTGGGAAGAGGGAAACAGTTCCAACCTAATACATTAATACATTAATAATACATTTCAAACTTCCATTCTTGTCCATATTCGCCAATCACTCAGCCGCGTCGGTGTCCTCTACTTCATCAAGTGATGTAATACAGCTGAAGTCAATGCGTTTAAAGCTTGAATACTTAGCATCTTAAAGATATCAAGAGACATCAAGAAAATAGAATATTAAAATGGAGATTATATACATCTTGGCCATAATTTCTTCCACTATTTTGTCTTTTTTTCTCTACGGTAGTTTATCTGGCCCGTAACAAATCTTGGTTTGCCTTGTTCTTGTCCAACCTCTGCTGACCAAGTCTAATACCTCACCCTCCACAAGCTCATCTTCCTTCAAGCCACGTCAAGTATTGCCAGTCACTTGAATTATAATGTGCCAGGTGTCACACGTACTTTTTTTTTTCTTTTTCATTTACCCGTTAACATCTTCAATCTTTTATGTCTTTCAGGATATATAGCTGTTTATACCCCACTTATTACTGCTACTACTGGTTACAGCCATTTACTAGAATATTTTTTGTACAAAGTGTAACTATGCTTAGATATTAAATCAACCAAAGCATATTAATCTTGGGGGATAATGTCTTTCTTTCACAGCTTTTTGCAAATTAAAATCCCGGTGTTTAAACATTACCGATTCGATGCTTCTGTCTTTCTTTTCAAATATTACAAATCTATCTTATTCTCTTTTAAATGGATTTCTTTATAATCCTTGGTAATAAATGAGTCACCAAAGAAGAAAAAATGCTTGTTACCATAGAGAAGTATAATATGTTTAGCTGTATATAATCTTGCTGGGAACCTGTTTAATTCTAGTTATTTTGTGTTTGGTTTACTTTTGTATTGTGATCAAATGTACTACTCTTAACTGTTCCGAATATTCTGAGCTCATGAAGCGGCGCAATACGCAATACCAGAATAAATATATAAAAGCATAATACAATACTCTTTTATATATGTATATAATGATACTTGGTATTCCAGTTTATATAAAAATTTGTAATAAGAATAAGAATAAAAGATAAAATTGATAATAGTAATAAAGGGTTCGCGTAATAGTGTTTCCTTTCCTTTTTCTTTTCCTTCCTTTTTTTTGTTTTGTTTCGAAAGATCCTAGCTTGTTGCCATAGTGATAAAAAGCAAAAAAAAAAAAAAAAAAAAAAAATCACGTTCCATTTCTCTGGATTTAGCGATTACCCGTTCTTTTGATTTATTTAAATATAGACAAATTGGATCCATTAAAACGGTCAATATATTTTAAAGGCTGTATATTTCCTGACAAAAATAAAATAAAAGAAGATGGGAACAGGTTCTGGGAATAACGATACTTTTCTGTAAATATATATTTGTCCAGTACTAAACCTCTTTTCTTTTTCCCGCTAAAATACCATTTATTTCATTTAAATATTGCGTACATTTAGAGAAATATATGTTATAGATATAAAAGTAGCCAAATAGATTCGGAAAAATGGTAAAGAAAAGAAGCATTTCACATTCTCCGATTGAAGCCCCTCTAATGTTAACTAATATGCAAAGTGGTTCAATCAATACTGATTTACACAAGCACACAAGCACACCTGCCCATACACACGCAATTAAACTAGATGACTAGTAGTCCAGATTAATATGATATTTTTTTATTAATTTACAAGCATATGTGTGCAGCTTAAGTTTATGTGATGATGATGATTATTGACCTCGAATAAGACCTCTTGTTTTCTTATGGATGTTCATAGCATAGTGCATGGTATTTTAGGGGAAGTAGTTATAATATAATAAATAAAGAAAAATAAAGGGAGATGCGTCTGTACAAGATAGAAAAAGAAAATACAACATGAAATGCTCATGCAAAATAAAGGGAAAATAAAAAAGGGAAATATAGGTAGAAAGTAAAATCAATAGAATGCAAGGGGGTATACAAATCTTTTGTCAAGAAAAGGACATATAGTGAAATGGATGTATGGTTGTATGGCTGTATGGTTGTGTGGCTGTATGATGTGTTTTGCTTTTAGACAAGGGTGTTGCTTACTCTATTAGAACTTCCCGCAAATGCTTCCTCCAAGAAATCAAGCAAGCGTGCTCGATGATCAACAAGTCCTGTGAATTCCAATACTCGTAACGATTTTTGTACGACCAAACTCTTGTTTGCATAGTGTCTTAAACCCTGCACAAATGCAACTCGGCGAGATCGACAACCTCTCTCAGTATTTTCGAGCGTGTGGGCCAGCCGGACAATCTCAATCTTGTAGCCATCCCGTACCACCTGGACGGCTCCCGTGCGTCTCTTGGCTGCAGTGGTCGTAGATGGATGAATGCTTCCTAGGTCAGCCTCAGGAATTCTTGATGTAGTATGGCTGCAACAATCAGCCATCATATCCATTATACTCTCTACCACATGAGATGCATAGTCAACTATATAGGATCTTCCCTGTCCAAGTGCCCCTTCAACCGCGAATCTTAGATAGGAAGGCATTTCGAGTAAACATTCGAGTGCGAGTTGGAGAGCATCGAATGCAGAAGACATGCTTGGTGATATATTGGAGGTGTGGCTTGATGGGATAGGCTGGTCTGGGAAACGAGTAGGTCGCAGAATACATATAGGTCTAGTTAGTGGATCGTCAAGTGATGTACAAGAAAGGCGACGCCGCATTGTCATAACTGTGAGTGTCATCCATTCGTGCTGGGTGTCTTTGGACTTGTTGGAAGTAAGCCATCGGATACGAAAGGTATGGTAGATCTGCCGAGTAGTCTGGCTGAGACCTTCACATAACGCATGTACATCTGCCGCATGAACAAAAGACATGATTGGCTTTCCTATCAGCTCATGGGCAGATTGATGAAGGCATTCAGAAGCCATGGCATGCTCGATTGTTCCATATGGACTGAGGCGTAAGACAGTAAGCGAACAATCTGAAGTTTGGCCTCTTATAGCTGAGGGAAGAGGAGTATGAATGGGGCGAATAAGCCAATATTCAAGTTCGGTAGCTGTATTAAGAGGATCATAATGAATGCAGATTTCTAGTTGGACCTGGCTTTGAGATTCGTGTCTGGCGAGGTAATGATGTTGCTGGCTTTGTTTCTTGAGGCCAAGTACAGCTATGTGGTGTCCAATGAGCTGGGAAGGTGTGTATCCAAGTAGAGTGAATACATCGTCGGTGGCCGTTACAATTGTCTGCTTGGGTTTGCTCACAACAAGAAGAGACGATGAACGAAGAGGACAAGAATGAAAGGGATGCTGAGATTGTTGAGACTGTTGAGGTTGTTGAGGTTGCATGAGAGTAATGTGGAGCTTTGAAAGATGAAATTGGAAAGAGAAGAGTTGGATGGTGATCTTATTGACAAGCTGTTTCATTATTCATCTGTCAGCATAAGTTACCGTGCGCATTTTTTTTCTTCTTCTCGCGTGGGCTATACTTCTTTGGGTTTCACATGAAAGTTTATCTTTCGTTTATTCAGTACGACATAGCAAAAGTGGGTACGAGCGAGATTCCAGTAGACATATGAAAGAATTAATCGGCTATCATGAAGAGGTTTTGTATCACCAATTAAAATGATCAAACTATGGTCTTGTACGAGTCGATTGTATTATACCATTCTAGGCATATTCCGATTGATCATTGTATGCCTTACTACTTCATCTGCTACTATGAAGTTGCGGGGTAGTAAAGGCTAATTGCGAACAATAACCTTTCAAATCCCAAATAGCTCTTGAAGTAGATCTAAAGGTGTTGTAGGCTCATCACATGAATATTATCTGTACAACTGTTTTAACCACCAGTCGTGCCTTTTCAATAGCTCAAGAATACCTTGGGATGCCATTCTTGGAGCTGGGTTCTTTTTCCCTTTTTTTTTTACCAGGATTTTTATAATACCACACCGTACTATTGGCTGATGTGTTGGAGGTTTAAATTAATGAATATATAATAAAAAATAAAATAATAAAAGACCTCGCTCAACAGCCCTAAATGTGTAGGACATCCAACGATGAATTGCTCGCCCAGCTACCTTCACTATCAACACTGCCGGAGGTGCAAAAATAAAAATAAAATTTAAAAAAAAAGTTTTCTAACATATCTATTACCAATCTAAAATAGCACCAAATGTGTGTGTGCGTACGAGTGTAAGATTTCGTTGTTTCTGGTAAGGAGATACATACCAATATAAGCCCTTTTAATAGCCATTTGATATGTATATGTTTATATTAAAGACTATCAATAAACCAAGCAAATCCCCGTTGCGCTCTGATCCTAACACAAGAAAAAAAAATGTATAAATATAACAACGCATTGGTCCCTTGCCTTTTAGGGGGTTGTATTGGAGACGAACAGAGGAAAAGATACATTCATTTCTGTTCAAGGCGTCCTAGACACATATATACATTCATCTTTCGATCATGTCATAATAGAGGATCACTGACAATGTATGTCAATTACAACGTGTCTACAATTTCACATGAAAGCTTCTTTCTCATGAAAACAATATTTTTTTTTAGGAGTACCGTGTTTGTTTTGAGTGCAAATACTTGTCTCGTGTTATATCGATTATTATTATCATTTTCCCTCTGCTGAGACCAACATCTCTTTATGATGATACATTGGAGCATGATTTACGAATTTCTGGTTTTTTATTTAATTACAATATATATATATCTTCTAAATAGCTCTGAGTGTAACATTTCATTAAATCTGTTGAATCGATTTTCTTTTTCTATATACTACTCGAAAACACAAACACAAGAAAAGTAGTACTAATGATGACTTTTTGGGCTCCCTCGACATTATCACTTGAATATTAATCCATGTGGCAATAAATACAAACACTATCTAGGTTTGATCGGTGCAAATAAATACATAAAGTTCAATAATTTCAGTTACCAACAACAGCAAAGAAAGTATGATTCTACAGTATTCAAGTGTACTATAGACTGGCCAAGAATATGGTCGCTATAGCATAGAATGGTCTCTATGCTATGTAGTCAAGGGTATGCTTGAGTTTATAAGTAATTGTATTTAATTTGGATAATCATCATTTCATGAGGAGAAAATGTCCCGTTCTTTTATCCTTGTGCAATTGAGACAATTGAATATATTTGACAGAATGGAAGAAACTAGAATTATACCGAACTGGCAAGATCTGTTTTTGGTCAATATAACATCTGTAGCATGCAAAGCCAGTAGAGAGAACAATTTCAGATACTATACTTATGGTGATTTGTAAATAATTCTATAAAAAATAAGAATAAAAATCAATTCAATTCAATTAAATTCAATTCAATTCAATATGTTTCAAAATATGTACATGATTATGATTATGATTATGCACAGTTAATCCTATAAGCATTCATTAAACTAAAGGCCACAGAACACCAATGGCAAAAGACTCCTATTGAATATTAGCGTTGAAGTAACGAATTGTTTCTAAAGATAGTCCTATGCATTAATATTTTTCTGGTCGTTTAAATACGTCCTATTGACAAGCATGCCCAAAATTTATTTGATTATTATTTTCCGATTAATAGAGTACTTTTATATAAATATATATTATTTGCAAAAAAAAAAAAAAAAAACTCAAATCATATCAATATTATTATTCTCTATTGATTTGCCTTTCTTCACGCGCCTTTGGCTTTGTACCTTTATTTTATGGTATTGACTTTACCCGGCTCTGATACAACTTATACCTAAAGAAAAATTACTCTTTATCTGTACATGCTTATGGAGTTATTAATGCACATCTTTAAAAATATTAAAGCAATATAATTCAAGAGCTCCTCATTATATGTATTTTGCTACCCCGGAAAAATAATGGTGCACAAAAAAGCAGCTGCAAAATTTTATCTCCGGGATATCAACCCATGGAAGACTACCTTTGTTGGTATTTAACTATGGAATATGAAAGGAGAAAGCTTTCGAGTAGAGATACTCGTCTTAAAATAATAAAATGTTTCATTATTTATTTTAATTTACATATAAATAAACCATTAAACCAGAAATATATATATATCAAAGTGCCTAGTTACATAGGATTTTTTTTATGCATAACGTCTTCAAGGATAACATTTAGCTTAATACTATATATATTTAATTATCACTTGTTAAAATACATTACTATCATGAGTAGCTCACATATGAATGAGCTATAGTATGGTTTACTTTGAAGAGAAAATTCTGCAAGCAACTTATCGTATCGTACACTTCTTTTTTTGGCTTTGTCCTCTATTTTCACAGACACTTACAGCTGTTGAATGCGACTTAAGATCAGTTGATAAGCAATTTATCTTATAGTAAGCATGTGATATCCTTATACACTTCAACCAGTTTATTTTGGCTAGGTAATCAAACACATATTTGTATACTGCGATAAGCGCTCATGAAATCAAATCTTTAGAGAATATATGTCTTCACAAAAAATCAGAAAGCATCTCACTATCTACTTTCAACCATAATGTACGAACATCTACCTTTGTGAATATACATAGCGTCTTTGTATATGATTTTTTGAATATTACTATATTAGCATAGTATGATAATATTTCTTGCTCTAATGGAATTTAAATTTCATTAAAGATGTTTTCGGTTGTTGTCTTTTTTTTAAAAAAAAAAAAGAAAGAAAAGGAGTGTATAAGTATACTGTTACTATGCGTGAATGAACTGTTTTGAGGAGTACCTGAAAGGATATTTCTAAAGGCAATTCTCTTTTGTGATCTCAGCCGTATCTTGAAAATCTTAAGAAAGTCACAAACTCTCGTTCATATTGCCGCTCTTGAACACCAAATGTAATCTGGAAAGGTTTTCTAAGATAATACCAAAGCTTTTTTTTTTCGTTTTTCTGTTACTCTTATACACCATTCTATAGGTAGCCACCCAAATCATTTAGAGAATATAATTTCGATATATTTTGAGCATAGTTTGTGGAATTGATAGCTTACCGCTCTCTTTAACTTCATGTCCATTACTCTCCAGCTACTATGTAATTATATGATCTCAAAGGTACTTACCCGTGTTCCTCAGATTGAGAGCACTATAGGACCAATAGAGGATATTCTAGAGAGCTGATGCGTGAGACAAAGCTTGAAAAGTGCAAGTCAACAAACAAGTGGGAAAAGAGTTCCACGGACAAGAAGAAGATAGGTTTTGTCATCTTACTATCACCAAGTATCCTCAAGGCGCACCTTTATCGAGTCATTATATTCTTGAAGCTGTTTAGCAAATTGTTTTATTTTTGCTACTGTACTGCAGGAAGATTAAGGGGAAGGAAAACATGTTTTGCATTGATCTTAAAAACATGGTGGAACAAAAGTAGAATATCGAAGAGGTGTCTTTACTTTTGTATTACAATAGCAAAGAGATGTGAAAAGTTGAAATTGAAACAAACAAACAAAAGAGAAAAAGAATATTGCTTAATCAGAATTCAACCTTAAAACAGCCCTTAAACTCGTAAAAAGCTTGTAAAAATACTCGATTTATTTATTTATTTTTGCAATATTGTACCCAAACACATTGATGTAAAATATTCCTACGATCAATGCAAATAACAGATACATTTAGCTTGAGCTTACATGTGGAACAAAGCGCATGATCCTTTGATGTGGTCCAAGCGAATTTATATCATAAAGTATAGTATCTTTTTGTAAAGAAGCTCTTAATATATCAGATAGACAATACGTGCATGAAAATATGTGTGTATCTTATGCTTTTAATCTGTATCCAAATAAGAGTTTTGTTTTCTGTTTAATTTGGAATTTATTTATTTTTATACATGATATTTTATGCTCTTGAATCCATACTCTCGGGTAAAGAAGTCTTTACATCTGATAAAAGAATGTTGGTCATACAATTTCTTGCTCGTGTGTGTGTGTATGTATATGTTCTGCTTGTACTATATCAACACATCCTGTGAATAAATTGAGTTTAGGCCGTAGACTAAATTATCAGAGTATAACATAACGTGTGCTATTTAAACAGTGGGTATTTAATTAGCTAGCATATGCATCTTATCTATCTGTATCGTCTGTTGCAATACATTAAACAAGTCGTCACTTGACGCATCTAACAAAACCTTATCTATACATATTACTTAGCATATAAGCTTCTTCCAGTTGTTCCTTTGACAATCGAATATATTATCGCTCAACAATAAAAGGATAGAGTACAACAGTGCATTTAAGATACATGATGTGTATCCCGGCCTTCCATAGTGGTGTACACAAAGACCAATTTCTGGGGGAGACTTTCTCTAGTCTTGTTTTAATAATTTCTCAGGAATAATATCCTCTGTTTCATATTGCTTTCACGATTTTCTCTTTTTCAGACCTAAATTGTCTTTTTGGAGTTATCATGGTAGCCGTGTGCCTTGAAGGACTAGAATCGAATGTTTAATATTTTGGTTGCTTTTATTTAACACGGCTCAGTCTTAACCCTAAATTAAAAGGGATATGCACAAATAAGCATATGTGTGGCGCCTTACTTTATTACGTTCTTTTCTGCGTTTACATACCCTGCTGTGCCACACTGTACATATACATTGGATATGATGACAAATGCTTTGTGAGACGCACTACAAACCATACAAACCCACATCACTGGTTTTATTGAAATTGATTGATGAAATGAGTGGAGAAAAATATTTATACATGCATGTACATGTACATGTAGCTATAGCTACACTAGCACTTGTCTATATATACATGTGTGCGTTATGTTATGTTTGTACATAGTTAAATATTATCAGATATTAGACGAATTATGCCCAGTGTATTCTTCGAGCCTTTTGTAAAAATTGGTGCTTCTTTGACTGTTAAAATATCTTCAAAATAATTTTTTTCGTCAGACTATTTGTACACTTTTAAGGCATTTAAATCACCTGTGTTATACTACTTCTATCGATAAATCTCTAACCCGTGAAATGAATAAATATATTACTAAACATGTACAATTTTTATAAAAAGAAAGCTAGTCATTTTAATGAATAAAGATTCGCCACAAAGTGAGAGAAAATAAATCTCAAAAGGAGACCTTTGAATAACCCCATATTACCCATCTTTCTCTTTCTGAATATGTGTCCTCTCCCGCTTCTAGTGTATTTAGTGGACAGTAGGCTAAATGTGTGCCTATATTTTTTAATATAATATATATTTTTTATTACAATTTAAGTTGTATTCTTTTCATCATATTTATAATATTACAAATATTAGTCATTGATTTAAATACACTATTTAAAGGAAGATAATAATTATAGACATTTGAAACACCTTTACAGTACCTTTGTATTCATGCACCAAGAAACATTCATCTCGGAAATCTTTAACTCGGAACAATAGTATCGAAAATCTCCAAACGCATACAAGAAATTCTGATAATCTCTTTACAGGCTATCAGGTTAACAGCTATATTTTCAATAATCCAAGAGTTTCAGACTCATATATTACATACCTCAATAGTAGTGATTGTTCATGGTAAGATATCTTTGACCAATAGTGATTTTAGATATAAAAATATAAAAATATTCGCAATATAATATGGTCCAGAAAACTAGCCATTGATGCTAGTTATAATCGTGGACCAATTTCGCGCGCGTAATTGATCAATAGTGATAATATCCAAGAGTTGGGTTGTCAAAATGCTGACTGGATATACACACTATTTAATTGATATTAATAATGAATAATATTCATGTATTCTGCGTAAATTCAAAAATGCAGCTCTGAACTCCATTTATCTTTTTTTTTTGGATTAGCTTGACTTGATTTTGTTCATGTAAAAGATCTTTCATTGTTGAACTTTACTATGTTTAAATGGACAATTCTCTTCTTTAAAAGGCCAATATTCTTCAATTGCCTAAAATAAGCGAGAAAAAAATAAATAATACCGTTTATATATGTTTATAGATACCTGGATAGCTTGGAGACAATTCTTGTCTTGCAAGAAATTCTGTATATATGTCTTTTTTTTGTATTGTTTATTGGGATCAAAGAGATTGCTATATGTCTGTCCTTGTCGATATGGATTAAAGAACTACCACAAAACGATTCATCTCCATTGGAGCTTTATTTTTTACTCATGTTTTCTCAAAAGAGAACATTGTGCAATAAAGTTGATTTTGATTCTTCAAGATACTTTCCTTCTGTATTTTCTTTAAGTTCGAGGTTTTGACTTTTAAGAAGTAATGGAAAATATTTTGCCGAGAATGCACTGAATTTTACTTGAGGTTCCCGCTTCAAGGTTTTTTTTAAATATATATATATATATATATAAGTGTAATATAAACAATATCGGGCGTACCATAGACGTAATATGCTGTAATGATAAAGTTTGGTGCTGTGGAATAATAATAATCAATCTGCAATACTACTGTGTCCCTTTAAAACTATTTCAAGTCCGTTATATATAATGTTGTCTAAACCACGCCACTCTTCACTTGGCACAGTATGCGCCATGTCTTTGGGAGTTTTTTTTTCTAAAAAAAATACATTGGCTAGAAACATAGACTACTGGGTAAAGTCAGGGACTGGTAGAGAAAATTATCAAAGATCGTCAGTGTTGAACCCTGGGTGGAACAAGAACAGCGGTTTTGTACTACAATAGTCACTCCTATTTACACTTTACTCAGGTGCACAAAGTGATATAGAAATATTTTCACTTTATGATGTAACAAGTTCGAGATAGTGCAAATAACTATTGCTGGGACTTATATGAATTGATAAATTTCACTCAAAGTTTTATATATTGACACTCCGAGATGAATTTGGGAAAGCATATTTATGCGCCTTTTTTTTGCTATTTTATTCATTTTCTCACAACCTTCTTCTTCTATTCAAACATATTTCACATAATCAATAATGTCTGTTCTTGATCAAATCAAAAAATTCACCACCATTGTCGCAGACTCTGGCGATTTTGAGAGTAAGTTATACAATACATGCAAAAAATTAAAGCTTACCTATCTATCTACAGCCATTGCTCAGTATAAGCCCCAGGATGCCACAACCAACCCCTCTTTGATTCTTGCTGCCTCCCAAAAGGAGCAATACGCCAAGTTGGTAGATGAGGCAATTGAGTTTGCCAAGGCTAAAGGAGGGTATGTACACAACAATAGATACACATGATAACAAATTCTAAAAGACAAACATAAATCAGTTCTGCCCAAGAGGTTCTTGATTGGGCCACCGACAAGCTTCTGGTCAACTTTGGTACTGAGATCTTGAAGATTGTTCCTGGACGTGTCTCTACTGAGGTCGATGCCCGTCTCTCGTTTGACAAGGATGCTACTGTTGCCAAAGCCCTTCGTCTTATCAAGCTTTATGCTGATGCAAACGTACACAAAGATCGCGTTCTGATCAAGATTGCCTCCACCTGGGAGGGTATTCAGGCCGCCAATATCCTTGAGAAGGAACACAAGATCCACTGTAACCTCACTTTGTTGTTTGGATTCCCTCAGGCAGTTGCCTGCGCTGAGGCTGGTGTCACTCTCATTTCTCCTTTTGTTGGTCGTATTATGGACTGGTACAAGAAGTCAACTGGAAAGACATATTCTAGCACCGAGGATCCTGGTGTGCTGTCGGTGTCAAAAATCTACAACTATTACAAGCAATATAACTACAACACCATTGTCATGGGCGCCTCGTTCCGTAATACTGGTGAGATTGAAGAGTTGGCTGGCTGTGATTTCTTGACAATCTCTCCTGCCTTGTTGGGTGAGCTCCAGAAAGACAATAAGACTTTGGAACGTAGATTGAGTCCTGAGAGTGCAAAGGCTCAGTCACTCCCCAAGGTCTCTTTCTTTAACAACGAAAAGGCTTTCCGTTGGGAGATGAATGAGGACGCAATGGCCACAGAGAAGCTTTCTGAGGGTATCCGCAACTTTGCTGCTGATGGTATCAAGCTCGAGAACGCTTTGAAGAAGAAGCTTAATTTGTAAACTTTTTTTCCCTTTTTTCCTGTCTATTTTTCCGTGTCAATAAAATGTAGTATACGTACCCGTATTTTATATGCCTTATGGGGCCTTTTTTATTTTTTATTTATTTCTTTTGTTGTATGAGTTTAATCTTTAGTCCACAAAATTTTCCGGTTTATAATATGGTAGGAATTTATTCTCCTTTGGGGAAAGAACATTTTGGTTCGCCATTTGCGTAACCTTTCTTCACCTCCCCTCAAAAGTACCATTTTGTGTTTTACTCGTTTCATAATAAGGGTAGTCAAATATGCACAACCTGTGTTTGGGGCAAATTTAATCAACCAATCACACTAGCTTCTTGTAGAAAGAAGAAGAAGAAGCATAAAAGTCAGAATACTTTTATATAATTTCATTTCATTTTATTTCATTTTATTTCATTTTATTTTATTTTACACCGTATCTTTTACAAGAAAAGTGTATAAATTTAAAGAAGACGCTCACCAAATCAAATCAAATCAAATTACATTAGGCGTTCACATAGTTGCGGTCGACCGATTTTTTTCGTCGGTCGACCGGTTTTTTTCCCAATTTTAGGCAAAAAAATTATTCCAAAAATGGGCAACAAATTTAATCGACGACATCTTTTTAAGCTGACGAGTCTTTGTCTACTTTTTTGCTGAAGTCTTAAAGCACTTAATTATTTACATCATCTGCATATTGCTCTTATTTTTTAGGCATCTCTGATAAAGAAAAGGTTATTATTAAAAAAATCAGTAAAGTTCATTTTTTGAAGCCTTTGAACTGACTATTATTACTGTTATTCATGTTTGTAAATAGATAGAAAAATAAAAGTTTATTAGGGGGTATTTTAGTAAAATACAAATATTATGTGAAACTAACCTCGAGTGACTCTTGTTTTCAATTTCAGAAGCTACTATAAACAGTAAAGAAAATTAAGGCAGTCGACCATTAAAAATCGGTCGACCACAACTATGTGAACGCCTATTACATTTACTTTTTTTTATGTTGTTCTTTCATAAACTATATTATTATTATTTTAAAAGAACTGTGAATAGATAAAGAGAAAAAAATTATTTTTGATTTAATAGAAACTATCGTTATTTTCATACAATGATATTGTTTCAAAATATTGTACAAAATTAGAGTGTACTTGTTTGACTACCCTAAATCTTCCCGTTTATTTGATTTCAAAAGTATATGAGATCTCCAAGGAATGAAAGATTATTGAGCGGCAAGTTTGGTCGTAATTAAGCAAGTCAATGTGATCAATATAGTTCCGGGAAGGGCAATTAAACGCCCTGTACGACCCGAGGCCATGTTTCTCTGATCTGTCATACACAAGTTAGTTTGATTCAAATTATATGACATTTACTTTACCTTTTCATACAATTCGGGGCTCGATCTTTGTAATAAAAAGAAGAAAAAAGAACTATTGAGTATTTCGTTGATTTTAGCTATTTATTTACCTTTTCAAAGCGTCAGGATCATCTGCTAAACAGACAAAGGTTGTTGCAACACCACTTGAAATGACTGTAGCAACACTAGAGAACATAGAAGCGCCAACCAAGAAGCACATCATAACCACTACTGGGGTTATGCTTCCGCTCTGATTATATGCTGGCTGGGATACTTGAAGATAAATGAACCCTAGGAGCGAACATAGTACACCTACAAGCAGGCCTCCTAATACATAGTAAATTCTGGTTAGTGTCATGTAAAATCACCAAAAGAAGAATATCTCTACTTACCCATAAATAAAACGTTGCCTATCAAATTGTCATTTATCATGGCCTCTATACCACGATCTTTTACCATAGTCCAAGTGTCTCTAGCAGAAGGTATGAAAGGCTTTCCGTAAATGGCCACTCCGCTAAAAGCATAATACGTAAACCATTCCTATATCCGAACCAAAATATAAAAATGTTAGAGGCTTTCTTCAAAAAAAAAGGTGAACATACAAATAAGCCTTGGAAGCATCCAACAATGCAGTCTACAATGCATAATACAAAACCGAGGATTGCATTATCTGTGTTTGCGCGTGCTATCTGGATAAAATATCTGATCAGATTAACCAAAGCGATCAGTAAACTTCCAAAGCATATCGATCCGAAGCTTGTAGTTAGGGCTCTTTTAGCACTTCCCAGGGCAGGGTGGCTGACAGAGTTGTTGAGAAAGTATACAGTTGCAAATACTCCAGCTAGTGTAACATGGGTCACATAAGTTATGACCTGAGACGTCCAATAAAATGAAAAAACCAAGAACACCATTGCAAGATTCAGACGAGCATTATTAGCGGTATTACTGTAGTATGTCTCATAAACTCCAATAACATTTAACATGAACCAGAAACTGAAGGCTGTTTGAATGATGAGCGAGAGTACACCGATTGCGATGGTACTTGGATACTCTCGGGTTATTGACGTAATTCTCTCCAGTAGAACTTGATATACAAACATTAAAAAATTAGTATTACAAATAAAGAGGACTTCTGATCTACCTGTTGCAAATGGGATTCGGCTTTTCCACCACCAGAACGCAAGAAGGTAAAGACAAGAGAATATCAGAAAAACGATGGCAGCAGAATAGTAGTGCTGTGTAAAATAGTATATTGTGACCCCAAAGTAGACGATTATGCTGCATACAAAAGTGATGATGATCAAAGGCCGAGGAAACCTGAAAGAGGTTATGGTAAGTAGCCGAATAGGTGCGGGTAATAGGCTTACATATTAGCCAATATCAGATACAAAAAACTCAGGCCGAATCCGACGATAGCAGAGAATCCAAATATTTTGAATGTTCCGGTATCGAAAGTAAGGCCAGAATATTGTGTGTTAGAAGGTGTTCCGTTGTAGGATCCTTTTTTGCCATTATATGTTCTCAGTCCAATAACACTTAGGGCAATAAAGGCACCCATATTTGCTATCCAGAGAGCAGCAGCCCACAGATCATTCCATCCACTTGGTGGTCTTATTTTTCCTTTTGATTCATAGCCTTCCTCCATCTGATTCTCAGGTGCTTGGTATGGATTAGATGACTGTCCATAGTTGTTTTGAGGAGGAGGAGGTGTATAGTTGTTTGTAGGATACGAGCTTGGTGGTGTGTATGGGTGTTGTGGCGGTGGGTACGTATACTGCGGCGGTTGTGGCTTTTCCATATTATCTTTTTAGAAAGAAAAAGGGAAAGAGAAAGAAAGGAATAGGAATTATGACAAAGGCCAATTTCTATGATCATTACAGCATAAGGAGAGAGAGAGAGAAAAAAATGGAGAGAGAAAGAGAGACTGTTGCTAACAAATATGTCATTCCAAACGAGGCATTATCCTAAGCCAAAAACGGAGATGATTGATTGGTTACACACCAAAGCGCTTGTACATGTGTAAGTCCCAGGTAGGCTTTCTTTTGAAGGGTAATGCGGCATTGTAGACAAGAATGGGTGAAGCCAGACAAAAAACACATAATACACTTTATCCCAGCCTTTCTTCGTCTCAAAAGACCGTATTGTCTGTGACCAATTTTATAGAATACTTAAAGCTACCCCCTTTGTGCGTACATATTAAAATCTTTAATATTTGTACTGTAAAAAAAAAAGATGTCTGATATAGTGCTTTAAAGTACACCCAAAAAAAGTGTGGCTTTTGTCAGTTATATGATCGCCCGATCTGGAATGATCTTCCCTTTACTCTAGTCGGTGAACAACCGATAAATACTTGATTTTATGCACTTTATTTGTGGCTTGAATTATTTCGAGTAGCTTACAAGAAAATAATCACTGGAAACAACAAAGATAGGTGTATTTAAGTATTATCATTGATAATGGCTGTATGATAAGGTTATCTGCTACTAATCTACCCAACGCAACTTAGCACTCTATACATCCATATTTATGTAAACAGAGTGCATCGAGTTCTTGTGGTTTTTAGCATGTGTGTAATACCAAGAAAAGTATGAACCTGTTACATATTTTTGACCACATGTAAGCTGTGAAGATTCCTGATAGTTAGTTTATGAATATGGTGACATCATCTATGGCATGCATAAATTGGCTCCCATTTCTTTCAGGCACGGCGGTTTATTTCTGATCTTCTTTCTCTTATGTCTCTTGACAAACCAATCTATGCTTCTGTAAAGTTAAACCCAACCATGCATATGTGGCAAACACCTGATTTGATCTCAGTTGGCCATAATACGGGCCATTCTGCAGTACCTCTTCAATCGGCTAGACGTTTGACCAAGAATCGAGTACCTTTACCTGGGGTCTCGCGTCTAGTCAACAGTGTCCGTCGCTTAAGAACACGCAATTCATTTACCCCCACGCACTTCTCATGGACCGGTAAATTCAAAACTAGCCAAAGTAAACTGAAATCAATGGTAGATCGAGAATGTTACTTTAACCTTCTGTACTACTGCTAATATATCGTGAAATCCACGTTCTCCATTAGATCTTCCTCGTGCGACATTTTTGTTCCGACTCAAGAGATCCACTTCTAATTTTCCCTCGGATCAAGAACCCTCTGCAGGGTCAAAATCTGTGAGAAAGGCTCGCCTCCATTTTAAAAAACCAATTGATCGAAGAGCTATGCGTAAACCCAATAATTTGGACATATCTCGAACAAACCGGCCGGGATTGAATAGATTACGTTCTAGGACAAAGAAAAGACGCCCAAGTGTACTAAAGTCATGGGCTAAAATAGACCGACAGCAGATACATGACCAAATGCAAAGGTTTAGAGTACCCTTGCGCTGGACAGACTCGGTCGCTTCTTTCTCAATTAACACAGATCTGAAAGAGATGTAAGTGTGATATATGCAAGTAACAACTTCTGATCCACTCCGATAGCTCGCCCGAAATATGCTTACATAACCTGACAAAGAGTATCAAGCGTCTACAATACTTGATCGAAAAAGAGGTCGAGGCTATTCAGTTTAATCAACAAGAAGTCATAGACTATAGTGCGAAATTAAAACAGTTAGATATAGACTCACAGGTAAGGATGTCAATAGTAGTAATAATAATACGTGCTCTTTATACATAATATCTAAACGTATAAATATAAATACCCATTGCTCTAAAAACAAATAAGCACAGAGACTAGACTCATTGGTAGAGTATGGTCGTGTAGAAGTCATGAGCGGGTTTAGGACTACTCTTAAAGCAATAGAACAAGAAACAAGCTGGCTTAGTCATGCCCAACGCAAGCAGCAAAAGACAACGGCCCGGATAGAAAGTTATGGCCAACGAGTGAATCATAATATACGACTAGCAACCTTAAAGTTGAATATACAGTCAGCACAAAGTATAGAAGAGATGCGGCTTTACATTAAGGATTGGAAATTTCGCTCAGGTAAGTAGCGATATAGTTTAAGGAAACTAGCTAAACGATTTTTTTTGCTGTAGTATTTCTGTTCATGTCATTTGCATTTTGCATTTTGGCCATATCTACATTGCCTACCCGCCAAGCACTTCTGTTACTTCCATAACTACTTTTTTTCTACCTTAATATATTTTTATTATAATGACTTATTGACTATACTGCTTGGCTCTAACCTGTTATCTATTAGTCTATTCTTTAACCCCTTAATAAATAACATAAAGTTGGATTATCATCTTAATACGTATAATTATCTTTCTCTCTATAGAAATCCCTTTGAATTGGTTTTCCTATTCTTCTTCTTCTTCTTCTTCTTCTGCTTAAATATTATCATGTCGATTATTTACCCAAAGGAGAGTCAAACAATACAATACCCAAAAAGAACTCAAGAACCTACCAAATTATCCAGACGTCAATCTCTTGGTAGACCAACCATTGCTACATCGGCTAAAACATCTATTCGGAACGGGCTACCTTCACCAAGTATATCCACGCAATCAATAGCTGACAGGTCTTTGCCAACCAAAAACGTGGACCTCGCCAACTCTGAAAAGGAGCCTCTTCCTTCTCCTCCAAATACACCCAAAGTAAATACTCTTTCTCATCCTCCAAAATCCACTCCGTTTCGTTCTCGAGCCGGAAGCTTTGTTAGATCTCATCCATTGATATGCGTGGATGAAAAGACAACAAGCCATGCATTGCCTGGATCAATAAAGACATGCACCTCCTGGGTGCCCTTGGAAAGGCCCCGCGCTTCTCGTATTATGCCCTCCTTAAATACAATAAAACCTTTCAAACACATGACATCTCCTCAGTTACCTTGTCCAGAAAGAATAGCACCTTTACGTCAACTACATCAGCCAAATACCGACTCTGTATACTTATATACACCTCGTCAGAGCAGATCGATTGACGACGAGGCGGCATGCAGTAAAGGATTCTCACGGCCTTCGATAAGTCCTTCGGTTGTTACTCGATCAAAACGTTCGGCCTCAATGTCACTACCTGATAATGGGCGTCAGCCAACATGTGTAGCATGCAATAGACATGCTAGACCGTCGATCATTCCAAGTCATATCCCTAGCTCTTCACCTTTTACTCTCATTGACGAAACCAGCTCTGATGATCAGTCAAGCTTTTCTTCTGTCCCTCCATCTCCATCATCTAGTCGCGATGGAAATAAAGAAGCATCAAAGACTTGTTATTCAAATGGACTACCTTATCATCGTCTCAAAAAGACATGTGGCACACAGCCTACAATTACAAGCTTACCTCCACACCATTGTATAACTTCCTCGCTTGTTATTGCCAAATCCGATATAGCCCCTGAACCATATACATTATCGTCGGAGCCAGAAAATCTTGAGGAAGGATCTGGTTTGGATGAACTTGTAGAGAGCTGCAGAAGACACTTCAGGATGCTTGAACAACTATCGAAGGATATACTGACTTCTGAGGAAAGGGTCAAGAAGTTCTTTTCAATACAGCAGAGTATTGAAGCCTCACTTGAGACACGCGAAAGAGAATATTATAATCAACGCACTGCCTGTGAGCTAATGCTGAAACAGCAACAAGAGCTAATGATTGATACAAAAGCTATGATACAAAAAGCAAATATAGACCGTCCATATTCGACCGAGTTCAGGTCAATATTAAGTGATCCTCCTTTGGATACTGTCTCCGAAAGCAGCTCTCTTGCTCGAGCCAATAGGGAATCTGGTCAGGTAGAGTTGAGTTTGCCAGACCATTTATCAGGCTATGATATGTGGGTTCTTCAATGTCGGTGGCAAGTTAGCCAATGGGTAGGCGGAGCTCTAGGCAGAGGTTCATTGACAAAAGAGAGCATGGGCTTAGGATCACAGAGAATAACGTCCAAAAAATCACCCAAGTTAACAATCATTGGAACAGGCTGTACTCGAGAACCCGATATCTTATTGACACTGACAAAAGTAAGAGTGCATAATAATAATAACCAAATTACTTAACGCGTATCTATTAGGAACAACGTCGTTTGCTTTTGTTTAAGCAGACATCAGGGTCAATAATATTTCATAATTATACTCTCTGCCTAACTGTATCCAATCGACGTGATTACTTTAAACTACTCCCAAAAGAACAGTGGACTCCGGATTCTGATGTCTCCTTCTGTCAATTAAAAGTTACTTCAGATATTGGAGCTGTCAAAAACTGTAAAACTCGTTTCGATTGGATTAATCGCAGACATCATTGCCGGAGGTAAGAGTATTTTAACAAAAAGGTTTAATTGACTGTTTCTCAATTCGTTTTTTGTCTAGGTGTGGGAATGTGTTTTGCTATGCCCATAGCACGAATCAGCTACCTCTGTTTGATACAGATGAACAGGGTGCGTGGTCACGAATTTGTGATTTGTGCTTCTACCAACTGGTGGGAGTCTCACTTGTACACCCTTCCCTTACATAAGCTTTTTGAAAGCATCTTGCAGTGTCACCTTTGATAATCCATATCTTTTTTTTCTCTACATAAAGTTCAGCCTTGTTGCGCTTATTTCCCCAAAAAAGTCTTTTTATTCGTTAGATAAAATGTTTACCCAATTATTTTCCTCTCCTCCGCTTAGTCTCCGCTCTCCGTCTCGATCTTTTTTCTCACCTTGATTGTATAATGAACTGACAAGACAAACACTAAAAATTAACGTGTTTCAATAATCGCTGTCTTTAATTGAGCTCTATCTTTCTCTTTCACCTTTTCTTTCTCTTGTCTAAATAAATCATATGTGGAACATTAAGAAAGCTACTCATTTGGGAAGAGTTATCTCTCACTCGACCAGACGATGTGCCTACAGCACACAAACAAAGCCTGCAAATCGCATTTGGCCTGCAGTAATTTCTGCTGCAGCGGCTGGTGGTGTAGGCTACTGGGCTGCTTCTTCCTCCCCTTCTTCTTCTTCAATAGCCCAGTCTACACAGCCAACCGCGTCTTTACCTGTAGCACGGCCTAAACCAACCAAGAAGAAGATACAAGAAGCGTTCCATGCTCTCCAGGCTGTTCTACCCCATGAACATGTCAGTGTTGATGAAGATATTCTCCAGACTCATGGCTATTCAGACAACAGCTACCATAATGAAGGGGCTCCAAACATTGTAGTTTTTCCTAGTTCTACTGAGGATGTTGTTGCCATCGTTAAGATTGCTAACGAACTTGAGTAAGAATATAATTCAATTTTGGCTTTGATTAATTTTTGCTTTCTTTCCTTGGTAGTATGCCTATAATTCCCTTTTCTGGAGGAACATCTCTCGAAGGTCATTTTACTGCACCCATGGGAGGAATATGTATTTCCTTCTCGGAGCATATGGATAATATCGTTGCTTTCCATCCCGAAGATATGGACATTGTGGTCCAACCTGGTGTGTCTTGGGAGACGCTCAACAGTACCCTAAAAAAGAATAATTTGTTCTTCCCGTTGGATCCCGGACCTGGGTAATACAGCTAGACTGTATTCACGAGAACACATTTGTACTTACTATATCTGTTATTTTTCTTTTACTGTAGTGCGTGTATTGGTGGTATGGTGGGAACAGCTTGTTCAGGAACCAATGCTGTCCGTTGGGGTACTATGAGAGAATGGGTGCTGAATCTAACGGTGGTATTACCGGACGGAAAGGTTATGAAGACTCGCCAAAGACCTCGGTAATAAATTGATGTTTGATGATGGAATCTTAACTCTGACCAATAAATATATTTAGCAAATCCTCTGCCGGGTATGACTTAACCCGTCTCTATATTGGTTCTGAAGGCACGCTTGGAGTTGTAACTGAGGCCACATTAAAACTGGCTGTTATTCCCGAAGAAAGCTCGGGTAAACTATATTTTTATAGAAAGCGAACAATAAGATAAGAGGTATCTAACAACCATGCAGTTGCCGTGTGCGATTTTCCCACAATTCGTGACGCTGCCGCTGTCGTACCTGATTTGGTTCGAGCTGGTGTTCAAATAGGTGCTGTTGAGCTATTAGATGATCTAATGATGAAAGCTGTTTGCCTTGCCAACCCTTCATTGGGCCATGCCGAAAAACCTACGCTCTTCTTCAAATTTTCGGGATCAAAGCCGCAGATCGAACATGAAATCAAGGTTGTTTCTGAAATCGTCAAAAAGCACAAAGGCGGGACTTTCAAGTATGCAAAGACAGAAAAAGAGAAGGAAGATTTGTGGGAGGGACGTAAGGTAAGAATATATTGGCAGTACTGTGGCTGGATTTTTCTTTGTTAAAAAAATAATCTTTAAACAGATTTGTCTTTGGTCTGCAACTCTTTTGAAAGAAAATGCATCTGTTTGGACTACAGATGTAGTTGTACCAGTTTCTCGATTGCCAGAATTGATAGATGAGACTAAAAAAGATCTCTCGACTTCATTCTTGCCAGCACCTGTAGTTGGACATGTAGGAGATGGAAACTTCCATGTTTTTATTCTCTTTGACAAATCCAAGCCAGAAGAATATGAGGAGGCTAAACGGATTAACAAAGCTCTTTTGGAGCGTGCTATTCGTATGGAGGGCTCTGTCACAGGTAAGTTTCTGTACAGAAATGTAAGCTAAAGGTATTAACGCATCATTATCAGGTGAACATGGTGTAGGAACAGGCAAAAAGGCTTATTTGCGAAAAGAACTTGGTGATAATACAATTGATCTGATGTGGACTGTTAAGAATGCCATTGATCCGAAGGGTATCATGAATCCAGGAAAAGTATTGCCAGAAAACTAATATGAGTAGATTGACATACTCTTATAAAAATTATGGATTTAAAGCAAAAACAAAAATATTTAGTGTGCTTTATATGAAAATATATATAAAAAGTCAACTACCTTAATGGCTATAAATTAAAATGAATATAAATATATCTTATCCTTAGAAAGCTACGCCCAAGTTTACTATCTTTTTTTGGTATAAACTATACTTAGTTGCACTATTTTTAAAAAAAATTGACTTTATAGACATTAATCTACATTCAATAAATTGTATTAATTGGTATCCAAAAAAAAAAAGAATGTCATGAAAGTAATTATATGTATGTATTAAAGATTGACCATTTTATAGGGAAATCTTACGGACATGATAACAAGACATGCTGATGAGACCAAATTGAATAATTAGACGTAACCTCACTTACAATTACTTTTTTTTTGGATAGTCATACTTTGAGGTTTATTAAATGTTTTAAAAAAATGCTAATCCTAGGCAGACAGAATTTTCAGGACGGGAGATGACACTTATATTTAACCAGGCTAGTTACTTTTGATCACATCTCTGGAGCCCAGTGTCTTTTTCTAATCATTAAGGGAAAATGGCGTGTCCTGAAAAAAATCAATATATTTAATTAATAGCCCTTTTCACCCTACATTTAAACTTGGCCATAAAAAAAATATACTATATCAATGGACGGTTATGCAGAAGATTATAAGGAGTTGTTGACATTAGATTGTAACACACTTGTTGAATATTTTACTGCGAATTGTCCTTCTTAAGTGTATCGTACATTTCTCTTTCTTTCGCCTATTGTATCTATATTACCAGAAAGTAGCACGAAGCTTCTCGTTGAAAAAAATTAGAAGCAAAGCGGTTTATCCTTTCCTCTGACGGTATTCAGTTATTCCATCCCGTCTCATGCAAAGATCTTACCAAAATGGAGAAAACTTGTGGTCCGGTAGAATCAAAATGCTGTCCCCAAAGAATTAGTGTTCTTTTTTGAAACATTTAACAAATATCAAAGTATAACCCCCAAAAAAGTAGTAATGAGCGATTTTGCGCTTAATTATTCAAATTATTCTCATCAGTATATCTCGTTAGTCTGCCCAGCCAGCCTGTCCGTAAGGCTCCCCTTCTTTTATCTTGTTTTCCTTTACTGACGATTACATCTAAGCGCGCCTGTTTTAAAAAGAGAGCTTCTACACTAAAGACTATACGAGACTTCAATTCCCAGGTAGTATAGTTCACCCTATGGACTTTGAAACGGCCTTCTAATACACTTATATTTGTAGACTTTTGAATCGAAGAAGATCCTGCCAACTGGGCAGTTATGAATTATCTCATAAAACTTATTCAATGTAATCCTGGGGCTGACAAAGTAACGGAAATTGGAAGCTCACGGAAGATAGTAACCTTGTCTTGAAGCATGTTATTTCAGGCACTTTGCCGATACTGCTATTAATATTTTCGTTAAAAATAAAATGGTAGTTGAGGAAAACACTTTATTCGTTTAACTTTGTCTTACTCTGTTTTGATTTTATAGAACAAGAGAGGCAAATATCCCATTAACTATTCATGGAAAAGATCAGAAAATGTCTCCAAGTCACAGATCAATTACACCTTATAGAAGGTAATACAGTTTCTAAAATATGACTTTTAAGTGACACTAAACATTATGAAGCTTGAATTTTGCTCTTCAGTAACCACTGAAGTCGACCAAGGTCAAAGAGAAAACTTTGAAAAGAGAATTTGGTACCAGCAGTAGCAGTGGTGTTGAGGAGAAAAATGCCCGAGAATATCTGGCTGAAATGTCATACGTTTCTTAAAGACCCTCCGAAACATAATCTTTATGAGCCCCTGATGTAAAAAGAGTAAAAGTAAGACGAACGTTTTGACGTGACTAATGTATCTATGTAACCTCGAGAGAAACAATGTTATTTGGTGCGAAAATTCAGCTACAAGAAGATGTCGCTTTCCGAAAGATTTTCTTGCACATATTCAGGCCAAGTTTAATAGATCTCCTATTGTTGGCCCAAGCCATAAGTTACAAGACGCTCTTGATTTGATGCTCGCTGCCATTAGTGAATCCGGATTGCCTTTTTCAGGCAAAATTAATTATTGGTTTATTATCTGTATGCTATACTTGAAGAGTACGAGGAAGGGATTGAAAGGTTGAGGGGCGAAACAACTGATTCTGTGGTATACATACCGCAGTCGAGTGAAATATAAGCTTCACAATTCAGAATGGATACTACAATTGCTAATAAACCTGGCAGGGTCACATTTCAGGAACGTAACACACACCGGACACTTTTGTACACTTCATACTGCTTCAGTAATAACCAACCATTATCTTATCGAAATCTTAAATTAGAGAACCAAGCATCTATATAAATAGCTACGATCTTCCCTCTTAAATGAACAATACTCACATAGTACATCTTGTTTACTTTTAGCATTTTATTTGTATAAAATGAATTGCCTCATATAGTTTTCTAAACTAAACATGTACATAAAGAAATGCTGTAGTTAACTATCTTTTCATGCTTAATTTTGGAGACATAAGCTTCAGAAATTTGTAATATTACGAGACACTACTTGAGTGTAGTCAAAGATGAATAATCATTTTAAAAGAAATATAAGATAACCCAAATTAAGATAATAAAAATCATCTTGTATCCTATCTCTTATTTGCTATACTCTCATGTTATTAAAGCTTGACCAAATCGGCTACGTTCACAGTGAATTGTGTCGGACATTATTTTGATGAATCCGAGAAATCGGGATAATTGACCGCAGCAGTTCTGTATGTCAAAGATACCTCATAGATAACGAACCGCAGTAATGTCTTGTAAAGATTAACCACAGTAACATCTTCTGAGCATCAACCGCAGTAAAAGGACTTCTCTTGTAATTAAATAGAGTATAATAGTTTACTGCGGATAATGCGCAGTATTAGTTTAGAAAACTATATAAGACAATTCAATTCCTATCAATAAAAGGCATCTTTGATCCTCTCTTTGATTTTACGTATACTCCTTGATCCCCAGTGGGTTTGACCTTTTGACTTTGTTATAGTAAAAGGAAGACCAACCCAGATCGGGAACGACAATTGGAAGATAGCCTAGATCAGGAACGACAAAAATTATGCCCAATAAATACTCAATTTTGATTGGTCGAAAAATTAGTAGGCGGAATCGGCAAAATGGTAACTGTGAGATTCGAACTCACGCCTCTTGCGAGACCGCAACTTGAGTGCGGCGCCTTAGACCAACTCGGCCAAGTTACCTTCTGATGAAGGTCACAAGTGTTGTAAAATTTTGTAGCATTAACCAAAAATGTATATTTGTTTGATGTGACGTCAACTTATGGACAGACTATTAAGTTATGGACAGTGCAAAGTCGTGACTCCATCTCCGGACACGACAAAATCCGATTTCTTGGATTTATTTTCTCTCTCCCTCTTTTTCCTTTTTTCTTGCTATTGACATTTAAATTCCCGCTGGACTTTAAATGCTTTTCCCCTTTTTTCTATTTTTTTCTTGGTTTTTATTTCCTTTTTAGCTTGCTTCCCTTTGCATTGCACTTGTTTCTTTACACTTCTTGATATTACTTCTTTAGTATACTTCCCGAGAGTTCATATTTTTAGTAGTTTGATTATTTTTATTTTTGATTATTTTTGATTATCTCCTTTTGTGATTATGCCCGAAGACCTGTACACTCTTCTAAATAATTATCATTTAGCATAAGATGTATCTAGATTGTCACCTTGTATGCAGTTGTCAATTAGTATATAAGAGAGACGTTTTTATCCCAATAAAATTCATTCAGTTTTCCTCTATATTTCTTTTGAACATCATCACTGAGCTTGAGCTATTGTCCTGCGGAAAATACTAAGTTGCACACTGTTAGGATCTACAAGTACTGTCTCACCGTTTGTCTGCCTGTCCATTTGTCCGTTTGTCCGTTTGTCTGCTTGTCTGCTTGTCTGTTGTCTGTTTGTCTGTTTGTCTGTTTGTCTGTTTGTCTGTTTGTTCATTTGTCTATCTGTTTGTTATCCATATATCTGTTTCCATCCATTTAAAGTCCCGTTCATTAAATTCCTTCTTATTGGATTTTCCTGAGCAAAATCACAAGAATATAACTATACATATAATATATATTATATTTCTGACCAGTTGCACCACACACCATAACTCAACACGCGTCATGAAATTATCGGATTGTGCTAAACTAATAATTCAATAGCCAAGCAATATAAAAACAGGCAAAGAAGTATACTTGATAATAAAGAAGTATACCTAAAGAAATACAATCAAACAGACAAAATAATATAGTAGATAAAAGATAATTTTATTATAAACAATTGCTATTGATATCTATACTAATTATTTGGAATGTTTGTCTTGAGGCCTTATTTGATATGATGCCTCATTTGTAAGAATGTTAATTTGAATTATTATTTCTACTATGTAAGAATGTAAGTAAGGGTCAAAGTAATTAAGTACAAAAAGAGATTTGTTTGCCCTTTCCTCTTTTTGGAACGATTGGGTTGAACTTCCTCTTTTATTTAAGCTCCGGCTTGCCGGCTACAACAAAATGGCATAGAGTGTTATAATAAAGGTCCATATTTACCAAAATTTTGGTTATCTGGCAGTGCAGTGATATTGCAGAATTCTTTGTAATTCTAGAAAAATTATATTCTATTATATTTTTATTTTCCAATAGCAGCCGAGGCTGAATAGAAATCAATTTTTCTATTCATAGAGTAAAACACTAATAAGTACAACAAAAAAGCATTATCCTGGCAAAAGATAACTTCACATAACTACACATCTTATTTTCTTACTATATTTTCTTTACAAGTATAATTACTTTTATGATTATAACTTAATAATTATTTTACATTATTTTATTTTGTTTGTACTTAACAATACTAAAGGACAGATCACATTTAATAGATCACCAATTATATAACTTTTTATTATATTTTTCAATATTTTATTTATTTAACAAGTCAATTGCAAAGCTATTTAAAAATTTATATAAATATTGCAATGATTGCATTTAATAAATATTGATTTTCTTTCGTCTTATTTTCTGACAACAAGTTCTCTTAATATTTAACACTGTTGATATTTTACTTGTCTGATTATCTGAGTATATTGAGTCAAGTCTATTGAGATTGATCAATAGTACTGTTTTTCTCTTATTTTTTTTATTTATTAATTTTATTATCTTTAATTCTACATTCTCTTTTGAGGTTGTCTTTTTCTCTCTTGTGGAAA